AAATAAGTCCAGATCACGATCCAAGTCAGCTGCTGCTGACTGGCATCGTATCTTCGAGTACGTTCTCGTACTCGCTCGGGATTGCTATCCCAACAGTTAGAAACTCCAGAAGCGGGGGCCCGGGGATTAAATGATATATTTCGATCCACAATCGTCTCTTCAGAACCGACGTGGTAAAACATGTCTTGCTGCAACTGTTCATGACTTTGAATGATTCTCGCCTCCCAGGTCTTCGACTGGTTATATCTCCATCTGTGAAAGACATGGTCTTCAGCGACTAGTACGTTATGTCGATGGCCATAAGGTCATACATACAAAGGAAGCCGCCCCACGGTACACCTATCGCTCATATGGGTATGCGGGAGATGTTTATGACTCGGTACGCTTGGCGCCCTCACGAGGCACAAACTCAATTAAAGATGTTTCCAGAACAAGGATGAAAAGGTGTGCATCACTGCAGGTTTCTTCGGTCTATCTCTCAGACCTGGATTAAAGAAGTAGGTGTGGTTGGATTTCCAGGAATACGCCGGCATTAAACATTTGCTAGTTTTCACCTAGCTCGGACCACGCAAGTAATGGGTTCGTCATCCGCTGTTATGGTTGAGAGTAGCACTAGCTAACTTTGGGCCGTAGCATACCCGGGGAACACATTGACTTTTGATTCGAATACAGGAACGTATATCGAGACAAACGTCATGGGTGCTTTTCAACGTTATCAATGTGATGTTAATCAATGCATCGTTTCAGTTCTTCCTGGACCCTTCAGCATATGAAATGTCCGCCCAGTGGACAAATTTTGATGGCAGAACGTCCTGTCTTTGAACAAACCAAAAAAACATGCTCATCATTGATCACAGGTTGCCCTACAACGTATATCTTCGTTCATGACGAACATATTTACTATACAGGCGACATAGATGCTGTCCAACAATCCCTGTAGTATGTCTTATTGTTATCCTGCTGCTATCTGTGTTTGATCATTTTTGTTCACAGGTCTTCAAATGGATAGAAACTGACTCATAAAAATAGATTATTGCGTCTGCAATTGTCATCCGTCACTACACATCCCTTATATCGGACCATTTGCGGACCAGGGCAGTAAAATCTGTATCAAGAATTTAATCGTATACATCGCAGCGTACTTACACCGTGGAAATTGTCTTCAGACGTAATGAACGAACTTATAATACTATTACATTCTGCTCACGAAAATGGCTGCCGCAAGGCCTGTTGTCCAAATTCTGTTTGATGACATCTTCCGCACAGCTATATGAATGACGAAACGGTACATCGGAGAACTAGTACGATACAGGTATCTACATATATGTCAAGGTGAATTCTTTCGGGAATCATGATACATAGATACATAGTGACGTTTATCACGATACTTCAATCAGGCAAACTCCACATAAACGACTTTCCAGTTTCCTCCCCATGGCATAGGCTCTCTCTACAACGGAGTAAGCTCCAACTCCCCAATGAAAATAGGAATACTTACCCCAAAAACTTCAATGCCGTCACGGCTGGAGGGCGAACGACGCCCTTATCAACAGCTCTGACTTTCATAGTTCTAATAGTGACAAACTCCCACTGAGCTCGTTCATTCTCCGGTGTCCCATCTGCAGTCCATGTACGCAACACAATCGAACCGTCCGAGCCTCCCGTCGCCAAGATACCCAGGTATGAGTATTCACGCTCGTGGAAAGCCATAGAAGTGATCGATGCTAAGCTGTGCGTCAAGTCCAACTCTGCTATACATCGTGCATTGATAGTATGGAGGCACAATTTGGTCTTGGAACAGGTTGCTATGTATCCCTGAACATAGTATTAAGGGCTCGTCCTTCAGATTATTTACAAAAGGCTTACCGTGCTCTCGTTGACGGACACCAGATGAACCGGGTTCAGTTCCTCGTCGGAGTTACTGTGCCATATAGAACGAACATATGTACCGCGATTTAGATCCCAAAGAGTTGCGCTTCCGTCTTGAGAGCCGCTCACGATAAGGGAACGCGAACGGGAAGTAGCCAGGCAAATGACGATATCTGTATGGAAACGCATGATGTGGGAGAGGGAGAGCCGCAATAAAGGAGGGTTATGAGTGCGTGATATTTTCCATAACCGTACGGTAAAGTCGGTGCATCCAGTGACTAAGCAGTCACTATCGACGAAGGATGCGCAGTTGCAGAACGAGCCTTCAATCACTTGAACTACCTGAAGAGTGTGAATCAGTACGGCAAGATTTGTGAATGAGCGAAGATCTTACTCTGTTATCCACAAGCAGGCGTAACTCTCCCCCGCCAACTCGGCTTGCACCCCATTCAATTTGCTCGTGCGGATGATGGGGTATACATAGGTTGCCATCAGGACAAGGAATAATTTTTTCTCCGATCATGTCAAATACCAGCTCGCAAACAGGAACAGCAGGCCCCAAATCTGTTCCAAACTTTTTAAGAACATAGTGTCATAAATGTCCAATAAAAGGTCAACAAACCCTTGAAACTTCGGCTTTCTTGGAGTAACAGGTGTGGATCCTCCTCTATTCCATGCAACGTTCCCAGCGGAAGCGTGTGAGAAGCATGGCCATATCGCTGTGGATGGGGAGCATTGAAAAGTTTGCGCGGTGTTTGGCCAACTGGAGAAGGTGAGCAAGTAATCTAATTGAGGTAATAGCTGACATACAGTTATGAATGATGCCAACTGTGGCCTCTCTCTCCAGCTCATCGGTGATGGAATCAAGGTCTGCATGTCTTCAGAGAGATGCTAACCCAGTAAAAGAGAAAACCAACCGACGGAACCTTCGTATGACAATGGATGAAAGCAATTCAAGGATTGCGAGTCTCGCTGCTTACAACCCCATATAAGATCGATCCAAGACGCAAGGTGTTCGCTGACGTAGGAACTTTCTAAAGCCTAAAGCGAAAAGTTGGCGTAGATCACCCCGGACCGAGACCCTTCGTACCTTACGATTCATAACCACGAACAATAGAGGATCCTGCCTTGCCCAAGGAGGCAGTTTAACGTCATGGATCCTTTCCCCTGTGTTTTGCTGGACACCAAAATCGATGTTGCGAGAGTTCTCTAGGAATCTAAGAGAAGTCAATAAAATAACATCAAGTCTACTGACGTCGGAAACTGACTCTGGGCATGTGTAGAACTCTGGGATGAGTTCTCTTACATCTCCACGTACGTCTCTAGCGGCCGAATCAAAGGCCCGCGCAATATCACTTGAAACCATCATGAGCTACATGTCAGAATGAGATGCCATTAATTCCTAACCTGAACAATCGATCTGGCAGGTCCCAGTCACCGCCTTGTAGTGTCTTGAACATGTTTGTATATGGGGCTAACCGAATGAGGAAATGGCAAACGATCATTGAAGAGCTGAAATGAGTGCCGTAATGAAAGGGCTTTTCATTGATGCTTTCCAAGCTTTCGTAACGAGTAATAGCTGCCTCTCGTCGAGCCTCAGTCAGCGCCCCCATAGACCTGCTTAGACTTGTAATGTGATGAGTAACGTTCGTACGGTTCAGGTTCTGATACTCACTCTCGATAAGACTCGGGATTATTAAGGTCCAAAGTCGGCGACGAATAATCTTGAAGCACCCAAGCTAGAAAGCTATCAGTCTAGTAAACAAAAAACAAAATAGCCAAGGTTTACTGACGAAAGACGGGATATTGTGTAGCGTCACTTGGTGTACGTCCCGATATCTGGTTTAAGATACTGATGTAGGTGAACTTCAGTAGCAGCGTCAACTCGACGTTCTGAACAACTGAAATGAAAGTAATCACATTGCTGATCTCTCTAGTTTGCCATTTCCGTTGTGCCGTAGCGAGCTCGTCAGGACGAAACCCAGCTAAAACCTTTGCACCGATATTTCCAAGCAGGGGAGTGATTAAAAGACCAGGTGTAGTCGGTACATTGCTAGAATTATTGATCATGGCTGACAAGCGTTGATCGACGTCAAGACGCTTTTTCTTGTCCAGGAAGACTATCAGTAGGGAGCGACTGTCTTTGAAATAAATCTCTAAACTGAAGGTGGGCCTCATTAAAAATGAAGATAAAAGGAGAACGCTGCACTCACGCTACATCACGAAAAAGAAAGTTCTTTTTACTATATGTTCCGACTTGATCATGAGCCCTACATGGTGTTGAGAGAAAAAGCGGCTATTAAGGAAACATATCACACCATCTCTGGGCCCGCTGAGGTCCATCGAACTCCACGATGCTCCCAGGAACAAAAAGAAGTCGTTTAGGCGCATGACGTGCGTCGATCACTTCCCCTTCTTCATTCTCGACCAGACCATCTAGCATGTATAGATGAGTACGGCCGATGATGAGCAAGCCAGCTAAACATCACAGGGTCAGTTCATCCCGCTCATGAAGGCGCTAAAAAACGAACGTGAGGAATCCACTCCTGATACACGCGCAACTGTTGCCACTGCTTCGATGACATCTCCGGGTTCTAATTCATATCGTACACGACGGTGCTTATCTTCCGCGATTTCTTCTGCTAGCTGCCGCTCTAAAGATTGCTGTAAGTGAAGTTACGCGTTGGGCTCCAGTCTTTCATCGTTACCTTCCACATCTACAGATGATATCTCATATGTCTCCGCCCATGGAGGCACTTCCACTTGAACAATAGAACTTGTTTCCGATCCTGGAACTTCAACGTCACGAATGTGCTCTAGACCAACATCGATCCTAGTCATTGGCGGGCTAATTTCGGGCTCCAGCTTGTTTCTATCCATTCATTATGAGCCATGTCTTTTTATTATGCACAGATCATAGCACTTACCGAACCCTGTGAGGTCCTTCCGTCTCGTCCAACCTCCAAAGGATTGGTTCCGTCTTGGGCCATAGGCCTCGCTCTGACAATAAGGCATTGTTCCATTCGTATAGCCGAGAGATTTGCCTCCGATGTTCCCGTCTAATGAAGGAGTTAATGAGGAAAGGTAGAGGGTCCAACATAGGAGAGCATACAGATCTAGCATATTTTCCCGCAGCCTTTTCAGTTCAGATATTCGAATGGTCTTTTGCCACTCTAGAATCCTCGCGATGATTTTGATGACGGTACGTTCACTGACATCGACAGTCAATCTTGCGAACGCGATCCTTTGGCGAATAGACCGTGTGTCTGCAACGAGTTCGGGACTAATGGTGGGTTGCTGCTTGGAGGATGGGTTTAGAACAGTCTCAGCATCTCGAAGGATGTCTAGTATCTTCGAAGGATGGATAAATCAATAAAGTTCTGAAAGGGGTGTCTTACTACGCGTTTCTGAACACCGGCAACGGCGCCATCTAGTGCCAATGCCAATCCGAAGTGAGTCATCTTTTCTAAGATACGTGATGCCCGCTGATTGACACTAGGCGCGGCAGAGACTTGAGAGACAAATGACTTGTTGGCTTCGATGAATAAACGGGTCGCCTGTTGAGAGCGAAATACTTGTCGGAAAGTGGCACTTGACGCATGTAGATCAATAAGTTCTTCTACAAGAACTTCTATCGTCGATTCCGTTGCCCATGAAAATCCATTCGGCACTAGAGATTCATCAGTGAGAAAACAAACCAGAAAAGGCAGTGCCTCACTTCCCCCCTCCTCTGAAATAGTACAATTGTTACCTACTGTACCCAAGCCGGTTTGTAAGGCCGCGAATATAGCTGGAACGATTTGCGGACAAACCACGGCATTGTGCCCTTGCGTGTCGATCTTCGTGATGCCGGTTCGTCCAAGCAATATATCAAAGGCTGCTTCATTCACGCTTGGATCCCAGCACATCGGCAGTACAGTTTTGAGAATATTCCAACCACTGATTAGTTCAAATTTCCTTGTGAAAGAGGCCGACATTTTTACGCTTATGCCGATGATCAGCAAAACTTGATTGGCGACAAACGGTTGCGGTTTGTCGCCAAGGAGAAGAAGACATATTCGGGTTATCGGCAGCGCGGTTATGAACTTGTTGTAGAACGTTGGTACTAACAGTAGCGAAACCAACAATTCGAGGACCTGCTCTGCTTTCTGCCGAACGTCTTTATAATCAATTCGAGAGACCATAGAGCGAGGCGAATCAGACGTGGAAGTGACTATTTGGACAATATTTAGAATTTCCCGGTTCTCACATAAATAAATAAATACAGCAAACCTTCATTCAGCCTTGCTGCGATGTATGATACCATCGGTTTGATGGTCTCCTCTTTAGAAAAGTTGGCCTGTGCGGCTGCTTTCAAAACTTCTATGAGGTGCGGAATGATATCGTGCTGGTACCATTCTGTCTGAAGGACAAACAGAAGTCGTCTGATCAACCCGAGCTTGGCCATGCGTTGCTTAATATTGAATGTCTTATATCGGCTGGTCTGTAAGAGAGTGATGAAATGCTCAAGATACACTCGCTGGACTTCCTTGCGAGTACGAGACCAAAACTCAAAGTCCAATGCAATGGCTTTGTAGGCAACAGCATTCACTATAGTGGACTGTCTATAAACCTCATGAGTTCGATTTCACGGTAAATTCCACATAAGTCTTACTCGGGCAAGCGGAAATTTAATCCCAGAGCTTCGAACAGTGTTTCGAAGCTTGTCATGTTTATCTGTTGAGCCTTGGACCACAGAATATCAGGTAATAGTTCGTATCCACCTAGAGGCGATTCGGTTCAGATATCATACAACCACCCTCTGACAGTAGGTTTGACTCACGTAAACGTTCCATATCCTCAGAGTTCTGCCAACTATTTCTCAGGCTATCCGTCAAGATACTCAACGCTCCGGAAATTTCATGAGGTGTCTATGTACTCATCAGTTGCAGACCCGAAGACATCGTCCATCCACATAAACTGACCTTCGCTACTTGCAACAGACGGAGGGGTACCGCAACTCCGCCGATTTTCCAGAGCGACATGTCCAAACAAGCGGCCTTTACGACAGCGACGTCGCCTTGGACAGTGACTTCCTTGGAAGTGCCACTCATTGTTAGGCTTCGAACGGTGCCTGATCCTGCTATATTGGTCGTAGACAAGGAGAAGATGATTGAAGAGTTGCTAATTCCCAACCCTTCCCTAACGACCTTCACCAGTGACAACGACTCCGCCGAAGCTGCCTTCGACACAGTTGCAGATATGAACATGTTCAGCGATGTCGACGCTTCGTATGTTAAGAACTGGATTAGCGCAGGATCTTGAAAATTCCCTTGATATCGAGGCCCTAGATGGTGGATCAAACGAGGTAATTCATCACCTAGAATAAGAAACATTGACACCAATGTTTGATGACGATAGATGCATATACCGACCTAACGGACGAGTAATGAGATAGGCGGTCGCAATGCACCAACTCATCTGGGCCTCGGAATCACTGCTTCCTACAACATATTCTACGCTTTGCGCCGAAAGGTCGGATCTGGGATAAGCCCACATTAGCGTTTCAACGAGGACTCCATCAATGAACAGTCCTTGAGTAACCAATCATAAGGACCTAGAAAAAGAGGCAAGCGAGGAAACACACGAATACTAGGCTGTGAGGTTTTGTGAGGGTGATGAACCAACGTAACATGGGTCCATCGGCCGGTATGGATGTTCGACTTGCCGAAAACGGTGACCGACTTGTGCGCAGATGTCTGCAACTCAAGGTTTCCATCCGTGTTAAGGCGGAGATCAACAATACTTGTAGAACCCGTTCGAACGGAAAAAATTGCGTGCGTAGTTATTTTTGGAAGAGCTTCGATCCAGAACCACATCTATAACCTGAGATGAGTCGAAGAACAAGGTACTCGTTAAAAACAAACCGCAAAAGTAAACCCTGTAGATGGTACACCTCTAACGCCGTCATGGACCATGATAAATTCTGCAGGTGACTCCAAAGAAAAGTGGTCCGGCCACCTGGACTTCATAGCCGACTTCAAAATCTCCAGCGTCTCTGTATTGAGACTTTGCTCTTCAGGCATGACCATCCTTTGGAACAATAGTCTTGCTTCTGGCGCCGTCGCTCCCAGGTCCAGAAGACGGCGTAGCAGCTTTTGAACAACTTGCTTCTCCGCGTCCCCCCAGCTCCTGGAATCAGAATAGTACTCCATGACGGATTTGACGATACCAATACTGCTCAGCATCGCCTGATTGCGATGACATGTTACGCAGAGGCGCTCAAAAAGCTTGAAAAACGCATAGCGCATGGCCGAGTCGCCTGCACTGAGTTGTGGCTCAAAGGCCCAAAGTAGGTGAATAGCACCTGGAAGCCTGATGAGGCCGAGGCGTGACTCGAACTCTTTGATTTTCTGATCGAGTTCCTCGACCGGAGTGCCTCGGAGGCTGGTAAAGATTCCAGAGATAGAGAAATCGTTGAGCGACATGGAGAGAAGAAACCCTAAGGTCACGTCTACCGTTCTTCTGTCTGCTACTAAGTCTGTCAGGGCCAATGCTAGTGAATCGTAACCAACTGAGACCTTCGTCATGATCAGCAAACGTACTGTGGTACCATTGAACAGCAGCTCACTTTGAAATACTCCGAATTCTCTGGGTGTTCATTGATGGCATCGGATACTATCATGAAGACCATCCGAATGGTTTCAAGGACCTCAAGCAAGACTTGCTCATCGGGTTCGTGGATAGGGCTACCATTGCATGACTGAATCGTCGACAGGACATTCATGAGGACAACGAATCCATCTAGCTCGCGAAATACAGACTGGTTATATTGGAGATAAGCGATAATCTGGGATTCAAAAGTTGCAATAAACCTTTGTATGCGCGTCTTGCAGCATGATTTTTTGTATTTCCGTCAAAATCTGCAATACGTTAGCAAGTGTCTCTCGACGACTGCAAAGAAGCGCACCTCTGTTTTCTCTCGGATCGTGTCACTCGTCTTGAGGTTCTCCATCGCATTCCGCATGAGCTCAATCAATACGTCGCGCGCAAAATCCTCCGGCGAAGTCTCTCCATCATGGCCAGAAATTGGTGGTGAAAAGTCAAAATGGGCCTTCAACGGCGTAAGAAGAGTACGGAACATAGTTTTCGGTCACGTATCATCTCATCTGTAGAGGAATCTGGCCTCTGAGAGACGTTGTGGCGTTCAAATACGAACAGGAATAAGGGGAAACGATGAAGATGGTGACGGGTTCGTCAGACACAGCCACTATGTTGCAACCCGACCTTCACAAGACGGTAACTTGATCTCCAAGGAAACTGGCGGAGGCGCTGGCTGGAGTCTTTTTTTTAACGACAGGTGCACAGGCGGTATATGTATATGTTCTTCAGTCTTGAAAAAGCGTATCTCTCACGACAATTCTTCCGGCCCGTGAAACCGAAGCCTTGCTATTATCTTTGTTCTGCACTTGGCTAGTTTCTCCCATCTCCTCCCCAAGGAGCTTCTCGTCTTGGTCTTGGTCTTGCTATTTCTCCTTCAAGGTGATTCAGACATTTGGTCCTCCTTCTGACAATTTTACAACAGTTTTTTCAGTGAGTACAATTGATACCTGTCCCCCGACGCGGCTTATTATGATCTTGACTCAAGGAGCGGTCCAATATACCTCCGTGTTCAATCTTGCTTCTTTCTCATAGCATGGTTTCCGGTCGTGCCATCGTAATTACTGTTCGAGTCACTTATCTACCCGGCAAGGCTGCAATCTTCTACCCCGGAGGCCTGGACAATGCTTTGAAGTTCCTCCTTGCCGACTTGACTTCGCTCTCACTTCCCCACCCCGAGGCATCCAATGTCCTGATATTGTCGACGGGAGTCCTGGATCTGTACTGGGAGACAACTGAAAGAAGCGTACGTTACCTTCTTTCCTGATTTTCTTGATCCCATGCACTGGTAATAGATCTTACATCATACTCTAGTCGGGAAAATCGCGAGCCCATCGAAAGATTGGTTGCAAATTTTAACAGGCCAGTTGATGTACAAGAGTTTGTCTGAGTGAAGGTCATCCACACTGACACGAACTTTTCAGTCAGAAGATGGTATACAAAGAGGAGTGAGATATCTTTCCCTTTCCACTACTGTTCTAATCTTGACAGACTTGACAAAACACTGAAGGACATCATCTTTACTCAGCTGAACTCTACCAACTGCAACCATGTCTCTCTGAAGAGAAGAGGTCGCCCTTCTCTTTCGGCATCATCCGCCAAGGTGGCAGAGTTTTCACCTTCATCCGAGCCCACTGCGCAGCCGTCAAGCGTGTCAGTATACCCCCAAAATCTGAGCTCAACAGAGGATGCTACATCACAAAGGCTTACTGAAAGTGCCGTTGAAATGGAACCCGGATTAGAGGTAAGTAGAGCAACATTCCCAGAAAGACGAGCGACTCAATTTCAAGAATGCCTCTTTAGGCACCACTTTCCCACGACGGTGCAAACCTGCTGCCACTCAGCCAGTGCTCTCCAAAAGCAGATCTATCAGCCAACGACGCCCCCTCACATGCGGAAGAGATGCTACCATCACATGTAAACCTTTCCATTGACTTAAAAACACTGATGCTAAGTGCTGTATTGTTAGACCGGTATATGCGTATCTCGCCCAGATTCTGTGTCAACACCACCGCCGGCGAAACGCGTCTATCGTGAACAAGAGATAACACAATTAATGCAAGAGCTAGAGCATCTCAACCGGGAGGTCACCAGCCTCGCTGCAAAGCGAGCAGAGATAAGGGAACGACTGAAAGATGCAGGTGCTACAGACATCCCTTTGTGTGATTCATCTGTGGAGGATTTCGGTTCGTAGCATTTGTTATAGAATTTCTTGTTCTTATGCCCATATGATTTGCAGCTTGTCGTATCCGATTGAGAGCCCTTGAGGTAGAGATTGAAATCGAACGACAGAAGAGGATTGAGTACGAGCTGGTGCTCGAGGACATTCGGAGGGAGTGCAAATTCCCGTTCATTGTGCCCTCTTTGCTTGATGCTTTCGTTGAAGTCTCCAAATTGACTAATGCCGCTGTGAAACATTGATCTAGTTCTATACTGATGTATTATGGTGTATGGTGTTAACCCACCCTCTGTGTTACTATCTGAATAACACTTATTGACTGTCTGATACATATGTATGTTTTCATCTGGTTCTTTTGTTGTTGAGATCACAATGCCATGATGACATGTGGCACAGGCCTCGCCATGCACGTACTACACGGTTCGTGGGTCCAGACCACACAGCTATTGAGATAACTTAAATGTGGAGCCTCTTGAAGTCCAGTATGTCAAATTGATAGCCCAGCCTTGAAGCGACTTGACAGTGAGAGAAGTGTTCTGAGATTAATGGGTTATATGTTGGTCAGTACTGTCGGGATTTTGCTGGAAAGTTCTAGAAAGGGCAATCCGGCATCATGCCGAGAGTTGATGAGTAAGCTCGAGAGAAAGAGAAAGTTGTAGTAAATTCTAGATACAAGCCTGGAGAGTATAAATACGAGCTCTGTAGGAGCTGCAGAATAAGGAGTTCATACCTTCCGGCCTTACCAGCCCGGAGTCTACCCTGCGCAACACCGAGGATTTCCAACAAGTACAACAGTACAAGCAGTCATTACTGCGAACGTCTCACTGGATTTGTATTGGATACCACTTGGGAGCGACCTGGGAACGGCTGCGGAGACGCCATCACTGAGCTAAGTTTAGGCAGGCACCTCCCGTGTCAGCATGATAAGCTGTGACTCAGCTCATCATCCAATCAACGATGTTGAATTCGTGATACTTTCCCTCAAAGCCAACTCTGCGATTGTTTCGCGTCGCAAAACAAATCGCTGCATCTCTCATCACCACAGGGACCCCCTCTTAGTGCAAATTTACGCTGAAACTGTCAGCGAATAGCGCCAACACATCCGTGTTGCCGCGGTTGCCCGACTCCGATCGGCTACGTGATCTGGATCGATGTATTTATACCGTTTAGAGTCATGCGAATGCGAGCCCTTGCCGAATGACGCATGTTCTTTGCTTTTGGTCCTTCTGTAGGCTTTAATAACTCTTAGCATCTTGGGATTTCGAACGGTCCATTTGCCCATCGCAATGTTCAATCCACTTCATCCGCCACCATCACCTCCTGCTTTTGCAGGTGACCATGTGTTACCAGAGGAGGACGCGGCGTTCGTACTTTTATGCTAGACTCCTCCCATCGCCTACTAAAATTGATTCCACAGAATTCTTTCAAGGTTGATTTTCCAATGGTTAGGCCCGTTTCTTGCCGTTGGCTTCTCAAGGCCTCTCGAAAAAGAAGGTGAGGGTTCTGAGTCGTGTGAAACACATCATATTTATCATCCCTTTCTAGATTTATGGCGGCTACCCCAGAAACATACTACCGGTTCGGTCACTGATGATGTAGAAATCAACTTCTACTCTCGATGTCCTCCTGAACAAAGGCCTTTCCCCCTCCGTCACAAACTTCCTAACGACGCTGAAGTTCCTGACTCGAGGGAATCACTTGAAAACGCTGAAAATCGTGCACCTGACGCTAAAAGGAAGTCAACTATAAAATACGATTCGTCTCTAACGAAGGCACTTCATCGAACATTCTTTGTTCGTTTCTGGTCTGCTGGAGTATGCAAACTAGTCGGAGGTAATTGGCTATATAAATCATCCTGAATGAATCCTAATCACTCTTGCGTTTTAGACACGTTGAAGACCGCCACGCCTTTGGTGACAAAACTCCTACTGACATGGTTGACTGAGTCGTATGACTACTACCGTCTGACGGATGAACAAAGAGTATCGGGAGTAATGGAACGTCCAAAGGGAATTGGCTACGGCATCGGACTTGGCTTTGCGATTTTTGTGATGCAAGGTATGACGGCCCTGAGTTCATGTTTCTCGCATACTCACCTAGATCACAGAAGCTGCCAGCTTGGTAGGGTAATATTTCTGCAATCTGATAAATCTACTCACTTGCCTTTCACAGTTCACAAATCACTATTTTCAGTGTACGCCGTCGATCCCATCTCCATCTCATGATTGAGCTGATTCTAAAAGCAGTCAGTATGATAACTGGGTTGTTATTAAGGACCGGAGTAAGCCATTGGCACGGTTCTCACATTGCTTGCGCACTGAGCCCTTATATTAGATCATTGGGAGTATCTTTCGAAAGTCTTTGAGACTTTCTGGACGAGCCCGGCTTGAGCATAGTGTTGGGAAGATTACTACCATGATTTCTTCAGATGCAAGTCGTCTTGACCGGCTCTGCATGTATATCCACAAGTAAGTTATCCTGTATCATTCACAGCATTTCATTGACTAATATTCGTATAGCGCATGGGTGGCTCCAATCCAGGTAATGTATCCATCCACAGCTCGTGTTTTTTGGTCATTAAATATCGGGCGTAGATTGTAATTGTTATTGGGCTCCTGATTAATAACGTTCGTCTGTTTTCTCTGTCACAGCATTCTTTTTCTAATAACAAACAGCTTGGATATTCTGCCTTGGTTGGCCTTGGTGTATGCTTATTTTATATTTTTTGCATATCATGCCCACATACTTTCCATAGGTTCTCGTTTTCAGCTTTCCGATGCAACTATACATTGGTCGCATCATGTTTGGTCTTCGAAAGAAGAGCATTAAGATCACAGACGCTCGTGTACGAGGCACGACAGAGGTGCGTGTCGGTCGTTCCTTGCCGGATAAGTTGAGACCGATCATTACTAGGTTCTTCAAGGCATCCGACTTATAAAATTTTACGCATGGGAGAGTTTCTACTCGTTCCAGATCGGTAAGCTACGCCAGAAGGAAATCAGCATTATCAAGCAAGCCGCGTATGTAGTCGTTGATTCCTTTGACCAGCAGCTAACGGATGCATATAGGCTTGCCCGTGCGGGACTTATTGCCATCGTCACTTTCATTCCTGTTCTTTCGTCGGTCCTGTCATTTGTAAGCACCTCATTGCGTAATGAAAAGTACTTCGATGACAAGACAAATTTAGATTACTTATGGGCTCACCGGACACAGTCTCAATATTGCCATCATCTTCAGTTCTCTACAATTCTTCAATGTATGTGTCCACGGTTCTTCTCACATCCGTTGTTGAATCTCGCCTCTAGATCATTCGAACTCCTCTCATGTTCTTACCTCTAATTGTCACTGCCGTCTCCGATGCATTAGTGGCATTAGGTCGTATCTCCAAGTTTCTGACGGCCGAGGAACTTTCCAATCAATACATCGTCAATGAAGACAGTAAACATGCCGTGGAAGTCGACGGGACCTTTACTTGGGAAACGGTGGAGCGACCCGACAGCCTCAAGTTTGGACCTCCTCGTGGTGGGAAACCTGACAAGCGGGATAAACAGAAGACATTGCCCCTCTCGAAGGCAGATGTCGATGATACTTCTTCGCAAACGGCAACTGATCAACCCTTCGAACTCCAAGATCTTCGCATGACTATTCCTAAGGGTGGCTTCGTGGCTATCGTAGGCCGTGTCGGCTCCGGAAAGGTATGAATGATGTCCTACTGCACTTCCTTTTATCCTTACGCTACCTTAAGAGTTCGATTTTGCAAGCCCTGATCGGTGAAATGCGACGGATCAAGGGCGAGGTACGTCGCTGTGAATTGTGCGCTGCTGCGTTATTAACTCCCCGGCAGGTTATTTTCGGTGGTTCGGTGGCCTACGCGCCTCAGAATGCTTGGATCAAGAATGCCACTGTGCGAGAGAACATTTTGTTTGGCCAAGACCTCGACGAAGATAGGTCGGTAACAGTATGCTCATCTGTTTTGCTTACCCTGATCTAATGAAAATCAGACTCCAACAAGTTATTACCGCTTGCAGCCTGGAACATGATCTTGCCATGCTTCCCCAAGGAGAAGAAACGGAAATTGGCGAGAAGGGAATCAATTTGAGTGGTGCGTATTTCTATCTTATTTTCTCTCTAGGTCTATCTCAACGTCTCCTTAGGCGGCCAGAAAGTGAGCTATGCATCATCATTTCATCATTTTACTGACACTCGTATAGGCTCGCGTATCCTTGGCCCGTGTTGCATACTCCCCGTCAGATATAGTGCTTCTTGATGACCCGCTCTCAGCCGTAGACGCGTACGTTGGCAAGGCTATCCTAGATAACTGTCTGCTCAAGGGACCCCTTGCTTCGAAAACGAGGCTTCTTGTCACCCATGCATTGCACGTCCTAGATAAAGTGGACTACATCTATGTTGTCGACGACGGCGTAATTAAAGAGCAGGGAACGTTCGCTGTGCGTACTTCAACATCACAGACATCTGCTTGCTAAGTATACGAACAGAACCTTATGGATAGTAGTGTCATCTTCTCTCGTATCATGGAAGAATATGGGACAATGGAGATCGACGAAGATACGCCGGAGAAAAGCGACGTTGTTGACATCAAGGGAGAGAAAGCAAGCACAGACACACTGAAAGACAAGAAGGGAGCTCTCATGCAGACAGAAGAAAGATATACTGGAGCTGTTACTTGGACGACGTATCGTGACTACCTGCGCTTCGCTGGAGGTGTTATCTGGGCACCGATTTTGCTGTCTCTGCTAGTCTTGAACCAGTGTTCCCAAGGTCAGCACCTTTTCTCACCCTATACCGTTGTCGCTTATCCATATCCTCAGTCGGAAATAACCTCTTTTTGGGTTTCTGGACTGGAGAAAGTATTCACGGATTCACCCAAGGACAGTATATGGCTGTCTACGCCGGTCTCGGTACTTCTTCATATTACTCGTACGCATTCGTTTTCCAATGTCATTTCAGGCATCTCCCAAGCAGTCTTTACTTTCTTAGTGACAGCCGGCTTTGCGTCAGTAAGCTTTATCTTCGCTTTGCTCCCGAATTAACGGTCCACAATAGCATGGCTGCATTGATTGCTAGCTTATCCCTGTTCAAAACTGCATTGTCAAGAGTATTGAGATCTCCGGTCTCTTTCTTCGACACGACTCCTGTCGGTGAGAACTGCGAATTCTTGCAGTTCGTATGCCTCGAGCTGAAGCATCAATGATAGGTCGGATATTGTCAAGACTTTCAAAGGACCAAGACACTTTGGATAATGAACTGGCCACAATTCTCGCGCAGGTACTGCGAATCTTGTACCGTTGATAATCCCATCTGATCGTATTCAACAGTTCCTTACCACTTTCAGTTCCGTCGTTGGAACAATCGCACTCGTTTTCTACACATTTCCGCTCCTTGGGATCATCTTTGGTCCCATGATCGTTCTGTACTACTTGGTGGCGATGTATTACCGTCGATCGTCTGTGGAGACCAAGCGACTTGACTCCCTTATGCGTTCAGCTTTATACAGCTCTTACTCAGGTTTGTGGTGGCATCACACCACAACAACACGTGACTTATAAGTACGGACGCGTTTAGAAACATTGACTGGTCTTGCGACGATACGAGCGTTCCGTGAACAGGTATGGTACGGGTTTGCAAGAATTCTTAGTTCTTATTTATTGTATTCTCTCAGGACCGTTCCATTAGGAATGCTGAATCTGGACTCGACTTGGAGAACAGGGCATATTACATGACTATTTCCATTCAACGATGGCTCAGTGTCCGTCTCGATATTTTTGGGAACGTCCTCATCCTCGGAATAGCCCTTTTTGCCGCTGGATATAGAAATACCGTCAACCCGTCCAAGATCGGAGTTGTCTTGACGTATACGTTGAACAGTAGGTCCCTAATATGCTTACTCGGGGCGGTCTTTAACAAATCTTTTCCAGTCACACAGATTTTCTGTAAGCTTACATTTCACGGTCCCGGGTCACATCCACTAATCCGTCATCTAGCTGACATGGTATCCCAATTCGCACAAAATGAGCAGAACATGAATGCGGTGGAGCGTGTACTGGTGTATACAGAGTTGACATCGGAAGGGAACACCATTCCACCGGACGAGCCATCCGCTGAATGGCCTGAAAAAGGCGTTATCAGTTTTGAAGACGTTTCCCTGGCCTATAGGGAAGGACTCCCACTCGTCCTTCACGGCGTCAGCTTCAAAATCAATTCCGGCGAGAAGGTGGGAATTGTAGGCAGGACCGGAGCAGGTGATTTCAAATTTCAGCAGCCCTGTACGAGTATTCTGATCTAGATTGACAGGCAAGAGCTCCTTACTGCAGGCCCTCTTTCGGTGAGGTATCTTTCCTGTACCCTTTTATAGATTAACTCAACCATTTTGTAGAATTGTCGAACTTCAAGGAGGAAGGGTAGAGATAGACGGCCACGACATCAGCAAAATAGAACTCGATACCCTTAGAGGCCGCCTGGCACTAGTACCTCAAGATACGACGATGTTTCTGGGAACTTTACGGGATAACCTGTATGATACCTTTCATCTCGATGGTCATGGTTGTTTTTTAACGCCACATAGTGATCCTCAGGGCTCACGCACGGATGCCGAACTCATATCGGTTCTCCAGCGCTCGTGGCTTCTCCCTCCGGACGGCGTCAAGGATGCAGTAGCTGAGGCCAAGTTCAGCTTGGATGCGACCGTAGGAGATGAAGGTAAGACGATCCCACAATCTTTTTGCTGCGTATACTGACGAGCGTTTTCCAGGGTCTAATTTTAGTGCGGGTGAGAAGCAACTGCTCGCTCTTGGCCGTGCGCTGGTCAAAAATAGTAGAATCATTATTCTGGTACGTTAGGTATGATCATTGATGGCAGGCAGCTTATTGATATTGCTCAGGACGAAGCGACGAGTAGCGTGGATGTCGAAACAGATGCGAAACTACAGAGGACGATCCAAACCGAATTTTCTTCTTCGACAGTGCTTTGCATAGCCCACAGACTGAATACAATAGGTCAGCTCCACCTATATATGAACTAGGACCACGAACTCACATCATTTTGAACAGCTTACTACGACCGTGTAATGGTGATGGATGCCGGAGAACTGGCAGAGTTCGACACGGTCATGAACTTGTTCGACAAAGAGGATTCTATCTTCAAGTCGTTGTGCAATGAGGCAAACTTACAACGTTCCGACATTGAGCGCATTCGGATAGATCACGGAAAAGCAGCCATATAGATTTAGTAGCTCATATATATTCCACGCACTTCTCGGCATACCCTTAATTAGATATCTGCATCTTTCCCTCCATGACTTGGACTGCGTTGCCTGCCAGCTCAACGGATGCCACCTCTCCATTAGAGACACTGGAGAATACCCTGACTTCGCTTCGCCGACCTATCTCAATCCCTTGTACAAGTTTGAATGCCCAGTTGCCATCACCGTTCTGTTGTCCCAACCAGCCACCCAAAGCACAAGCAGCAGACCCTGTAGCGGGGTCCTCGTAGCTCCCTTTGAACATTCGAGTCCGTATCGTCCCATCCGCCATTCGCACAAACGCGTACAGCTTGGCAGGTCCTCCTGCTCCCTTCCAGTCTCCTAGATATTCATCTGGCAAGCTGAACCACTGAGCATAGGGCTGTAACTTTGCTAGCGCCTCTTCGGAAGAAAGTTCGACCATGATGAAGGTCATTCCTTTGACGATGGAAACCTGGATTATTACTGAGGGGACGCAAGATTTTTCAGAGGAATGCAACATACCACCGGCTCTGCACCATCCACGCCGTTAACGTAGTCGCTATCCTTCAAGGCGGGCTGCTTCGCCTTCAGAATATCATTCAAGTATGGTGTATGCACCTTGAAGTCAACAGGTACTTTCAAGCGCACGCCCGCGTCCTCGCGGGATACCAATACGTCCCCGGCTTTCGTCCGTAATGTGAGCTTGTCCTTGCCGGTTTTCGATAGCAGATAACATCCTGCACCCACTGTAGGATGACCAGCAAATGGCAGCTCTTGGGATGGGGTAAAGATGGAGATGGGAAATACGGCTCCCGAGTCTGGTAATTCTTCTCGGTCATGAACGAAGACTGTTTCTGAAAAACTGAATTCGCGAGCGATAAGCACTCGTTGCTGCTGCGATACGTGAGATGACTCTGGAGATGATAGATGGACGATTGCCAATGGATTTCCTCGAAATGGCGTCGTTGTAAACACGTCGAGAGTGGTATAATGCAGCGCCGCCATCGTGGCTGCGACGAGAGTATACCTTTTACCAACGTCGGACGGAATCGCCTGAAAAGGGCTGCCTTTGCCGCCACGTTTCGACCCTGATAGCATATGTGCCGACCGACGAGCAACAGTCGGGGCCGCCAAAAGATTCAAGATAATTGATACAAGTCATTGGACGACAGTGGTGAGAGTACGAAGACAACGAGGGTCACGATGCCAATGCCACAGCTCTTTCCGTTACCATCAGCACCATCATTAGCACCGACGGCTCACCTTCTTATCACCATGTCATTTTCGTTTATTTGGAAGTATACCGACCCTAGCTTGCAGCATCCAAAACGAAGCCACAAGAGTTGTGTGTTTTACGACCGCATACATCCAGGAATGCTTTGACTGAATAAGTATTTCGACCTCTTCCCACTGTTGCATGTGTAATGACTCGGCGCTGCGCCCAGAATCTCTTCATTGACATTCTTTGCTGACGGCATAATACACCCTTTTCTTGACCGTCCGCTTCACCAAGTTTCATTGCATATGCTCCGTTGCTCTCACTGCGGAGGTGACCTGATACACATGCCGTTATTGTCTGGGGTACACGTATTTTGAAGTTACGCACGATTCATCCAGATATTCTCCAGAGGACAACGCTATACGTATATGGCGTCTTCCTACGTTCTCGGGATCCATCTCGCACTTGACTCTTACTCTCTTCTTCGTTGATGATAAAAAGGACGAGTGCTTGCCTCAACGTATTCAACATGACACGAAGAGCTCCCTCCACTTCCCCTCCTAGAAATGCAAAACGTGCCAAGATAGAGCATTTAACTCTTAATGACTTCAAGGATGGCGTTTTTCTGGCACCAATGGTGCGCTCTGGTGCTCGTATGTTTGAGCCTATAAAGATGATTTCGAGAATATTCTCATCTTTAATCGTAGCTTGGAATGTCCGTCTAACGACCGTTTCCAATGCTACTACTTGTGAGCTCGAGACAGCTCAGAACGCCCAACAGAAAGGTCAGGGAATTGTTGGCTGCTCTCATGGCAACTGCTCTTCCCGAAGAGACGCTGGATTCCTAGGACTCCGGAAGCTAACGCTCTTGTGGGTAATGTGGCGGACGCTTACGAGGAAGGTTTTTGAAGCATATTTTTCCAACATAAAGGTGCTCGGTGGCTGTCGAGGGGTACCATGAATTCGGGACTCTCGATCCCTCTTTGGGCGGGTGGGTACGTACTTCAGCATTCAGGGCGGACGGCCTTAGGCGCTAAGTCTCGTTAACCGTTCAATCTCCACGCCCTATGTAATTACCTCTGTTCATTTCCGCCACTTCGTTTTTCTTGTCCACTTGAGGGTCCTCCCCTTGCCGGAGCAAAGGGGAAAGGAGGCTATAGTGACTAGTGCATCGGCACGTATCCCCGACTCGGCTTTCGGGATTCGGACATTCATGGACTCTTCATCTTGCGTGTCAGAATGCTCAAGAGTTGAGGCTGTACGTAGCTGAGGTCCAACTTTGCGATGAACGCTGCTTGACTCGTATCCTCTGTTGTGCGCCCGAAGGTTCATCTATTTGCGCTTTACATGAACTTCAAAGTCATTGATAGCGTTTTATGTAGCCTGGTGATCAAAACCATCGGAGGACACTTTAAAAAGTTCTCGTTCGTTTTTTGGATCCCCACCCCATTGTGGATGTTCGTGCTTTGAAAATTCTTTCAAGTTCTCAGAGTCGCAAACCAGTTTGGAACTCTTACCCTCGCCAGTCCGGTTTTTAGATCCAGGACTCGCTCTATCGCGCTCTCTTTCTAGGATGACTCATACTTACTTGTTCACCACCAAGGTCATGTCCGGAGGTAATCGTCGAGCCAGAGAGACATTGCGATTAGAGTGGTAATTCCATTCTTCCTTTAGATATCTCATCGACTTTCAATTCTGAAGCGAAGGGAACCCGCAGAGAACCATTTTGCACCACGAATTCTAGCAGAAGAAAAAAAAATTGTCTCGTAAATCAGAAAATAGAAAGCTGATAATAGTGAACGCAACATTCTCTCCTTTGTGGCGCTGCTGCTCTCAAAACGTTCGGGCAATCATTCGTCATGCTGATCAGATTATGTTCTTGAAAATAGTGGAACCAATATTATCTCCACGCCTGGAGTCGGTCAGAGCTGAAGGTACAAAAGGCTACGTTAATTCTCAAGTCGTGCAACATTCGTCGTTAAACAATCAACATCCTCCTTCAAATGCTCTCTCGTCTCTCAACTGTCTCTCTTGCCCTCTTGGCTTTGCCTCTCCTCGCTGCCACAAGCGTAGTTCCTAAACAATCCACCAACACCACCGTGTCCTGGGGAAAATGCAACACCGGATCCGCACAGTGTTACAAGTCTGTGCTTCTCTGCCTCGGAGCGATTCGAACTAATCGATATCGTTCATCAGCCCAAATCCAGTGCCGCTCAGAACGTCCTCGGTTTACTGGGGATTCCAATCGGCGATATCACCGCTGGAGTGTGGGTCTTCTTGTGCAGCATATCTGTTCATCTCGAACTAAACTTATGCTCTCCGCAGTAGTCTAACTTGCGGCCCCATCACGGTCATTGGTCTTGGCACCACCCAGTGTGCGAACCAGCCCGTTTGCTGTGGCAACAACGACTACGTGAGTATCGGGCTATCCTTCTTGAAGAAGTGAATGTTGACACAAACAACAGAACGGTTTTGTTTCTCTTGGTTGCACTCCCATCAACGTTGGCGCGTAAGTTTTCCATGGTAGACCTATTCATTTGTTTCTTTCATGGCTCAGGCTATACCACATACGATACCCATTTAGAACGCCTTCGTCCATATACTCATTTTTTGGCTCTTCCGCTTTTGCGAACTTGAAGAAGTGGCCAGAACATAGCAGTTCTGATGCTCAGCATGGAAGATTCCTCGGATCCTTGCAAACAATATTAGGTCTGTTGGCTCAAGCGAGCTGAGCAAAGGGAGGTATATTGCTTCTACTCCGATCATATTCCGCCTTGGACTTACCAGTACGGCTACCGTCCATGCGAATCCGCGGAAGACGTCAGTTGGGCTGTTTCCGTCGACTACGGTGCTGGTGAGAACCAAGTTCTGTTAAGCTTCGTTAGACTCAAAATACCCTCGTTGCTCCTTAGATGAAGCACGCATAAGTCATTAACCTCGATGTTAACGAAATTGTTGATAAGCTCAGGCGCTACTGACCAGAGGCACTTCATTGTACTTATTGTCGAAAGATTGCGACGAAATGGCACATGCAATAAGCCTAAATTAGTATTTTGATGAAAGTAGAGATCAATCTTGATGCTTCTGTATGACATCGATTATCATCACACTCGTTCATTTGGCGCACCGATGTCATCGATACTTCAGTGCTCGAGCTACTGCTGATTCTCTCCGAGCACCTCTAGGCGCGCTGTATTGGCTTAATCATCACGAAAGGGGCCGCTGCCGTACGCATTACGCGACTTTTCGTCCACGATGACCCGACCGCGCCAAATTGAACCCGCCCTAACTCTGGTCTGTTGCCCCAGAGTCCAGGGACTATCAAACTGCCGTTGGCCACCCCCTACACCAAGCCTATCCAAGCCACAAAAGCCTTATTTCTCGCGCGTGGGTTTCTGCGCAGAAAACCCCATGGGAACAGTTTTCTCGATCTTATCATGTGGGGTCCTAACCGAGGACCCGTTCCTGCGTAATGTTCCTATTTGCATCGGACCGCGCCCTGTATTGTCCCCGCATGGCGCCCTCGATCCGATTTTCGGTTGTCTAAACTTGATACGAACGTAAAAATAACATATAGCCTCTCTCTCTGCGTCGACAGTTCGACTCAGCCTTCCTGCATAACGGTAAACGACATCACCCCTACCACGAGGCCAACAGGACTAGCAAAAAAGTCCCGGACGGAGTGTATATAACCCGGTAGAGCTCGTCTTTTTTTCGCTCAGAGTCAGCGTATCAGTCTCTTCCCATGTCTCGTTCCTCAGAGAAACTCGGCCAGTCCTCCGCCAGCTTGGGGGAAATTCCTACTGAGTCCAATCTTGATCCCGTGCCCATGCACGACGTCCAGATTGAGCCCAACTGGTGGTGGAAGTATCGGTACGCCTACCTCTCGAGGTCCGCAACGTCGACTAACTTGCCACAGCCAAATCCTCCGGGAGCCCGCCGCCGAGTTCGCTGGTACGATGCTCCTCGTTATCTTTGGTACCGGCGTCAACTGCCAAGCTGGTTTGTCCACCAATACAGGGGTGGCGTCCTCTCCCAAAGGTGTGAGTAATTGTCTCATATTCTGAAGAGAAGCTGCGCGGTCACTCAACGGATTTGCATCTCAGGACTGGGGCTCAGTATGCTTGGGCTGGGGAGCTGGTCTGTACTGATGTGGCATGTCATTGTTGTGCTTCTTATTGAAAGATTCTTCTAGCTATCGCACTCGGTGCATGGGTGAGTGGTGGTGTTTCTGGCGGTCATATCAATCCTGCGGTACCGCATTTCTCGTCTCGAATCTTGTGTGGCGTTTACTTATGTTCCAGATTACTCTGGCTTTCGCTACGTGGCGCGGATTTCCGTGGAAGAAAGTTCCTGGTAAGGCCGTTTGACTTTAGCGAGATGAATCAACATTTAATTTTGCTACAGTATACATTATTTCTCAATTACTAGGTGGAATTGTTGGTGCCGGAATTGTTTATTCCAATTACTTCCATGCGATTGATATCGTGGAGGGAGGACGTGGAGTCAGGACTCTACTCACCGCAGGAAACTTCGGCACAATCCCCGTAAGCGCTTTCCCACTCGGTCCTTGAAATGTTTGTATTCACATCCTCTTTCCGTCAAGCTTGACTACATGACGAATGTCTCCTGTTTCTTCTCCGAATTTCTGGGAACGGCAATCCTTGTACTCGTCCTACTTGCTGTGCTCGACTCGCGTAATGGCGCACCACCGAGTGGCCTCGTCCCTCTCGTGCTTTTCGTAACCTTCCTCGGAATAACAGCTTCTTTGGGCATGGAGACGTGTAAGTGGGATTACACTTTACCTCCGCACGTTTCATACAATTTTCACAGCGTTCGCGATCAACCCTGCTCGCGATCTAGGTCCAAGACTTCTCACCTCCATGGTCGGCTACGGGAAAGCCGTCTACACGTTCAGACAGTAAGCTCGTTTCGTTGTTTTGTAACAAAACATTCAATCCGGCATGCTTTAGTCATTATTGGATTTGGTGCCCCATCATGGCACCAATTCTAGGCGCACAGGTGGCTGCTATGTTTTATGATGTATTCATTTACCAAGGACACGAAAGTATTGTTAACAGGCGGTAAGGAACCTCTCTCATGATCTGAAATGTCGGACTGAGCTGGAATGCAGCAGCGGAAAAATTGGGAGGCGCCTTGCGGATATGGTTTGAATAGAGACACAGTATGTCGGCTCCACAGTGAGCGCACTCAAATTTATGGTTTGCGTCAGAGGTCAACATGATTTGTACCTCCGAATGCAGGTGTTTCCCTAAGGCCTATGGCCTCTGTGGATCCTTTTCAATGCACAACCAATAAAATATTATGTATTGCAGTGATTACTTCCTTATGACGTTCGTCCAATGTAGACACATTTTATAGGGTTATATGTGCAGTCAGATTTGAAGCATCTCCACTTGACGACGGTGTGGATCAGTAACGGCATCATGTTATATTGCCTCCATAGACACCGTCTCTGAGCTGCGGAGCATTGGGCTTTAGAGCCGATCTTGGATTCAGTGGTTTCGTGAGAAAGCGACTCGGACGTCAGACATTGTTCTGGAATCGTCGGCTTTAGTCGGCAAATCTGCCACGGTCATGTGATGTTGATTTGCACCTTTTGAATCTGAGGAGCGGGTTTCCTTGCCACCACCATCATGTTGACCTCCCGTCCAATCTCAAGAAACAATGACCTCATTGGGCACCGACAAATGCTTTCCAAGACTCCCGGGCGCGTTATGCATCAGAACGAAAACGCGAACAGAGGCCCAGCGACTGTTCATGGGAAAGGCAAGAACACACTCCTGCAGACACCATTTAATGGAGGGAAGTTCAGTGAGTCACCCTCGCATTGTTCAGTTTTTACCTATATCTTATTTTTCTGCACAAGACAAGGAAGGAACGCAGGGCAAACAAGCACCATCGCGACCACTTGTTGACAAAACGCCTTTTCCAAATCGCACAGATGTACAGTTCCAAACACCCTATACCTTCAGTTTTGATAAGCTTTCGTCGCCCGATTCAATTCTTCGACCAAGCTCCCTCAGGCGGCACGTTCGCGTTCCCAGAAGTGCGACAAAGAGCTTCGAAACGCCCATCAACACGGGAAATCCTTGGCAGTGCGATGTGAGCATAGGATCTCCCGAACTTGTGGTACAACAGTTAGTGCTGGAGGATGATCTGGATGAAGTTGAGTACATGGCGCCCAATACCCTAGGTTAGTTTGCTTCAAGACACTATACTTCTTCAACCTCGCTCATGTTTCCCTCAGACATGCCCTATGTCCCGCCGTTCGGTTTTGACTTCCCTGATTATAAGTCCGTTGGAAAGACACTTCTTGAGATTGCTCGTGGGCCACCCTACGAAAACGAGCCTCCGCCACTGCCAGAGGTAAAGGATGATGAACTGGGCATGTCAGCGTGGGATAGGTTGTTACCTCTTCCAGACCTTGGTGCGTCCTTGACGTCATGTTTATAGCGCTCTGTTGACATTAATAACAGAAGATGACGGTCCAAAGAGGGTTATACGCAAGGACATCCACCCTAAGCCTAATTCGACGTCTGCACGAACCACACCAACACGAACTGTAGGAAAGACAGTGTCTGCAACCAAATCTACTCCTAATCCCTCTTCTCGTACTGGTACAGCAGTATCTACCAAACTTAAGCCGATCACTTTTGCCAACAAAGCAACGTCGCGCCCCGCCACTGCTACTTCTCTTCGTCAGCCAGTGGTTCCTATGAAGAGCTCACGGCCAGCAACATCCCAGTCTGTGACTACAGCATCGATGCGTTCAAGAGTCGTTCCAATGCGACCCACTTCGGGTACACAGTCGCGGGTCGTGCAGAAGCCGGCGGCTCTTCTTAAGCACGCATCTTCGGCTACAAACACCAAGCGAACGGTGAAAAAGCCTGCAGAAGACCCCTTGGTCGTGAAGTTGGAGCAAGACTTGGAAGATTTTATGTTTGCGGTGTAAGCCCCGTTTACTATCTGACATTGGAGGACATTGATATCTCGGTTTGTATCTCGGATTGCTTTGTATTCGCATTTTCCCAATTCATACAATTTGGTAACCCTTTAGGCCCAAATCAGACACTTCGTAAAATAACCGTCGACAAACAGTGTCCCAAATTCCTTGACACGAAACTTCAATAGCCACTTTGACCTCGACACCGTACCACAAAATCAGCCACTCGTTTCACCCTTCCTCTCGAGTCTCGACCCGTCTCTCGCGCCACGCTACAGCCCCCAACTACGCAATTTCTTTCCTACATGTCACTACCCACTCTGTGCACTCCGCAAGGCAGGCCCGCCCGCAACCACTCGGTCGCCGCTGTCTTGGACCTGGTATTTTTGCGTCAAGTCTTAGATGACCCTGTTAAAGGCGAACAGCAATATTACTTATACAAGCTCTACTTCTACATGGTCATGTCTAACCTCTATCTACTCGGATATATATCCCTTGCCCTTCAAATAGTCGGTAATAATTCGGACACTCTCCGCAACATCTGTCGTCGACGTGTCAATGTGAATTTCTGGATTCTCTGGAGCTTCATATGGTGCTGAGATTCCGGTAAAGTCTACAGCCAATTTTGAATGCGCTGTTCATGGGATTTTTTTGCCGCAACTCACCCTTGATTTCTCCGGCACGAGCTTTCTTGTATAGTCCCTTGGGATCACGTTGCTCGACAACATGGAGAGGCGCATCAACAAACGCCTCAATAAACGGCAACGATGCTTGCTCGTGTATTTCCCGAGCAAACGCCCGATCGGCGCGATACGGCGAGATGAAGGCGGTGATAGCGATGCATGAAGCATCTGCAAATAGCTTGGAGACCTACCCAGACCATCAATACAGACATCTTAAACGAGAGCGAAAGAACATACTTCGCTCGTACGGCGAATATTCTCGTTCCTCGACTTCTCGTCAAAGCCCAGATCCTTGTTCAGCCCGAATCTGACGTTGTCGCCGTCGAGGCGGTAGGAGAACTTGTGGAGATGAAGTAGGTGCTGTTCCAATGCACACGCGATGGTCGACTGTTACGACGAGCGTGTCAGCGTCAGCGTGCAGCCTCCAAACAGCTACGTGACGATCGTACCTTTCCACTAGCACTCAAACCCGTCAACCAAATAGTGGCGCCCTTTTGTGTGAGGAGACCTGTTCGCTCTTCAGCAGAGACGGAACCTGGGAACGCGGATTAGTCTTCAATGAATTCCACCCAATACAAGACTAGCCCTACCAGGGTGGAAAGTAATGTTTGTGGCCATCTTGGGATGTGGAATACTCGTGTACTACCGATCCACTGCACCGTTACAGGCCTTTTATACAGAACATTAAGGACTGGGAAAAAAAGTAAGTTGGTCATAGTTGCATGTGCAGAAAGGAGGGCTCGTCATTTTGTCACCATAATTGCATGACGGAGTCACGCGCCTGACAAAGCGGACGCGTCAATCACTGTGACAACACGAATACTTGTCGCGACTCGGACTGTCCATCAGAATATGTACACAAAACTACATCCATTTTGAAAAACTACGTATTAGATATGTTGTACAACATCTAATATATATGATTGAAAAGAACATCCAACAAAAGTATTAGAAGTGAATTCCAAGAACATTGAGAAGGGTCGTCCTAAGTAAAATGGTATAGATAGGTAAGTAATCCAAGCCTTTATATAGATCCAAAAGCATATATACAGCAGAAATGAGATAAGATTCTCAAAGAGAGTAAGGAAGAAAGGAAGGCTGTGTTAACCCCAGTCAACAACCAGACCTCCAGGACCCGCACCAGCAAGGCCTATTTCACGCTTGGACTCACGATCTATCCATCTGAGTGTCCGCTTATCACTCTGTAGCAGAGGCTTCAGCTTCTTGAAACAATCGGCATTGTGATCCTGTCAAACGATAAACGAATAAGCATTCCAGCATACACAGGTGACAAATCGCACCTTTATCCATGCTTTCTCCTCCTTGGTCAGCATGCTGTCCTTGATCATGCGCGTCTGGATGGGGACACAAGTCAGACGTTCAAACGAGAGCCAGATCGGTCCATTGAATTCTCCCCGGGTCTGAGCAAAGAGCGAAGTCAAATGATGGACACGAGGGAAGAGATGGACCTAGAACATACCGTGACACGACGCACAGAGAGGGCCGACTCAATACGAATACCCCACTTCCCATCGTTGTCTATACAAAAAACATCAGTCATTCGCCACCCGAGTGTGATTGATCACAACTCACAAAACCCAGGTTCATTGGTGACGACATGCCCCGGAACCAAAGGCACATTACTCGAAAATCCTTGCGGGCCTTCATGCACAGTCAGGAATGATCCAAAGCCGTGTCCGGTTCCGTGCTATCGCAGTACCGCTGTTAGCATTACGTCATGACCTTCGGTCGCAATCCGCTTACCAAGTAATTGTAGCCTTCCTTCCACAGGGCTCGACGTGCCAGAACGTCTAGTTGACGGCCAGATGTACCTTCCGGGAACACAGCGGTATCGATTGCAATCTAGAGATAGGACCATGAGGACATTTCCATAATTATAGAAGCAGAGTCCAAAAACATACATGACCTTGCAGAACTCTTGTGAATGCTTCACATTGCTCCGCGTCTGGTCGACCAAAATGTATGGTTCGAGTAGTGTCACATGTCCCGTCCCGGTACTGTCCTCCCGAGTCGCTAAATGATATGTCAGACTCACATGTCTCTTTGCGAAGAAACCCGGAACTCACTTGAGATACGGAGTGCCCTTGTCAATCATCCGTGCTTCTGACTTGCGGGGCGAGTAATGGGGAAGAGCAGCGTTCGGTCCGCTTGCGGATATGTTCTGGTAAGCAAGGCCCATGAAATACTCTTGCTTCCTGCGGAATTCTGTTAAGCGTTGTGCGGCTTCCCACTCTGTGATATCGTAGCCGGCATTCAGCTTGTCCTCAAGCCAAGCCAAGAACTGGACCTGTTCGTATGGTTCAGTCGGAAAGGTCGTAAATGATTTGGGCTAAACGCACGTAGGCAACTCCATCTCGCATGTACGCTCTTCTCAGACCCTTCAACTCCGTCTCATTCTTGACTGAAATCATGTATTCCACATGTGACGGTAGTACACTACACCGGTAGTGCGACAGCACAAGTGAGATAGTATAAGAAGACTGCGGTGATATTATGATCTGCCGTGCTACTTCAATTCACCATACAAAAGCCCAAATAGAAAATGCGTCGTACCTTGCCTTCACCCCATTCTCTCTTGCGCAGGAAGGCCCAGATGTCGCTGTAGTCTCGCCGCAATACCTTTAATTCTTCCAAGTAAGAGGCGATGTTTTCAGTTACTTTGGATCCCTCCAAGAATAAGATAACGCTGTCGAGTCCGATGAAGAGATATGCATGGAAGAGCGGGTTGAATGGGATATCTGAACCTCGCAGATTCAATAAGTACGCTGTAAGTAAATTGTAAATTGGGGTCAACAAAAACATGTAGCCGAACAGAAAGAATGATACACACCTATCTGAGGCAAGGATGTGACGAGCGCTCCGACCTGATATTGCGACGGCTTTGGTTCCGAGCGAGAGTAGGAAGGGACATCCGGAGGCTGGTTCTTAATCCACGCCTGGACCTTGGCAATCTTGGAAGCGGCCTCTTCGCCTGCGAAAAGACTCAGATACAAGCTCGCACTGCGCGAAGGAAAAACTAACCTGAAAATTGTATCGGTTGCTGGAAAACGGGCTCTTTCGACCTCGTGGGTTTACCTTTCCAAATCAAGTCGATGAGGTTCTGCACTGGATACGCCAATTTTGCCCCCAAAGGGTTGATCTTGGAACTGATAAGTATAGCTTGCTCGTACGGCAGCATACGTCCATCTATGCCAATTTTTGAGTTATGGGCGCGCGGCTGTATAATATTACCATGGCTGTTAGAGAAACTTAGAAAACGGAATCACTCACCACAAGCCAGTCTATCCAATCTTTTGGTTCCCCCGAGGCACCGGCACGAACCAGCTTCCAATTAGCATCCAATTGCTCTGTTGCTTGCATCCAGTACCGAGAATCAGTGATGAGGTAAGCCTCCGTCTTAGAGACGATTGCCTGTCCCGAAGAACCCGAAAATCTATCTCACGTCAGTCGGGATGTCAGTTGCGAGAAACAAAAACAAGCACCCTGAGATATATTGCCTTCGTTTGTCACTCTCCGCCACATATTCAGACCCGTGAGCATCTTCGCTTGGCACAATGCTAAGTCGAATGGAAATATTGAGCAGCAGTAAGGCAGAAGAGATGTAGCATACGCACTAGAAATCCAGCTGTTCTTTCTCCATCTGTTTCCGTAGCTCCGCTAATCTCTCCGACGTGTGCACCACGTCCCGCAAGGAATCAGCGAAAGTGTTTTTACGTTCAAGCGCAGATCCGACAAGTGTGCTTGAAGAATCATTGCTGCCGCGGGGCCTCTCAAAGGCATTGCTGCGGCCTGAACGATTCGAATGATGCGTTGATTTGCTGCGGTATGTGCTGTGCGTGTTCTGAGTAGTTCGACTGGCTTGCGTCGATTGGGAGTTCTGGCGTACAGGTGGCTGGTAGACAGGTAGGTCGACAGAAGGAGTCTTCGATCTCTGGGACTGCGACATTTCCCTGGTCAGCTCCGCTTCCTTCTCCTTCTCTCTCTGCTTGCCCAATCCCCATCCATACCCCCATCTGTTGGATAGTGTGGACTTCTTCGTGCCAGTCATAGTGTTTGAACGCTGAAGGCGTCCACTCTTCCCCGACTTTTCGAGCGGAGGAAGCTCCTTGGGGACTTCATCATACTTCTCCGAATCTGTTACGAAGGTGAGGTTGTCCACGGATGCAGTCATCGAAGATGAGGCTGATCTGGAGGCTGTGGAAGACCTAGAGGCCGTTAATGAAGCTTTAGAATGTTGAGACTGCGCCCTCTCCAGCTGTGACGCTGATCCCGTCATTGGTGGTACTGACATGCTCGAAAAAGAAAGGCGCCGTTTTTCTTTTTTCGAACCAAAAGGAAAGCATATGGGCGGAGGAGGCGGCGGCGGCGGCATGGTGGTGGTCGAGAAGAAGAGGGTATCGCTAGGCCCTGAGGCGCTGCCGGTTAGATATCAATCCAAGTCCCACGAGGACAGCAAGAAAGCGGCCTACTGTACCGAAGTCCAAACCTTCCAGCACGTTCACGTAATCCTCTGGAAAAGGAAAACACGTCAATGATCGATTGCACGTGACAAGAGCCTAGGCACTTGACGGTTCTGCCGCTTGCGTTTTCACCCTACTACTAGTCACTGGAGGGTTTTTATTAATGCAATGTCAAGTGGATCCCGTGAAAATAACATTCAAAGATGAGGGGTAGCTTTCCCCAGCTAATGATAGTCAGACAGGATGGCTGGAGTTGGCAAGGTCGACATAGGAGCAACGTCAACATTCCAGATGCTTCCGTTTTGTTGTTCACATGCCTCGCAATTCCAATGCTCCCCCTCGGAATGCGCAGTCAAGGTAAGAACCATCAGTTGAAAGGTCCCATCCAGAAGCTAGCCGTGGATTTCTGTGTATTCGTCTGAAGGAAAGGCGTGTATGGAGACTACGCAGTGACGTACAGGTGAGTCGCAGCCCCCGGTAATGTCCGAGTATATCCAGTAACGAGGCTAACCGAGCGTGGCTGATACGAAAGTACCAAAAAACCTGGGACGGGCAAGTTACTGATTCAGGAAACCGTTCTTGGGGATTCCGATGATCAATTGCAAACGGGAAAACCTGTTTGCAGCGTCAATGAAATACCCAGAATACCCTTGGGTGGGATTTTCAACCACGTCACAAGGTGTCTCGGTCGCACAGAAGGCCATCCGTCCCCCGTCGAATTGGTCTGTTCGTTCCTTGTGTAAAGTATTTTGCCAGATACCCTTACTCACAAAGGGACCAAGACAAGAAGAACCTTGGAACCAAGAGAACTCCAGAGCAGAATCGGATCATCAGATACCGGGGGCTGAGCACAACTTCAGTCATGATGTGAAGCGATATCATAGGCTACCAAGATGCTTCATGTCCGGAAACAAAAACGGAGAATAACAACTTAGTAGCCGTAATGCAACGGTCGATATAACTGACCCTGGATGAATTGATTAAACTTTCACGGACATTGGATTTGGATGGAAATGGTTATCGCTGAACAAGGACTAGAAGGCTTGATTTAGAGGCAGTATTCTCCGTCAGATCTCGTTCTTTCAACGACCCCGCGGTAACTCACCTGATCCTCAAACGTGGTGACCTCGCTGTAATACATGCCGATACAGGCGCAGTAATGGCCCGACCTTCGAAGTCCTGTATGACTCGATACTGAAAACGGAAGACGGAAAGCATAAAAGCAAGGGTCGAGATATTGTAATAAAACACGCGCCAAACGCATGGACAATGCAAGAAGCGCCGACGGTCGGCAACTCTATCGCTTTATAGGCTGAATGGTCGTGTCCATCTGCCGACGAGTAGTAGTGATAGATATTTGGAGTAACAGAGTCCAGACTTTGGCCATTCGAAGGACATGCATGCATCTCACGAGCAGAAGATGCGCCACACTGTGGCGTTCGCTGTGAGGACGACGAGAGAAGGCCAAGAGATGCGTGATATCTGTAAGAAAATAGATACTGGACTACTAAGTTCTTTGGCGAGGGCGTATTCGAAGATGAAAGTGAAAGTATCACCATAAAATTACGAAGTTACCTTGCAGCCAGCGGTGAATGAATGGAGTCTCAGACGAAGGCCCGGAAGAGAATGACGCGTGGAACACGTGATATCACGTAGGCGAGGTACCTATCTATTTAGAGACGTCCCGCTTCCGCTTCCGCTTTGCACCAGCCCGTCATGTCGACAAGCCTTACAACATTATTGTATTCAACTCTCGACGTCTTCACAACAACAGGGTTTCATGGGAATCCACTTGCAATTGTTCTTGTGCCATCTCCGCAGTCGTCCCAAATCTCTCAGCAACAAAAACAGAATATCGCACGAGAATTCAATTTCTCAGAAACAGTTTTTGTTTACGACCAGGTAAAATCACCAGATTCTGGTCTAACATTCCCGATCTCCATATTTACGACAGCAGAGGAGCTACCGTTTGCGGGACATCCTACCGTTGGTACGGGCTGGTATCTATTACGCAAAACTGGGTTGGATAAGATAACTTTACGAACCAAAGCGGGAGATGTATTGGTCATTAAAGAGGACGATCGAGTGCGCCTAAAGGTCCCTACAGACTTCAAGGTGCACCAGCCCTACACGAACAAGATGCTGAAGGAGAAACAGTTGGCATTGGAAGATAAGGACTACGTGAATGGTTCAACAGGTGCAGAAGCTGTGGTTCGTATCCCACATACTTGGGATGACTCGGACGCCACTGAGTCATTACGAAATGTAGGTATCTATCGTGAAGGGCATGAGTTTCATCATGATAGAACTCTCCTCAGTGGAAGCTCTGGGAAAGCTTCAGCAATACTCTCAGCACCTCACAATACCTGATGAGCATCTGGGAGATTGGAAAGGCTTTGGTGCTTTGTACGCCTTTGTGAAAATGTCGGATGGAACGATCAGAACGAGGCTGCTCGAAGGCACATTTGAGGACCCTGCTACAGGTTCGGCTGCCTCCGCATTGGGGGGCTGGTTGGGGCAGAGTAAAGGTGATGGTAACTGGAAGTTTGATATCATCCAGGGTGTGGAGATGGGTAGACGCAGCGAAATCACGGTCTTCGTGGGTGTCTCCCAAGGCGAGATAAAATCCATTGAATTGGCGGGGAGTGCCGTGCAAGTCATGGAAGGAAGGTTGAACGTCGTGTAAAAGTAATGCTGATTGGGGGAGCGGGTAATACTGAATCTATCATATGGGAGTTTTCCCATGATACAATCTAACCGACGGTGTTCAGTTTTTGTGCTCTCGCTTTACCCGCAATCTCTCTTGCACTAACCCGGAAACTGGTTCCGCGAAGTGACAATCCTTCCCTATAGGTCAAGTCAACGTTTTCGATCTAAAAAACATCCGGTGTGCTCGAATTGCTTTGCGACAGAATCTCCGCGCAAGCATACATTCAACGGCGTTGATGATCTGTTTGCTCCGGGAAAATTGAGCCTCCATGCTGGGACATGTCTCGAAGCACAAATGAATGGAAACGGGCAGAAATTCTGTGTGACCGTCGAGAGGATGTCAGGGAACGGCCATACGACCAACGTGTAGACAAAAATGCTGTCTTTGAGGGGTCCATGATGTCTCTATAACCAGGGGCAAAAAGAACTGTTTCGAAAGGTTGCCATACGCGTCAGGACGGATGCTGAACCAGCATCCTTACATAGTATTGCGTGTTTTCCATATCGAAGCCGTATTTGCTTTCAGCGCTCTTCATGAACTTTGAATCTCGAAGGTATGACATTGATCAGCACGTTTTTGACGCGACACAACTTACCTGCCCACAAAATGCACAAATCTTTGCGAGACCCGGAAACGTCTGTATTAAATTCCAATTAAGGTACTAAGGCGAAGAAGTGTACACACCAGAATTGGCCACAGTTGAACACATGATGGACTGGTTTAACTTCACACTGGATGTTCGGAATAGGACGCTGACTCGGATACTATGTAAAATACAACACCAACACCATTCTTGGCACAAAAAGCAGTAATTGAGGGGTTTCCGAGAAGTACGTGAATATGTATGAGCTACTACATCTATACGACTGCTTTTCCGTGATCTATCCGAATGTGCCCAATGTCAGACCATTGTAAGTTTGCCTCATTGCACAACGACTTGAAGATAGAATCCTCTTTGTCGAACAAGTTCACGACCGTGTCGAACTCTGCCAGTTCTCCGGCATCCATCACCATTACACGGTCGTAGTAAGCTGTTCAAAATGATGTGAGTTCGTGGTCCTAGTTCATATATAGGTGGAGCTGACCTATTGTATTCAGTCTGTGGGCTATGCAAAGCACTGTCGAAGAAGAAAATTCGGTTTGGATCGTCCTCTGTAGTTTCGCATCTGTTTCGACATCCACGCTACTCGTCGCTTCGTCCTGAGCAATATCAATAAGCTGCCTGCCATCAATGATCATACCTAACGTACCAGAATAATGATTCTACTATTTTTGACCAGCGCACGGCCAAGAGCGAGCAGTTGCTTCTCACCCGCACTAAAATTAGACCCTGGAAAACGCTCGTCAGTATACGCAGCAAAAAGATTGTGGGATCGTCTTACCTTCATCTCCTACGGTCGCATCCAAGCTGAACTTGGCCTCAGCTACTGCATCCTTGACGCCGTCCGGAGGGAGAAGCCACGAGCGCTGGAGAACCGATATGAGTTCGGCATCCGTGCGTGAGCCCTGAGGATCACTATGTGGCGTTAAAAAACAACCATGACCATCGAGATGAAAGGTATCATACAGGTTATCCCGTAAAGTTCCCAGAAACATCGTCGTATCTTGAGGTACTAGTGCCAGGCGGCCTCTAAGGGTATCGAGTTCTATTTTGCTGATGTCGTGGCCGTCTATCTCTACCCTTCCTCCTTGAAGTTCGACAATTCTACAAAATGGTTGAGTTAATCTATAAAAGGGTACAGGAAAGATACCTCACCGAAAGAGGGCCTGCAGTAAGGAGCTCTTGCCTGTCAATCTAGATCAGAATACTCGTACAGGGCTGCTGAAATTTGAAATCACCTGCTCCGGTCCTGCCTACAATTCCCACCTTCTCGCCGGAATTGATTTTGAAGCTGACGCCGTGAAGGACGAGTGGGAGTCCTTCCCTATAGGCCAGGGAAACGTCTTCAAAACTGATAACGCCTTTTTCAGGCCATTCAGCGGATGGCTCGTCCGGTGGAATGGTGTTCCCTTCCGATGTCAACTCTGTATACACCAGTACACGCTCCACCGCATTCATGTTCTGCTCATTTTGTGCGAATTGGGATACCATGTCAGCTAGATGACGGATTAGTGGATGTGACCCGGGACCGTGAAATGTAAGCTTACAGAAAATCTGTGTGACTGGAAAAGATTTGTTAAAGACCGCCCCGAGTAAGCATATTAGGGACCTACTGTTCAACGTATACGTCAAGACAACTCCGATCTTGGACGGGTTGACGGTATTTCTATATCCAGCGGCAAAAAGGGCTATTCCGAGGATGAGGACGTTCCCAAAAATATCGAGACGGACACTGAGCCATCGTTGAATGGAAATAGTCATGTAATATGCCCTGTTCTCCAAGTCGAGTCCAGATTCAGCATTCCTAATGGAACGGTCCTGAGAGAATACAATAAATAAGAACTAAGAATTCTTGCAAACCCGTACCATACCTGTTCACGGAACGCTCGTATCGTCGCAAGACCAGTCAATGTTTCTAAACGAACCGTCAGTACCTATAAGTCATGTGTGATATGGTGTGATGCGAGCGCAAACCTTCGAGGTCTTCGCCAAACAAAATGTTCTCTCGCGCAGTGGCATTCTTGATCCAAGCATTCTGAGGCGCGTAGGCCACTAAAAATGACCTGCAGAGGAGTTGGTAAAGCATTGGCACACAATTCACAACGTACCTCGCCTTGGACCCGCCGCATCTCGCCGATCAACGCTTACAGAATCGAACTCTAAGGGTCGGCGTAAGGACAAAAGTAATCTTGATAATACTGATTCCCTTTGGACGTTCCATTACTCCCGATACTCTTTGTTCATCCGTCAGACAGTAGTAGTCATACGACTCAGTCAACCATGTCAGTAGGAGTTTTGTCACCAAAGGCGTGGCGGTCTTCAACGTGTCTGAAACGCAAGAGTGATTAGGATTCATTCAGGATGATTTATATAGCTAATTACCTCCGACTGGTTTGCATACTCCAGCAGACCAGAAACGAACAAAGAATGTTCGATGAAGTGCCTTCGTTAGAGACGAATCGTATTTTATAGTTGACTTCCTTTTAGCGTCAGGTGCACGATTTTCAGCGTCGTCCAGTGATTCCTTCGAGTCAGGAACTTCAGCATCGTTAGGAAGTTTGTGACGGAGGGGAAAAGGCCTTTGTTCAGGAGGACATCGAGAGTAGAAGTTGATTTCTACATCATCAGTGACCGAACCGGTAGTATGTTTCTGGGGTAGCTGCCATAAATCTAGAAAGGATGGTAAATATGATGTGCTTCACACAACCCAGAACCCTTACCTTCTTTCTCAAGAGGCCTGGGGAAACCAACAGATAGCAGAGGGCTTAACCAATGGATGATTAACCTTAAAAGAATTCTGTAGAATTAATTTTAGCAGGCGCTGGGGATGTTTAGCAGAGAAGTACGAACGTCGTGTCCTGCTCTGGTAACACATGGTCACCTGGAAAAGCAGGAGGTGATGGTGGCGGATGAAGTAGATTGAACATTGCGATGGGTAAATCGAAATGGTATGCGCAAGACGTTAAGAGTTTCTAGCCACACAACTACCAAAAGCAAAGAACCCTGGATGCAGTCGTTGGACAAGGGCTTGGTTTCCCCATATTCGACATCTGACTCGACTTTCTATAAATACTTCGATCCAGATCAGGTAGCCGGTCGGAGGAGGAAAGGTGTTAAAACAATTTATGCTTGCCCCATGGTACCGCGTGCATGGATACTGGGCAGTATTCGCTTGCACTGCGAGAGCTCTGTGAATTGCCAGTGTCTCTAATGGAGAGGTGACGTCCGTCGTGTTGGTGGGCAACGAAATTCAAGTCATGGAGGGTATGAACGTATAGGAAACGAGGGGGAGCGTTCCAATGACGGAACTGTACTATGTGTTCGAACACCTTTTACTCAAACATGAGGGGGACCGTTCTGAACGTTGATAGAGAGAACACAATGTATCCAGCTGTCTGCAACTTTCAGTGAAAGTATACTGTAAAATGTCTTGTCTGTCAATACGGTCAGCTTTTTAGTGTCACAAAAGATTACAAGAACCTAGTGCGCGTAGTCGAATTTTGTCACGTGCAAAGCTTCAATTTTCGAATTGTTTTGTTACAAATTGTAATTATTGTTTGAATCTTGAATGAGGCAAGCCCTTAGCGATCCTAGCCTTGTCCTCCGTTCTAGAGCGTCCACGATGTTCGACGAGAGTCTTCCTGCTCTTTCTTTCGGGTATTCTTCCTTTTCCTGGAAAGAATCCAGCTGGCATTGGTATTCCTTTATCGGGAGATCCTTCTATCAACGGCGCTTGCCACACGCCAAATCCTCGAGGCTGAGTGGGACGGAAGGATTTGGAGCTCGACACACCGTTCTCCTGCACGATTTTCTCGAGATGCTGCTGATCCACTCTTCCAGTTCTTGTGACATCTGCTTCGAACCTTTCCAATTTGTTGACGGGACAGATCTGGTGCCTCACTCGCTTCCGTGCGGACATGTATTCTGCAGAACGTAGGTTGCTCATCCATCCGGCCGCCGTTCCTTCTGATTTTCAGGGTATAGATGCTTGATGTCTATACCAAACTGTGCACGGATATGTCCATTCTGTCGAAAGTCGTTCGAATTGCTTGAGATCCGAAAGTTGCATTTAGCGCCTGTCGAAGAGACTGATAAGGACAGAGAGGCAGCTCTTCTTGAGAAATTCGTGCTGGCGGCTGAACCGGAAGACCCAAGTGAGCTGGAGAGCATCATGGCAGAGGTCGATGCGTGGCTTGAGCAAGGCAAAGTTGTGTCATTTGCTCTTCGTGGTTAGTGAGACTGACTGAAAGTACAGGAAAGCCCCATTCTGGAGAAGGCACGCAATCTGTTTACCCAGCATCAACAACTCAAAGCGCAGCGGAAGCAGGATCGAAAGGAGATCAAGAGACTGGAACGGGACGTCCGGTTCCTCGAGAAGGCGCCGTTGGGAAGCTCGACGATTGGCGAACTACGAGAGCTGCGCAGGCATGATAACCTTCACCTTCTTTCGCTGTTGATGTCTGACTGTTGTGTACAGGCGGGCTGAAGAAGATCGCTTACAAATTCAGGTGCTGCAAGAGCAACTTTATGGTCCCAGATCTAATAACAAGGGCAAGGCAAGAGAATCGTCGAACCCTCTTCCTCCTCCTCCTGATATTATACGTTTTGATGACCTGGCACGGAATGACAAAGGCAAGGCGAAGGAATCGTCGAACCCTCTTCCGGCTCCTCCTGATATGTCACTATTTGATAACGTGGCACAAATGCTCAGAGATGCGTTGGAGTATGATACTACCGCAAGGGCTGGTGGACATGAAGGTGGAGAGGCTGCGGACCATCTTACCCTTTGGTTCTAGCATACCGACTCGATGCAATTCATACTTTTGCACGCGTATTCTATTCAGGTACGATGGACTGTACTAGTTTCTCTTTACCTGTTGCTTTATATATCTCAATGTTCTATTCGACGCAGCCAAATCTCATTATATAATTGTAATCTCCTCTTCAGGACAGTTGAATTCATGTTGCCTTCCAAGGCGTGACGTTCCTTTTCGTAAGTGATCGCACTTTGTTCAGGGAGAAACGGTGCCTCGAAGGGATACTTGATGGATGTTCAGCGAAATATACCACTCCTTTGCTGTTAAAAAACTTAGCCATTTGGGGTCTGCGCCACATCGTTTTCATGGAAGAGACGTGGTTCCCTTCGGTTGACGAGCCCTCAGGCCCTTCAACGGGGAATATGTCGATACCGCCCCCACTATCATTTTTGGAGACTTTTCTCTGTCAAGGATCTACATCTCCGTACACACGATATTGTCACTGTACTGTCTCAATTCTTTCGGTCCCGATGGCCTTGTATACCCTTTTGTCATCGTGCCCAAATTGGAGACGCTCCGGATCCTCACACAGTCTTCAGAATGCTTTAGAGATATACGCGCTTCCATGAAGGAGCCACGTAGTCGTTCGTATTCGTACGCTGCTCGTCAGGTGCTGTTGCTGCCGAAATTCGAGTTCATTGTACCGGAGAGCTGCAGATCTATGGTAAAGAGCCTGCGTTATTCCTTCACTGCAGAACTCTGTGCCCACTTCATGAAGGATATGGAGAATGCGGAAGAAGAAGTCACGGATTGGGACTCGTTTGAGAATAACCGAGTGGGCGCGTCAGTTGGGATCGGCGAGATACTTTCTCCATTGGTTTGCACAATATTGACAGGGAGCTCAGCGAACCAACCAGGTGCATCAGTACTCAAGATACCAAAACGCGACGTTGTACCATAGTTCATTTATCCTGGGCTCACACTCCTGATAGCTATGCTCTTGCGAGCTCGAAGATAACGTGCTCAGTGCTGCTTGACAGCTAGCGGTGCATTGCATATGTCCAAACAGCCTACCTTCAAGTCCGTTTGTTTTTCAGAAATCAAAGTGAAAGGCAAAAATATACGACGTTGGACTCGTACGTCCTTTCTGTGAAATATGTTGAAACGCTTGATGTGAGTTTGATATCAGATGTTGCCGTACTGAGACTGATTATACCTATCAGTCTATTCTATGTTCAATCAAACCTACGAATTCAATGCTGTTATGTAACACAGCCTTCTAGCCTCTGGCGCCGGGAGTCATATGTGTTGGAAATCCTCGGTGATGCGCAGGGTAGACTCCAGGCTGGTAAGGCCAGAAGGTATGAACTCCTTATTCTACAGCTCCTACAGAGCTTGTATTTATACTCTCCAGACTTATATCTAGAATTTACTACAACTTTTTCTTTCTCTCGAGCTTACTCATCAACTCTCGGCATGATGCCGGATTGCCCTTTCTAGAACTTTCCAGCAAAATCCCAACAATATGTATTATCCAAGTCATGCTACGATGGCAGTGCTGGCTGTGTAAGGAGCTGTGAATGCCTATCCTTTTAACGAAGCACATTGATAGGATTTCTGCATGTGAACGATGCTCCCCACCGAACTGTGTAACCTCGTCATCGACCATCTCCACGACTCCAAACCATCCCTCTTAGCATGCTCCCTCGTCTGCCGCGCATGGATCCCTGAAAGTCGTTTTCACCTCTTTCACGAGGTGAAACTCTATCGTGACACAGCAGATTCATTCTTCCAGCTTTTTGAGAGCCAACATGCTACCCTTGGTTCAGGTTATATACGTGAGCTTGATGTTGCGCAGAATACCGTTACCAGACATGGCAGTCTCGAAGGCGATCTGCTTGATGGCCGGGCGTTCCAGGGCGTCTTGACTCGATGCCCTACAGATGTCTTTACGCATGTGCAGAAGTTGTCGGTGACCTGGGTTGGCTGGTGGACACTCACCAACGCGGAGAAATTGAGTATTGGACATAGATTCAAGAGTGTGACTGAGCTCCGGTTGTGGATGGTTCTTTTCGAGACGGATGAAGAGCTTCTTGCTCTTATCGCTTCCTTCCCGGCGCTGGAAGTGCTGTTCTTGCAGACTATACGATTCCGGGTTAAGGATTTGGAGGAAGATGGCCCGCACCCCAAGCACACTCTGCCGCCCAATTTACATACCATCTCACTCAATGACGTGTCCAATCCTTGTGTTATACGTTCCCTGATACCATGTCCAACTCTCCGAGTTTTCAAGTGTCATTACGTGAACTTTGATGACTTCCAGCCAGCATTAGCTGAAGAATTTGGACGGCTACTGTTATCCGCTGGTGAGCATTTCGAGGATTTCGGGTTCACTATCCAGGCCGGAGGGTTGCTTAACAACGGGGTTGATCTTAGTAAGTTTCCCTACATACTTATGCTGGTCTTCTTACTAACCAGTTTTTGCAGATGCCTGCTTCAAACTCATCGACTTCACCCGAATTCCCAATCTTCGGCGGATCGAATTCTGGATTGACGACGACCAATACCTCATTCCTTTCCTCAGACGCCTCACCGAATCAGACTGTTCGACTCCCACACTAGAGACGCTGGATGTCTCTTATCTCTCCGCGTATAATCTAGATTGGGAGAACCTCGATGACATCCTCCAATATCCCTACTTCCATGCGCTCAAGGAGATTAAAACCTACGTCAAGACGTATTTTGACCTCCAAGATGTTGTTGGGCAAGAGCCTGGATGGTACTCGAAGCCCAACGACGGATCCCAAGCTTATATTAAGATGGGGCACAGGATCACAAGCTTCGTGGAAAAGTTACCAAAGTGCCAGGCGAGGGGAATATTACGCCCAGCCAAGGAGTTTCGGTTTTTTGATAGCTCGACATGGTTCGGATAAGTAGAAAGGCAGACGAGGAGAGAGCGGGTTTGTGGTAGGATTGTCTGTGCACTTCGTTTGGATGACAGTCGAGCTATCAGACCACCAAAAAAAAAGAATTCAGAGCCGCACACGAATAGGGTGTTTGTGTAGGTGTTGATTATTCTTCCCGTAGTCCTAGAAATCAGACCGAAGTGCAACGACAGCTGCTCAATCGCTTGCTTCATATTCGTTTCCAGGCAAATTCTTCTCATGTTCCTGACGTTTCAAAGAGGATTGCTTGCATGATACACTATTACAAACTGTTCCTACATCTTCATCATCCTAATAATGTTTCGATACATGGGTACGAGATCTAGTAGTATCCAAGGGATTTTCAACACACACCGTGATGCACCAAACAAGGTAGAGGGATTTCGCCTTGATACTTCCATGTTTCTTCGAGGGATACGTCTCCATTGACTGTACCCTTAGGGAAGATGTCCCATCTAGAGTGCCTGCTCTGCCGAAGTTGCGAAAATCATGGCCGACTCTTATATTGTCCGTGCTAGTCATCCCCCTACTGGCGTTGTTCATTGAAAAGGTGGAAGACCAAAAGCATGGATGTCGGAGACACTTTGAGATCAGCGAGGGAGGAAAGCTCCCACCCCCCGCCCAGAGAGATGGCGGCGCGAGTGTTAATCATCGTGGCCGATCTGCCTCACGCAAAGATGTGGCCTCGAACCAATAATTTATCGAGTCTGGGTGGTCTGCCCAATCATCAAAGCCCGCAGACATTTTGATTAAAAATATTTAAAAGCAGGCGCTGCATATAATCGGAGGCTATCATACAGCAGAGTGTATTTCAAATTTCACGCGTTGTGGCCGTTGTAATTTGGGGTATTTTGAAGATCAGACCTTCTCGCTTCAAGTTCTATGTTTCCAGTCAGCAAATTCTGAGTGGTTTGCATGAGAGCGGTCGACTAATCGTGCTCTTGTCTGATAATATTCTTGTTCCGCTCTTCCTTGCTAATGGCACCGAATATGACATCCATGTCTTCAAGACTACGGCCCTTCGTCTCTGGGATAAGACTTTTTGACTACGTCGGCAGAGAGATTGAAATACGCGAATAGAGATAATACGCACATCGAAAATAGCCCCATTGCACAGATTTCTACAGTGGCAAACATTATGAAAAGCTTCCAACCCAGATTGCTGACCATATCTGGACTAGTCTTTGACACGGCGAAGACTGGTCGAGGGTGGTGGGTTTGCCTTAAGAAATGCCCCAACGATATAGAACAATGTACCCATTCCAAACGCAGAAACGATTAGGGATAATTTTCGTCAAGCCATTCAACCCCGAAGAAGACGAACAACAACGTGGATGCCAGTTTGACGACGCCGTATACTCCAGACCAAAAAATGCTTCTTTCCACTGCAGACCCTCGCGAGCCAAGCGCTCTTCCTCAGCAACGGCATCGATTTCGGCCATCTCGTGCAGGATTTGCTCAGAGGTGGGTGGAAGTCTTCGCAGCTAGGCAAGGTTCTTGAGGGCACCATCTTTTCGGTTAACTGACGCGAGCCAACGAGGCGATTCCTGGGATTAAGATCTTCGTCAGCTCTACATCCAGTACAAGCAGTGCGTAGGAATAGGTGCCTTGATAGTCAACAAGCCGAAGGTCATGATACTAGACGGCGCGAGCTGGACCCCGAATAGGATTTTCCATACGTTCTGCCACTGGAATGGGTGCCGATACCGTCTTCGGGTGTATCGTTGTTAGTGGACGCTAGTGGTGACAACTTGAAGACACGCGCAATTTATGAAGTAGGACAGCATAACTCCAGTGGCCACCATGATCTGGAACATCCCGTTGATTCGTCCTCGAACTTCTTTGGGCGAACACTCGGAGACAAAAACTGGGGCTACGGCCGATATCCCACCTATTCCGACACCAGAGATGACTCGCCCTGCGTAGCAAGGGTGAGACCATTTGATGGGACGCGGCTACATTCGTCAGAACCTATGCGCAATATTGAAAGATGCGACAACGACGGAACAAGAAACAGACATACTGCCCCGATACAGAAGAACAGAGAACATACGAGTAAAGTATACCTTCTGCCAAGCTTTGCTGATACAAAAATGAACTTTTCGAATAGAAGAAGCGCGAGACAATGAATCACAAGATATCGGAACACTACCCAAGGCGCCGAAGAAAGCTCCAGCTTGAAAGAGGGACAGAAGATTGGTTGAGATGTTGTTTAGTCTACTGGCATTCTTCGTCCCATCGGCGTTGTGCATTCCGAAAGCTGCTAGAAGTACAAGTGATTGACAATACCGCCGCCAACGATTGCATGGGGGTCATCCATGGCTTCGAATAATATCAAGAATGCACTTGATACAAGAGCCACACTGCAAATTATAGTGAGCGAATCGCTCATATCCTGAGGCAAAATTGGTAAGGAGCTTCTTGGATTAATGTGATAGGTCTGTCCTGACAGATACATATCACGAAACGTTAATAATGTCGACAATGAACCGTTCGAAATCGACACTAGAAGACAGTGGACTCAGCTGCCAGTGAACAGTACCACAAATTTGAGTCTGCCTTACCTAGGACATATTCTATAATGCTTCTGAGGTGTCCACAGCATCAGAGGACGAAAGACTGACACGATGATTGAATCTGGATGGATAAGCCATCTGTAAATAACTATTTAAATAAGTATGTTTTTACTTGATTTTATCGTTCCAGCTGAACCCGTTATGGTCTATTCGCAACGACATCTGTCCTAAAATATACCCTCGTCTACACCTTTTCATCCCTTACGCTCCGGTGATATACCGCGTAGTTCGCAAAGAAGTCTGCGGTCACTGCTTTTCCTATGCATTCGACTGCGACCGCTACGCCTGGAACATCCGATATGACGGTGCTGGAGTATGGTTCTGCTCTGTGATATGTCGTGATGCCTGGATGGGGATGGCTTGCTGGGGAAAATGAAGGCTGCGGTGGATGGACTGGCTCAAGGGCAAAAAACAAAGGAACCTGGATCCAGGAAGGAGATTACTAGTAAGCAGGACCTCGATGTCGCTTGGGCTATATACTGGAGCCTCTGACAGAGCTGGAGCTTGACACCGTACGATTTCTCGCGTCTGTAATCGTCGAATGATACATGGGTGGTGACAAATGGACAGATTTTCTCCAACTGCAGGATAACGAGCTTGACTCTCAGATCCGGATGTATGCGTCCCTACATACGGCGGCGCAGGCGGTGCCCGTCTTTCATGCGTACGCGACGGTGGATACCGTGTGGGCGAGTATAGGGAATGTCTTTGGGTTGTATGGTACGTCCACGTCGGGAGATAGTGAGATGCTAGGGTTCGCGATCATGGTTGGTTGCGTAGTTTCTATCTCCGTCGGCTTTACTCAATTTCTTATAGATTGTTCTCCTAATGTCCGCAAACAACGGAAAGGACGTTCGATGCGGTTTTATGCCACCCCCCCGGAATATTGAGGCTGGAGAGGAGCGGTGCATTAGTTATATGTCTAAGACATGAACGATCCCGTCGAGAAGCGCTGCGAGGAATTGGATAGAGAGTGGTATTTCACTTGTTTATGCGGTGCGAGAATGAATGAATGAGTAGAACTTTAATTTTTCCTGCCAAGGTAGTCTTGGTTCTTGGAGCTGGACTAGCTAGTGTCAGCCTATTATGGATGCATCTCTTGATATCCCATCAACATTGCGTGAAGGTCGACCATTCATAGTTCGAGGACCGAGACTCTGGATTTGATACTGATGATCAACCCAACATTCCAACTAGAGACCGTTTGGCTTAAGCTATCATCATCACACCTGTTGACTTCCCATTTGGTAAACTCGCTGTCCGTAGCATTCACCATTCAATATCCAATCTCTCCTTGACTATACCCCTACATATTGCTTGGTGGACGTTAGACGGTAACTGGTAATCTTGCTTTGGAAGCTGTTGCGAGACTTCTCTTAAATCCATGGCCTTAGAAGAACAAGGGCCCCGTTTAAAAGCCCGAGGCCTGCGCCTATCTAACCTGATATTAGCATGGTTCCCGTTATCGAATGGGCTGCCAGAGCCCTGGTGGTACCAGCACTGGATAATCTGAGCTTCATCGACCTCTCTGAACTCTTCAAAGTCAGTCCACTCTTCGCCTACTTAGATTTAGCTGTTATCAGCTCAATCTGCAGGTCTCCGCACCGTGTCTTGCGTACATAGTTCTGGGAGGTTTTGTGGTTTCCGTATGCTCATCTCTCTCATGTACCTTGACCACTCGTACTGATTTTGTCCGTAGTTTTCCTTGATATCCCTGCTTGTCAAAGAAAAGGTATGTATGGCTCCTCAATCTTCGCTAGCACTGTTTTCTGACTTCTGCTGTCCTGTAGTTGTTCATCAGCGAGGTCGTGCTTGGGACAGCTTTTGGTGTTCTTGTGGGTCCGTATGGTTGGGGTATTTTTGACCCTCACTCTTGGGGAGCATCCCACACAGTCACCCTCGAAGTTATGCGAATTGTGTTGGCTATTGGGCTGTTTGCGAGTGGCGTCGAGCTGCCTAAAAACTATGTGGCAAGGCACGCGAAGGGGTTACTCGTGATGGTCGTGCCTACTATGGCTTTTGGGTGGGTGACTGTTGCGGGTATGTGTGGCATTGATTGCTAGGGTCGGTGATTTATGTCACTAGGTGTTCTGCAGGTCCTTTTCAGTGACTTGAATTTTGTATCGTGCTTGGCTATTGCAGCATGCCTTACGCCAACGGATCCTATTATATGCGCCGCTATCGTCGGTGAGAGACCTCTTTTCTCTCTTATTTTACCTGCTTGCTGATTCCTTGTAGGAGGTAAATTCGCTTTGAAGCATGTCCCTGCCAAACTCCGCCACATTTTGTCTGCAGAGGCTGCAACGAACGATGGGCTTGGTGAGTAGGTCACGATTGGAACATGGATTTCAAGTTGATTGGGAGGCCCTTTAAGCGTATCCTTTCTTGTCGATTTCGATCTATCTTACCCTTGAATCATCGAAACGAGTTGCCATTGAGAAGTGGCTAATCATTGAATGGTTATGCATGTTTTCCGTCTTGATATCCATTGAGATTATGATTAACCTGACGCTCAGACGGAGTAGCTTTTGGCGTTGCCTTGGGTGCCATACTGGGTCCTGTTTCTCATTATGCAATGTTGGATTCCGTTGACCAAGTCCGTAGGTCTAACGTTCTCCTGGCTGATGAAGAGATCACTGCAAAAAGGCTACATTGACCAAGAGTCCTATATTGCGCAGTACCTTGCCTTGACGTTCTTTACGGTCGGGATTGCGACTACCGTGGGATGTGACGATTTACTCGCCGCGTTTGCTGCCGGTATGTGTTCTGAATTTCATCTTTGATGTAACGTCACTGAAATATGATATCTAGGCACGGCTGTGTCGTGGGATGGAGATTTTAATGTGCAGGTTGAAGGCGAGGCGTTCGCGTCCGTCATAGATCTGGTGCTGAACTGCGGGTGTTTTGTGTATATTGGGGCGTGGCTAAGGTTTGGAGCATTTGACAACCCATTGCTGGGGGTTACATCTGGAAGACTAATGGTGCTTTTCATCGTGGTACTGGTGTTGAGAAGGGTTCCTTCACTGTTAGTGTTGTACAGATGGATACCCGAGATTAAGTCGTGGCGGGAAGCGCTCTTTGTTGGACATTTTGGTACGTGTTGGCCTTTGGACCTGGTTTAATGTTCTGACTGGTGCTATAGGGCCTGTGTGTTTCACGATTTAGTTCTGAACTGTTTTTTTAAAAAACTGTGGCTTTGGCAGATGGGAGTCGGCGCTATTTTCATTTCCACGCTTGCCTTGACGAGATTGCCGGAGCCTCAATATCCTCCGCAGAATCAGCAAGAGCTGTTGGCGGCTACGCTGCAGCCAATCGTCTCCTTTGTGGTGCTAGGCAGTATAATCATACGTGAGTGTGGCGTGTCTTTGGTTCAGCTATAGTCAAATATAGCAAATTTCAGATGGACTGTCCATTCCGTTCTTTTCGTTTGGCAAGATTTTTTCAAGTGCAATCGACTCCTCGGTGCAAGATGTGCCCAAGTGGTTGCTTGGGGCTGGTTATCGGGTTATCGCCGGAGGCAAAGTCAGTGTTACGACCTAAAGCAGATGATGTTGGATTCATTCGTTTGTCATTGTAGAGCTCGGATTTGGTGGAGGACCGGGCTGAGGAGGCATAGAGCATATCACCTTTGGTGCTTGGCTCTGAAATCTAACGTGGTCAATTGTTGGGCGTTGGAAGGTCGCGAACTATACTAATTGAGAGTGGGAAAAACAACCCATTGCATGCAGTTCCATAGGTCATTGGTATCACCTTATTTCTTGATAGACTCCGTCGTTCGCTATTATAAATCTTATAGCTCTGTAGTGAATTACATTACGTGCGCCCTCGGATGCTCGTCGTTCCCATGTTCAACCTTTCGGCTACTCAGGGTCTCCCGCGAGGCTTCGGACCCCATGGGTCCACCTGTACCTTCGGAAGGATCCTTGTGGTGGGTGAATAACTTCTGGTTTCCCGGGTGTTGACAGATACATAAGGCATGAGGGAACGGCGTTCACGATACGATTGGCGGATTGCTGTCTCACAGCCTGCTAGAGATCCAAAGGTGGTTTAACGTACCTTTGCTTTGCTTAGATCTGATAACCATAGTCCTGGATGAAAGGATTGGTGCTTCTTAACCCTGCGCTCCGCACGGTGATGGTTCCTGCTATACGACCGCCCAGTAATCAGAACCTCTGATGAGGATTAACGCGAGATAATCCGCTCCTCTTGTCGGGAAAATGCCTGCTGTCGCTTCATTTCATCCCAAGCTTCGCTAGTTCATTAATATTTCATCGAAACCACCATCCTCCAATCACACATCTTCTTTCCACATTCACGGATCGACACTGCTTCGACCTTGGGAAGAAATATTCTACCCCTGCGCCGCCCTTCGCTTAACTCCTTCCAGCATTCTCTCAGACTGCATTTTTCACAGCTCTCGTCTACCCTATTTCCCACCGCGGCACTGCCACGTCAGAAGTAAACCAGCTCAAGAATCAACGCAACGTGTATACCGCGTTTTGGTGTGTTCTTTTTCGGCCGTTAGCGCCGACCTTTCTTCTCGGAGAGTGCTTTTTATGCTTGAGCTATTCCTAAGATATCAAGAATGGTTGTGGGTGATCATAACGTCCAGACATGCTGCATACGCATGTTATCAGACGCCTGGTTTACACACTTTCGAAGGATGATATGAGGCTTCCGATTCAGCAATACACACGAGGTAAGGAAGACGGAAAGAAGAAAATTTTCTCTGCGGTGGACCCAAAGTCGCAAAGCCAAAGATTTGGTTATTAACGGTTGACCCGGCATCTGTACGGTAAGGTGGGGTAGCGAACTCAAGCGGAGATGATTCTAGTGGACACGCACTATTCATGTAGGTGAGTAAGGAGAGGTAACATGACGAGAAAAGGCACTTACTATCAGTCGAACCTTGGGCGGCTTTGTCCTATGCGCGTTCTCGTGGGTTTGAACCCCCAACATCACCCGTGGTGGATACGAAATGACGTGTATGTGGGTGGGCCTTAACAGATCGTTATCTAGAAGAGTTGTATAGGTGCATGAGATGAGATGAGATGAGATGTGCATATGTGATGACGACAGCAGTGAGGTACCCTTGACTTGACAAGACGTAGGTGATAGCAAGTCTAAGCAGAGGCGATAAGTGGCTTCAATAATGGAAAGGTCTGATGCGTAATTTTTACCGATGAAATTGCGCGCGTCCTAGCGAATATTCGAACTGTCTATCCGGAAAAAAAGGGAAAATTGTGATAATTCCTGCGGTCTTGAGAGTAAATGTTGTTATCTTGGTCGTGTGGCTAGGCTTCATTTCGGACGGTTTCATTATGATACCCCAGGGTCAGAGGGTTCCATGAATCCGCGGCAAAAGGTGTGGTATAAACGGTCGGACAAGTACGTTTTGGGATACAACAGGGTGGTCGGTCTCGGTACATAGTGGCCCTTTACCAGCCCCTCCGAATAATACGATTACTTGGTGAATAGACGGATGACTTTCGCCGAGATGTGAAGGAAAAAAATGGAGGCAATAAATGCTATCGACAACATAAGCACGATGAATGGATCTCTGGAGGTATTCATCGTCAGACATGACGGCCAACAGAAGAACGGGCGATTACTCACACTCTCAGTCCAGGAGAGTCGTCCGTGTAGAGCTTCAACATCGTATTGGAGGATCCACCAGCGCCTGCCGCACGAGTCGAATTGGGTCTTGATACTTGTGAGTTGTTTGCTCGGCGCCTTCGAGAGGGTGAGTCTACGTTAGCACACGAACATGTCGCATTCAGCGTACCGAATCTGGGCGCCAGGCGGTTTTGCTACGGTCGTGGCCTTGCCGTTTGTCTTGGGTGAGTCTGAATCCGACTGGTAGGGTATTTCAGCATCGTAGCCAGAGTATTCAAGAGAATACTCCATACCATTATGAGGAAATAAAGAGAATAATGGTGGAAAGGACGAAGGCAGTGGATGTCGAAATTGAGCTGGATAGGGAGGCCAGTAGCTGCACGTGGCAATGACACGTATTTTCCGACACACTGCTCATCACGGTCGTCTCTCGTGCCTCACCATGCCGGGCAGAATATCGTCAATATTGGTTTTTAATTCGAATATTCCTCATATGTGAAGCTCTTCCAAGCGTGTGCCTCAATGGTCACGATTATCGGTGGCGATGGATGGTCAGCGAGCTCGGAGCAGCAGGACGTGGTACGTCTTGTGATCCGATATTGCATCTCCGGCATTCTGATATGTCTCTTGCAGCAAAGCACGTCTCAAATGTGTTCTAATACTGCCGCAAGGAGATGATACAAGAAGACCCGTGCGACGTCCTACTGACACGAAGCAGCGGGGTATCGAAAAACATTCACCCTATCTTGAAGAATACTGCGATACTGGGTTCAGTCGTTCTCAAGATGGCCAGGGTCGCCGGCTTCCGTACACGCGATTTCCTTAGGCATGACATTGTACGGTGACAGGAGCGAGCCAGTCAGGGTAACATCCGTCTTCTAGGATTACGTTGACTGAAAGCCGGCATTTTCAGCCTATCATGCGAAGAAGATCCAGTTCTACTGCTTTACCTTTTCATGCTTTGAAGTTTCTCCTACAAGCTTCAATGTGCTATCCGGTTGCAGAACAAGCGCTTAACCCAAAGACGAGGCAAATTTAGCAACGTCGCTTCATTGGGTATGGATTTCGAAGCAAGCGATTAATCGTTATCATTATGAGAGTATGATGTGAAGCCCTGACAATTCAATATCTCTCAGCATCGTATTAAAACGTTCAGATTCGTAGAACCGTCTTCTGGACCCAGTTTTCGGTTCGCAAAATACATAAACGCACTCTCACGTTTGTCCATCGGCACTGGTTCATTCTGATGGGCAAGCACCGACAGTCTTTCCCATATGATCTTGCGCTTTGGCAGGAGTCGCTCTCGGAAGTCCCTCGAGATTGCCTACACGTAGGCACATTGTTTCCGCCTTGAGCTTTGTTCCGATTCATCCGGTCCCATAGCGCTTTACAAAGGACGATGAAAGCCGGTGGAATGGAGAGCCTAGGTCATATCCGACGCGCTCTCTCCGCTATCGACAAAGTCCATCAGCGGTCACGCTCTTCACTGTGTGCACTGAGTAGTCGAAGTGACTTTTTACTAGATTCAGCTAGACCCATATGAATCTCGTCTGTGATGGAATGTAACAAAAGGTCCGGGGTGGCTCGACCCAGTTCATCAGACCAGCTCCAAAGGAACGGCCTCGTGTTTCCATTTTTACCATTTGGCTCATCCAACTTTGATATAGTCGCCATGTTGCGAGCTTCCCTGTTCTACCTCGATTGTTCCACCATACCATTAGCCACCAACGAATCCTCCCACGTGTTTGCGGCTTGTTCATAATATTCACCCCGCGTTTCCTTCAAAAGGGGACGCTGCCTATCTATTCCAGTTCCTGAGCCCCACCTTTCCGGCGTACCTCCCCACCATCCATTCATGCTCTGTCTTGGGTCTGGATCGACGTGCGACGTTTGCCTCGAACCCTTTGGTATTGATACCAAAGCACCCTGCTCAATTGAGTGTGGACATGTTTTCTGCCTGAAGTGAGTCTTCTTTGTTCCCCATGTCAACGTTCTCAACGTTCTTTCATTAGTTGTCTCAATCAGATCACGCGTCTCAAGTGTCCTCTTTGCCGAAGCCGCTTTGAGCCACGGGGTTTCGTGAAGCTTCATATTGACGTAGATGATGTTCGGTCGTCGTCTCATTTCCCTGAGCGACCACCCAGCGCTTCTCCAGCTGAGCTGGAGGCTCGACGGCTGCAGGAGGCCATCGCGAATATTGCTAACGAAGGGTCGACAGAGGCGAGCCTTCGACAGCTCATCCAGGATTGCAAGTCCTTCCTCGCTGGGCAACCGCGTAATCTGGTGCGTCATGCTTCATGGTTTCTTTTATATACCCTTTTGTTGATGAGCGACTAGTTTACAGAGCTGCGGTTCATTCATCGAGTCGTGTCATATCTATGTAACGTCAAGAGCGATTTGCTCAAGACCAAGCGCGAACTTGCGCATTTGGCGACGGAGAAAGCCCGATCAGATCAGATGGCGGGTGATCTCGAGGCAGACATGAAGAGAGATAGGAGGAATGCACAAGCGTTGGAGGACAATTTGCGGGATTATTGCAGCAAGGCTCAAGGAGCGTACTTCGGTGTTGCTGAGTGAGCCGCGTCCTCGTCTCCAACATCCCCATCGCTGACGTGTTCCTCTTTCGTCCCATCATCAGACTTGTAAGGCTATTTCCGTCGAGCTGGTGTTTGGATGCCTACTCATGGTTCTCCGTATAGTATCTTCATGCCGAAAGCGAGAGGACTAGGTTAAGAGACGTTTTACGTCAATACGGTATCCCTGATCCTTTATCCCAGTCTGAACAAGTCCGCAAGGCGAGCGATGTACGGCCTTCTACCGAAGCCGCACAAGATATCCTCTCTCCTCTGACCACACAGCTCCTCATATCCCCTCTACCAGAAGTCGCTGGTACGACCCCGGAGACCTCCGCTGTGGAAAGTTTCATAGCGCTCCCCGATATCGAGGAAGGCTGCAACAAGAAGATTCCGATGCCTGAACGGTGTGGAGCCGTAGGCTGCCCTTTCTCCTGCCAGTGCCGATCTGTCGATCTCTTTGATGATCCATCTCAAATACTTACTTCCGTGACTCGCGCCGCCTCAGGGTCTTCCTCACATGGGCCAGCTTACAAACCCCAAATACCTCTTGGCGCGAGTGGTCTGTCGTTGACTGCTCCTGGCCCGACGGTGAGCTCTAGCGTGAGTGATCCACCAACTTGTCCATCTTCGCCATTACGTTCCAGCTCTGGCCCCTCCACTCCGGGAGAACCATCGCGGATCAAAATACCTCCACCCCCTCAGAGGCACAACTCTCTCCACCTCCGAGATCGTCTGTATGACTTACTGCAAGAAGAGTCATCGTCTCGAGCTTCGTCCTCCATGCCAAACCTCACATCCAGTCACTTCCCTTCGACACTCACTTCTCAGCACACTTCTACCAGTACCTCTACTTCTCAGTCTCGTTACGGATCCCTATCGCGTTCCTCTTCCTCGCGTCCTTCCGAGATATCGGTGACCTCGGATGAGGTGTATGGTAAACCGATCACTCGTGCCAGTGACGTTGCCCATGCCTTCGAAATGTCTCAGCAATTGGAGAGAGGTCGACCTTCTCGTTCACGTTCACGTTCTCGGAAGGAGCGGGAAGACGATGCGCCCGCCACTCCCGACAAAGCCGAACATCCTCCCCAGGCGCCGGCACCCTCTACATCTCGTAGTCCTGAAACTCCCAACACTCCCCGGAGCCGCAGTACGCGGCGTGAAAACAGTCAGAGCCGTTCGCGGCTCACCCCCACTACCACCTTGTCTTATTCACAATCCATCACAAACTTCTACTCTGCTTCTGGCCCTTCACGATCTCCTATTTATGGTCAGCCTAATTTGAAGACATCTAGCTCGTTTCGGGCGACTCCTGCGTTCTCGTCTTATCATTCATCCATTGGCAGTGGTAAGGGGAAAATGATAGCTTCATCGATGACATTACCTGGAGTCACCTATGCTTGATGGAGCTCCTGTAATATACGCTTTCGACATAATATGGTATCTTCCATCCTATAAATTGGAAGGGACATTTACGGATTTGGTGTGTTGTTATTATCCGATTTTACCCCCCTCCCCCCCTCCTGTCGTTTGTCGTATGTTTATTGTCTTTTAGCCCAGGCTAAAAGCAGTTCTTCGCCTCTTCTTCCCAGTATGATAGCACACTCGCATTGTCCTCTATCTGTCTTTCTACCGGCGTTCCCTCCATATGTACTATTATCGCATTTCCGGATTCTACAATCAGTCATTCATTTCCATTATCTGCATTCAAGCTGGCTTGCATGTTTCGGTGTCACTTCTGAGTTTCAGAGGATGGCAAAAGGAGGAAGACAATTTCTAGTTGTCACCGGTACGATTAAAGCTGCCTACCCTAACCTTCCAATCCAAGGTTAGTCCACTCGATCATTAGACGCTGACGGTTCTTTGGGTTGCTCGAGCAGCTCCATGTGGTTAATGCGCGCGGATGTGGATGGCTTTGAGAGATAGGCCGGATCTTGCTGACATTGGATATTGAAGCATCGACGACGTCATATCGGTCCACTGGGGGGATGTGAAGTCGTAAACCCAGCTTCGCCTAGACGGAGTCGGATTCGATTCTATTGGACTGGTGACCGCCATCCTTCTTTGCTTGCAGCGTCAGGGGTCGGAGAATTATAAGTCTTTGCTTCTATCACGACTCGGAGGAAGATCTAGATAAGAACACAGAGTAATGTTGATCCGGAAAATTGATGGGACTGACTTCCGCAGGGTGGGCAGGCCTAGGAAGATGGATTCGGAAGTACCTGGACGGTAAAAAGATATCTTCACTGAACATTTGCCGTAGTACGGAAGACTGGATTTGTTGGAGAGTGTAGGTGCGTATTGATCTCCTTTATACATACGGATAATCATTGGTGAGGATTATTTAGCTTTAAACGTGACGAAGGAGGAAACTCCGGATTCTGGTCTATTCCGGTTCGAATTCCAGAAAACCTACTGATTATTGCTTCCATCGTCGTCTCTTGCATAGATACTTATCTTTTACGTTTCTTCTCACCATCTACACGAGTCCGACTATGTTAACTTGATCATAATAGCGGCTGTTGGCTTTGGTTTTACTCCTTCGAGAGACAGGGATGTTTTCTACTGCAATGGAGGGGGGACAAGATTTAGTCCCCCTCGAGGCACTGAGGTTCCCTCCCTATAAGCATCTACCAACAACCTCTGGATTCACTTACATAAACGAATCCGCGGCAATATGGATCCCCCGACGTCGACTATATTCAACTCTCTATTGATATATCGGCGGAACGTGTTAGGACGGTCGTCGAAGGCTGGTTTAATCCTAGCCAGGGGGATCGCTGCGCCTACCTTCCCATTTTTGGGAAGCTAGGTGTTGTAATTATTGGCCTTCCCCGGGATCCCGATTCCCCTCACTACCGTGGAACCGTTGACCCTACAGTATGCTGCGACTGAATTTATTCACTGTGTTGTATAATTTGTTATTCAAGCGACCCGCTCGACATTCCATTTTTAGTCAACCCGAGCCCTCGGGATCAACCGGCTCCGAACCCGTACCTTTCCCATTTACTGCGACGTCCTAGGTACAGATGAGTTCCTCCTTTCGTTCCCTTCCATGTTAGACCTTCAACACAAGCATTTCCTTCTTCCGCACTAGAGCTCTCACGTCCAGGCTGAAAATATATGCATGTACTCATTAATCTCGGGATGTTGAGTGGGTACTTAATGATGTGATTCTTCACTATTAACAGGTATCCCACCGTTCGATCCTCGGACGCCTCCATATACCGACAGAATCATAGGTCAACTTTAGTTCACATCATGTGATGAAAGTGTATTCTTTATCGTGATGAATGTCAAGGCTGATGGGAATATTGGACCTTGACTTCCTACTGATTTGACTGGCGTTTGGGCAACTGGAGGATTGAAAACAGTATGTATCGTACTTTGGCTTCCCTATAAAGTCCCATTTCAATGACGACTAGGCCAGCTCGAATACGCTACAATATTCGCCGTCGCTTTGAAACTGATCCGATTGTTACAATGGGGGTAAGTGTCGAAAATGAAAAAGAACAGCAGTCAGTAACATATAGCAGTCACTGCAATCACGTCTAAGCGAGCCTCGTACTTATCCCCAAGTCATTATTTCTGCCTTGACTGAGATAGGAAAGGTAGAATCATCGATTCCAGTTCCGAATCAACGATCCTACACGGGTAGAAAACCCGTCATAACTTCTTCTCTCGCCAATACTACCTGTACCAGCATAGGCGTCGTCGGGCTTTTAGATCAACTCAACACCACCCTCGGAACATCATACACGCTGAACAATTCCTCCTTACATTCCATTCTCGAAAGCTGTATCTCGAGGAAATATGATTTTGGCACCGCATACGGCCGTCTACGCCCAATCTGGTACAACGCCAACTGGAGCGCCATACAGAATGAACTACGCATACGTGAAGAGAGGGACCAGAATATGCGACGAGAAGCGCTCGTGGGCAATTGGATCGTAAATCCGAACATGCCCCCTCGACGCGTATGGGATCTTTATAGCAACCGTGTGGTACCACAGTGGATCATCTCTGAGAAGAAACCATGGGCGATATCGTACGCTTGGATGAGCCCTGAACATCGTGTTCAAGTCAACACACCCATAAATGCACACGAATGGCCAGTTCCCATTCATAAAGATGGCAATTTGGATCTCGTCCGAATTGAGATGCTGAACCTAGGCGCGGAATACATCTGGTTGGACGTTCTCTGTTTGAGACGACGTGGAAAAGAGGAGAATGAACTTCTGCGTGAGGAGGAATGGAAGCTCGACGTATCCACTAGCGGGTATGTGTATCACGAAACCGAGATGGTCGTGTACTACTTCTGTGGGCTGGGAGGGGCCTTCAGCTTGAAAATGGACGACTTGGATAGTCCCCGTTTTTGGCTGAACCGTGCGTGGACGTTACAGGAGATCAGCAGGAAGTGGATTATAGGCGGGGTCACTGACGATGGAGCAGGGATGACCCCGCAGACAGCCGCGGAGCAGGATCACAAGGCCGTACTAGACAGGATCAACGAACAATTGGAGTCCCTGGTAGATACCGTACACCGCGTCGACAATGTGTTCGACTTGCTAGTGCATCTTCGCCAGCGCAAGTCGGAGCATGCGGTGGATCATGTTGCGGCATTGATATTCCCTTTACGGTTCAAGGCAATACCAACGTATGATGAGACACAGTCTGTCGATGCTCTTTGGTTGGCGGTGGTGAATACGATGCGGACGAAACACAGGGGGGATATGTTCTTCCTGTATCCTAGACCTGGGAGCGAACATACTTGGAGACCGTCATGGAACCAAGTCATGACTGAGAGGCGTCTGCCGATAGGTAGGGTCAGCCTGTACGCGGATGTGGAGCGCGACGAAGAGACGAATGCTGACTGGTACGACGGGATGTGCATTGAAGAGGGCCGCGTACAGGGATTGGGTGCGGAAGATCCGAAAGGACTGATACGACGGGGGAAGCTAGTTGTCAAAGATGACACTGGAAAGTCTCATTCACTCGGAATCGTCGCCGCTCATCTGTATGAGATATCTGACGACTCGTACACATTGATAGCCAGCAGCCAAGGGAAAAGTGGAGCATTCGTGACCCGTGCGCCATGGACAGAAATTCATTGGGTCGCCGGACGAAGATTGTCAGGGCAGAAGTTCGAGAAGGTATCAGTGTTCACCATGACGGATGCAAGAGAGATACAAAGGTTGAAGAAATTGGGAATCGCTAAACGGTCGATTAGGAACTATCTTGTTTAATAAAAGTGATATATTTGTAGTTGCCACGTTTCCGATACGGGATGGATAATATTATGAAGAAGAACAACAGTAAAAGGTTTGATACAACGGAGAAAATCACAACAGATACAGTTTTATCTGGCATGTCAAATTGTTCAGGGGGCTTTAGTCCTTTTTTCACAACCAATTACAAGACGCCTAATGGTCAATAGGCAGTTGTGAGAGGCAAAACTGAAAAGTACGGGGCAAATGTACCTCATCCCTAGGTACCCGACGTGTAGGTTGTAAACGGGAATTTGCAGGTTCGTTCGAATATTAGGTAGCTGCTTTCGAAGCAGATGACACAAAACCACGACTCTGGCCACTCGTGTACGCTTTGATTGCACGATCAAGATGCGGAAAAGTTATCGACTCGTTGCTAGCAGATTCTTGAATTTCTTGGAGCTTTCGCTTCAGATTATTGAATGCGATGGGATCTGAAATTATGGGGCTACTAGAACTGAGGTGCAGCATGGAAGGGACAACAACTGTAGAGCTAGATCCAGAATACATTGCACGTTCGACGTTCGATGGCGTGGAGATTATGAAAGTCGAGGATTGTGAAGATGAAGATAAAGAATCGCCGATGATCTTTAGGCATTGGTCACAACTTTAAATCCATCAAGTGAGTTTTCAGCCAGAATAGAGGTCAAGCACTGGAACATACGCGTCGTAAATGGTACTCCATTGCTCCGGTGTCAATTCTGTGTTTCTTAGATGGACAATAGGTAAGAAATACAAGTTGCCGGAAGGGAGGAGAAAAACGTACTTCAGAGCTTCGACAAGAAAATCAGGGTTATCAGCCATGATGGGGGAGCTTGGGAGGAACCTAGTTAAACATAAGGAGGCCTATATATGCAAGAATTTTATTGAGTGGCGTTATCATCACTTGTCGTTATTTCTTTGTCCAAACCCACAAACATGCTGCAGAAAGGCGGGGTTCCGAATCAAAGCACGAAGTGTGGAGAGGGAACCAGTATGAAAAAGGAAAATAAGTCCTGTTATAAGTGAAGAGCGTTGCGGTGGAAGGACGTGGTCGCTGCCTGTTGCTATCTTTCGGATAGTATATGAAGGGTACAAAGAAAGCGGAGCGGGTACTTTTTTGGTTACCTTCAACCCTGAATACTTTCTGGTGGAATCCACTGACACACAGACGTGATTCTCAAATTCTCAGCGACCCTCCATCATTGCGATAGGTAGCCCTACGGTTCCAGCTTGTTGGAAATCCTCGGTGTTGCGCAGGGTAGACTCCAGGCTGGTAAGGCCAGATGGTATGAACTCCTTATTCTGCAGCTCCTACAGAGCTTGTATTTATACTCTCCAGGCTTGTATCTAGAATTTACTACAACTTTCTCTTTCTCTCGGGCTTACTCATCAACTCTCGGCATGATGCCGGATTGCCCTTTCTAGAACTTTCCAGCAAAATCCCAACACAGCTAGACGCTTCAAAGATTGAAATGGGAAGCACTCTGAAATCCTAATCGGGCCGGTCTCCACTTTGGCGCCGTCTGACCTTTGACAATGTAATACAGATACTTGTCCACCATGAGGCTGTCATACCGTGAAAATACAGTCTGTATCTCCTTGAGATCTTCACCAGAGCCTTGTCGTGTACGAAAACCAATTGTCACAGTTAAAGAACCATTCGATGTGGCATGGATGCAAGGATGGGTAGAGCTATAAGGACTCTCGTCGTCGTCTAGCATAGGACATGGCACCCTTACCCATCTGCTGAGTGATCTGATGCTTTGCTTGCTGTAAAAAAAAATTATAGAACACCGAGTTGCAAAACATAATTATAGCGATTGATCGGGGTACAGTGGAATGATACGAAACAAGGTGGTAACAAGAGCGGGAAAATGCAATACCTCGATATTCAGCTGAATGGGTCGTCAAGGTCGATGTCGTCTCCGCGACATACCCAGATGCCCACCACGCTGCTAATTGGAACATGAATAAATGAGTGTAGACCCATCATTCTGGACTCACCCAGTTCTTCTTCACGATCCGCACACACACCATTTCATAAATTCTCGATTGATATCTTTGGTAGCAGCTTCGCCTACATCTAAGTAAGCTCGCTGCCACTGTTTTCGCGGTCACAACCTCAGCCGCGTGCCAGCCCTCGTCGTCTTTTTTCGTCTAAATTGGCCTTCGTCACCTCTTCGAAATTCTTGAAGAGGTCGCTCTACACTATTCCAGAGTCGTCAATAGGTGTGCTAGATCAGGATCATGGTAGCTTTATCGGAAACGGAGGGCGCCGTAGCGATGGAAATCTGGTTCATCCATTCGGGCGGACATTATTTTGAGAAGATGAGAACGATTGAGTTATATCTGACATTGCATACTGACATCCATACAATTTACATATTTACTGATTCATGCATATACTTTTTCTTCGTTCCTTATCGGCGGCCTCTGGTCAAGTTATTGATATCAGGACTGCTGTGACATCGATCTTGTCCAACGCAGAAGAGGCTTGGGGAATACCTTTCCATACTAGTTGGGAAGAATGGCAAGCGCGTAATACATTAATGTGGTGAGTGGGTCAAGTCAACGAGATTTTGTTACATGCAGTAGGCTCTTCGTAGTATCTCCAGGAAACTATAAATACATACTTTCGTTGTACATATGATAATCGTTGGGCGATGTAAATAAACTACAGAATCGTATTAGTATGACTCGAACAAGTTGAAAAGACCGGCGCCACCATCACTTGTCATAGAAGACAAGGAGTCCGGAAGTGAGAGATAATGCAAAGGGTTATCAGCAGCGCGGTCGAGGTAATCCATCGTAGCCGAAATCAGGTTCGACTGAGGATCCCATTCATTATTTAGGCTTCCATTAAATCCATACAGGGTATCCATCCAAGAAGACTGTGAGTGAGCATGAGCGAACGAATTTTGGTGAGGGTAGAATAATAACAAACATCATCGTTATACGGCACGGATACTCCGCTATCGGTCGCGATGTGGGGGAAATAAGCATCGGATGCTTCAATCTGAGAGATATCAAGCCGGGAAAAGGGATGCGCAGAAGGAGGTGCAGTATCGTAGACGGTCGGAGCTGCCCCCATAACCTGTATCGCAGCGAAGTCGAAGACGATTTCGTTTCCATTCGTCCCAAAAGACTGATTCGACTCTACGACGGAGGCCGAAACGAGGCCAAGGGACTGGAGAACCTCAGGCACCGTCGGATTCGCGATCGGAGGAGGCTCGTAGAAACTCTGCGCATCCAGGCGGTTGATTTGCGCTTTGACTTTCTTGCGTCCATCTGCTTTCTTCCCCCGTTTAGAGCGACGAGGCTTGTACTTGTAGCCAGGATGCGCACGCGCATGATCCTCCTTCCTGTCCTTCGCAAGCTCCTTGTAATGGTCCTTCCTCTCCTTGGGGAGCTTTCTCCACGCCGCCCCAGCCAATTTGCTAGCTTTTGTCTGCGTCTCGTCACTGTGAAGCGCCAAAAATTCGGATCGGAATATCATGAAGCAATTCGGTGGACGGGGTACGTGACATCCATCTGACTCCGTGGTAGGAGTAGAGGACCCACAAGAAGAGACGGGCGTCGACCCATCCGTAGACGGAGTATCAGATTGGGTCAAGATGCCACTCAAGTGCACTTCTAAGCATTGAAAAAGGAGTCAGAAACAGGTATAATAGCATTGAGTGAGTACTGACTGTCATTCGTCGTGTACGCGGACAGAGAGTGAGCCATAACGACGCGTTTTTTTGCGGTAAACGAGGAGGATGAGGTGCTGTACGTCTGTAGGACGTGTGGTCGTCGTAGAACTGGGGAAGTTGCAGTGGGGGGCCCTCATTTTTCGCTGCTCTTTTGACACCATCCTGCAGGACCCTGTGGCGACACTGGTTGTATCTGGGAATCCCCTTTTATGGGTTGAAAGTGTACGTGAGAGAGATGTGTCATTCGGTTGCCCAACTTGTGTTTTTGGCGTTATCTCGGCGTACGGTCGGCATTCCATTTATGGTCTCGAAATTGGTGCCAAAGTCTCGAGCCTTTGTCTGCGCGCCCATTACGGTTTTCGTGGATTTGTCTCTTTGTTCGAGCTAGTAAAGAGTACGGTCACAGCCGCTCTGTGTATCGCTTTGCGATAAGGACCTGCAACTATTTTCCTAGTCACACCAAGGAGCAGCTCTTCAATACTCGCTGCCAGTACTTACGTGTGTACTTCTATAGTCCATAGAGCCTATCCTCTTGCGGTCAATGCCGAATCATGCCGCTGCCACATCGGACCGACATTGACCGAATGTTCAACATTCTGTCTAACATCATGTCTCTTAGTACCACCACCGTTCGCTTGTTATCTTTGTGTCTATAGCTGCAGTCAGCTACCTTTAGTGTTCCTCTCACTTACACCGGGACTCGAATTATTCCCTTGGTTTCTCCGTAACTACGTACACCTTGAACCATGACTCACTCGGTCCTTCTTATTGTTCGCGTTCTTTATCTTCCTCCAAGAGCTGCCACCTTCACTCCTGGTCCAAAAATGACCAAGACCGCTGTCAGAGCTCTTCGACAGGATTTGAAGTCTCTTGGCTTCCCTGAACCCCCAGAGTCTTCTCTGACTATACCAGCGGGGGGTATTGTCAAGTTTTTTTGGAAAAGAGAACAGGGCGGGGTATGTCTGTTTGCCTGTATATCTTCTCATTCTGCATCTTACCTCCTTCACTATAGCAATTCCATGAAGTTCTGAAGAGAAAAATAGCAAGCATTTCGCAAGAACAGTTATACAAGCAGAGAATGTAAGTATGCCATACACATCCACGCCGTTCCCTTGTCTCATCATTTATTGATAGCTCGAAGATAACCTTGAAGCCCGTGTGAGTTCCTTGCCATGTTTGGTGCTCTTTACTGATTTTGACCAGGTCAGACAAAAAACTCCATCGTCCGCCTCCGCCTATGCAATTCCCCGTTATGGGTCGTGTTCCTACCTCAATACCTCCTCAAGACCTCATTAACATCCCTCATTCGACACCCATCCCGGAGAGCGCTTTGGATGAATCACGACTCAGCGGACCATCTGTATCGAATTTAACCCAAGTAGTACAGATGGGCACATCATATCCTCAATACACAGGATCAGACTGTCCAGCAATCATGTCTGAGATTGCCGTTCCATGTCTTGATCAACTAGACATACACTCAGGACCCCAGAGTCCTGTCTTATACTCCACTCCAGTGGAAGGAGAGTCATCTGTAAGTTAATATCATTCTTTTATGATATTTGCTAACATGGGCACCCCTCAGATCGTAATCGGCAAACGAACCTCTCGCTCGGTGTCGCCGCCACCGCCACCGCCAGCCAAGAGATCTCGTACTGGAAGCGCATTCAGTGACGATGAGTCCTCCCTGCTGCATGAGCTTGGGTTGCTTAACGAAGAGATGAAATTCCTTGCTGCACGGCAGAAAAGGATCAGAGAGAAGCTCCAACACATGGGAGCACCGACTATCCCTGAGCCTGATTTCCGTATGTCCCTTCAATCCTTTCTTCCTTCGCTTACGCGCGTTACCCAACAGTATTCCGAGACGAATTTGAGCTGGAAATCGACACAGAGAGGAAGCAGAGGATCGAGTGTGAGATGGTGCTGATGGACATTCGGCGGGAGTGCAGGGCTCCTTTTATCGTTCCAGCGTTGTTTGATGCGTTTATTGATATCTCGAAATTGACGACGGCTGCTTTAGATTCTCTTACTTAACGGTTTAGAGCTATTGTGTATCATGGACTGTTGATTACTTAAGACTCGGAGGATGTACTGTATATGTATTGTAACATGATTTCTCTCCATTAGAATGACAAGTCGATTCTTTATTTTTGCTAGCGTTAGCTATTCCGTACTAGAAAGATTCACGGCGATAACTGCATAATCGGCACTATTCACAAGTAAGCCATATGAACCAGTTCACAGAAGTTCACAATCCTTGCCTGAACGTCTTTCTGATCCGCCAACCACATAGGCACACGGCTAAATTGACGCTGTAATCAGGGCTGGACCGTACTCCAAGTTCGGCAATGGGCACGTTTTTTTCATCTTACCGAGCACATTAATTGTCTAAAGCCTAAGGCCACAAATCTATCTGCAACCCGGAAATTACTGTCACTAGTTGAGTTTTCACTCCATCCTCAGTGATTTCCAGGAAATCGATGACTGTCGCGAGATGCGTCCTTCTGACCTCGAACACAATGGATTAGTCATCGAGACACATGAATTAGTCTAGTATGTTTTTATTATTTGCATATACGATAGAGCAGGTATTACTATTTCCCTCTGACACGGGAAAGACGATGGATACAAAGCAATGTGATGTGCAAGCGACTGACTGAATGTTCCGGATGGTAGTGTTTGAGCGACAGCGATGGTAAAGTAACTAACGACTTGTAAAGAGTATCCCGGAGATGGAGAAAAAAAAAAAAGAGAGAGAGAGAATCATGCTCCTTGGTGGCTGAACGATCTGAGGAAATGCGCTGCAGGCACCATCGGCGTGGGCTGGGCAATAAATGGCGAATCCTCCCGCCTCCTCAAATCCACCAGGCCCAACGCGTTATCGTGTTCTTCTTCCGTCTCATCAACTAATCCCCTCCGACCAAGACCTTCCTCCGACGTGGGCCTGACCGTCGCTCGCGAAGCTGAAGGAAGATTCGGGGCGGAGGAAAGACGTCGATGGCGTCCACGCGGGGCAGGCCTCGTTTGAGGAATCCATTCCACGTCCAAAGGCGACAAAACACCGCCCTCTTCCTCGCGCACTGGATTTCGAAGAGGCAAAAACGCGCTCGGGTCTCCTACAGGCACGACGTACGACCCGGGTGCACCAGGGGAACCTGCAAAGAAGGAGGACAGAAGATTCATGCTACGCAAAGAGCTACCATCTGAATGTGCTGATGTCCCCCATGACACAATAGAGATATTGTCTGGGGCAAGGGGTGCGGGGTGCTCTTCAAGAAGCACTCGCATTCCCGTGTTGAAATTTCGCCTCCGAGCTGTTGTTCCGTGTGCCCTAGCATTATGTTGTTGCGAAGCGCCCTGAGATAATTGGGGCTGCTCAGACGGCTCGGCGATAGAGGATCCAGAACGAGTAGATCCAGTGACCAGCTGGGAGGTGGTGGTGCGACCCCCTGCTCGAGAATTCGCGACAGATGTATGAGGATGAGTCCTTGGAACAGAATTTTCGGTGCTGGGTTGAGAGGAATTAGAAGTGTCAAAGCTGACATGAGGAAAGGTATTGCTGCGTTGATGCGGCCGCAAGCTAGACGATGCTCCGAAGCTCATAGACGAGAGTGACGTTGTCGACTCAGTAGTCTGTAAAACATTCGGATGTTTTGAAGGTCCGGCTTGAGACTGCTCATTGAAATAGCCATGATGGAAACTACCATCGTCTCCTCGCAGATACCCGATCAGCCTTCCCGCGCCTTGGAAATTGGGTCCTTCGTGAGACTCCTGTTCCGGAGGGATAGTGACACGAGATTCTGGTTGAGCGCCACCGACAATGACGTTCTGCCTTCCGAGAGCTGGATCGTATTGGCTCTGTGCTTGCTGGATTGCTTGCGAAAGCTTTGACAATACGGACGTATAAACCTGCGTATTGCTAGTGCCCGCATTCGCAGGTAAAGACGGTTGAGTGTTCAAGATTTGGTACTCGGGTAGTCGGAAAATGTCCTGGGGTGGAGTCGGCAAAGGGTTCGGTCTTTGCTTTCCCTTTCCCTTGCCTTTGGTCGGGCCATCATCAAAGAACGAATTGACCATAGCAAGTTGTTGGTGCAAGTGATCGACCTCATCTCGGTATCTGCGCATCTGGAAACATGGTATTGTTATGTGTTGAACATAAAATTTAGCCGAATTACCTGACTATCAAGAGGTCAGAATGACTGAGGAAAGGAGAAAAGGAATACGCACGAAAGAAGTTGCTCATTCTCACTGACTAAAAGGGCCTCGAATTCCTTGTTCCTCTCATCTTCGGTATGGTTCGCCCTGACCTTCTGTGTGGCGGTCCGCATCAGGATCTTCGTTTTTTCATACTTGAACCTCAGCTTTCGGAGCGTGTCCGTTCCCTCAAGCGCGCTACGAAGGGATCGATACTGTGGATGTTCAGATGCTTGACAAGGATAATAGAGCGGATACATGCCTGGTTCTCGTCCTTTCCGTCGAGGAATTGTTGAATCTCTGCGCGCAATTCCGGGTCTGGATCCGTCAGCTTCCAAGCAAGAACCAATCTCTCTAACAAATCGTTATGTTTCAGCTCGTCTGCAGGGGGACCGTTCGCATGCAGCCTCCGAAGCTTCACCGGATCCCGCTTGAAGCCTTTCCTGCACAAGGGACACGTCGGCGGTCTGTTCGTGATACTGGTGATGTTCGTCAAGCATCTGTACAAGACATAAGTCGAACGTTGGTCGAAGAAAACAAACCATACTCTTTGCAAAAAGTGTGGCCACAAGGAATAACATGAGGCGCCTGCTCTGGCTGGTCCCACGCATAGGTCGAGAAGCAGATGTCGCACTGACTAGCAGCATGAATAATGAGCGGCATGATGAGCTCGCGGCATGAGCTGTCCTGGTATCCTTGCTGCCTGCAGACGTCGGCGTTGCTGTCCAACAAGAATGCGGTAGATGTCCGGATTTGGAGGCCTGTGCCGAAGGAACGGCGGAAAAGTCCGGACCGCTTGAAGGCTACTTGGCATTGTATTTGAATACGTCATAGGCTACGGTACGATTTCAAAACGATTCTGATCTTTACAAATCATGCATTTATTTTTCCCACGCAGGGATCGTCCTTGCAGGGGTAGAAATTCCATTCCTCAAGGAATATAGGCCGGACCAACTAAATTGGCCAACTCTTCGTCCGAGTCGATGTTTGCCTACAACGTCCTGGCCGCCGCTACCACCGAAGAAACGGAGCGGCGAGGTCAGCTGTACCACATATATTAGGTTCCAGGAGATTCTCAATGCTGCCAACCCTAGACCTCCCCCCTCTTACAGGGACGTCGCGTGGGTGAAAGCGTGAGTTTTTACAATCTCATCCTAACAAGCAAGCAGCTGAACAACAGCAGCGTATTTTCTCCTCTTTCCCGTCGTGAGACTTATCCCACCTTCGTCATCGTCCAGTGACCGGAAAATAATAATAGGCGACTATTTTTACGTTGGCCAAGAAAACGCCTGGGCAAAAAATATCAAGGTTTCAGTCGCACGTGTAAGATACTCATTTGAGGCTTCATGCCCCCCCGCCCTCTCGCACTTGTTCAACCTTTTTTTCAGCTGTCCTATAGATTTTGCCCTTGACGCAAGTGATATTGCAATTCTATCCCTCGGGAGATTTATTGGTAATTTACCCGGTTCTTATTGGATACTGACGCGTTGAACATGCATAACAGCCGTAGGCTTCCATACGATATACACCACCCGCCGTCTCTGATGGCGAATCTCCGCGCACTGCCTCGGCGATTCTACGAGCGAAAGCACGGACTGATTTTCTCGTTTATTTTTCATCGTAGAAAATAAAAGAAAAAATCACGGCCTATAAAACGCGCAAATCCCCCAGCATACATTCCATCGCATCTCTCAACTCATTGCGACCATGAAGACCGCTATCCTCAGTTCCGTCTTCATCTTTGCTTTGGTAGCCGCTGCTCATCCTGGCCCCCATGCGCCTAACAAGCGTTCAGAGAAGGAGTTGGCCCGTCGCGACTTCGCCTCGAACAAGTGTGCGCGCCATGTCGGCGAGATGCAAAAGCGGCGCGTAGAGAAACGCGCCGAGGCCCTAACCAAGCGAAGTGACACCTATTCGTCGGTCACCATCACGACAGAGTCGCCGTATTACCCCACCATTCAGAATGAGACCTGCATTCTGACCCCCGAGGCCACCACTGGTCCGTATATCTGGGAAGTATCTCAGACTCTGCGCCAGGACATGACCGAGGATCAGCCGGGTATCCCTCTGATCTTGGTACGTTTAACTTGATTCACAACATCAAGCATATCTGACTCTTGTAATGTAGGACATTGGTGTGATCGAGATCAACACCTGCGAGCCTATGAGGAACGTCCTTGTCGACCTTTGGCATTGCAACGCCACTGGATCATATTCCTCGTTCACCAAGCTCTCTCCCAATACTCCTTTTGAAGAGCTGCTTGAGGAGTTGAACTATACTATTGTTAATGATAATTTCGATCTTCACACCGACAACACCACCTTCCTCCGAGGAATGTGGCCCACTGATGCTAACGGCGTGATGGAGATGAAGACAATCGTCCCAGGATTTTACGTTCAGAGGACCGTGCATATTCACGTTCAGGTATCTGTCTCTTTTTCAGCACAGAACTCTGGCTAATTATTCTCAGGTTCACCAAAACTGGGTACTCCGGTCTAACGGGACTGTCAAGACTGATACCACCGCCAACACGGGTCAGATATTCTTGTCGGATGATCTGTCGGAGTATCTGATGTCGTATGAGCCATACGTTTCGCATACCCAGATCGAGAGAACCACCAACGCGGAGGATGCCATATACGCAGCCGAGTCCGTTAATGGATGGTTCCCCGAGTTGGCTGTTATTCCTATGGATGGGGAGGATTACGCCAACGGCATTATTGGATACATCACTATTGGCGTTGACTCCACTCGCTGGAATGCGTCTACACTCATGGGGGATGGCGTGGTAACGCATTAGATTCTACCCGTCCTCTTTAGATTTCAACTCAGTAGTACAAGTTATCTATGTGACGGTCTCTAAAATTTCTGTTACGACGTGTTTATCAATTATGCCTTGCCTGCCTGCCCATAAATTGTGAAAAATCCTTTCTGATGCGGCATATGGTGCATAGATCGGCACAAAAAATACAAGGATTCATCTACTTTTATCTTCGTGTGTTTCTAATGTACACCCGGTCATTCGCGCCCGAAATCTCGGATATTTACTCTTGCAATTGGGTACTCACCTTCGCCGAGTTGAGTCAACTGGGCGAAACGAAGGGTACATTAGTGCTGATTAAGACCAGAAGTACCGCTTCTTATTGCATACGATCGAAACTTGTATTTAGTATCGTACTCCCTTTCGTCTTCTACAAATGAATATCAGTTACCACGATGGATTGTATTAGACGTCTATCCTTTTTCTCGTGAGCCGGAAGCTTGCGCAGATCTGATAGTTTCGATTGGGTGTGCTATTGCAGGGCTTTTCAATGTTACTGGTACCGTGGTGCGGTATGTCGTGTGAGCTCATGAACGAATGAGGCCACTAATATCGACGGCGTCTTCATACTCGGGAGAAAAACAACGGATATCATTCCACTGAGGAGATGGAACCTGGTGGAATACCTGAGTTGAAATTTGATGCATCGAAGAGTTCGGATTGAAATGTAAGTCCAATAAGGATAGGCCACCGGTCAGAGTAATGCAGAAGGTCAACAAGGACATACATTTCTTAACAATTATCTGGAGTCACTGTAGCTTTTCCGAGTTCTTCGCTAGGCTAAGTGACCTCTAACTAACGTGGCGGTGGAGTTCAAACTTCGAAGTTATTTGCAATAGATCAAGGTCTCCAGTGGCACCAGTGAAGGGCAGCCTTTCCGTCTGTATGATGGCATGCTTCTATGAGTGCTCGTCCACATTTCCTGGAGTTTGCCATCCAACATCAATGTTTACAATGTGCGAGGCGCCATATCGTGCTATGGTAAAGTAAAGAAATGTCGTTACCCTGAGTACTTTCTTTTGGCGAAATCCATGCCACTCCTGTCAAAGAAGATGCTCAGGACGGAAGAGTGGATGTGGACCACGCCGCCACGGAAGAAGAGGTCGATGCTCACCCTGACGACGTCTCCGAACGCAGGAAGATGGTATTACGGTGCACTCAAACGGACCTGACGGTTTTTCTTCGCACTCTCTTGGACTTCCTCTAGCACCAAAAAAGGCCCTGCCACTATTATGACCGGTCTGCAACAGTAATCTGCGAATTGTCGGACATTGTGGACACGGTCAAGCCACAGATATTTTCATCGGTTTCTCAGCTCTTCCAGAAATGATCGGTTCTCATCTATTCTAGGGTAGATCGTGGAATGTGGAAGAAGCTGATGACGGCAAGGAAATTGCGGTGTGTTTATAACCAAAAGCATGTATCATATGATGCACGGAACCGAAAGTCTCAATGCCATCTCCTGAAACGACCCGTTCCCGGCTGGATCCACAAAGATTGCTGACGCCTGTCCTAAGTACCAGAAAACAGCTCCCAAAGCAGCCATGGCACGAAACACCCATTCTATTCCTTTTCCGAGTCCACGACATCTTTGGACCCCTGGTTGTACTCCACAGCAGCGAACGAGGTCATCAAACTGATCTGAGAAATCTCCTCCGGTCTAGCATCTGGCTCGGTTCAAGAACGCCTCAAGGATTGGAGATGTTTCGATGACTCTGAAGAGCCTGCATGTGTCAAGGTTGGATATGTAGTACTGAGTAACGTCTTCACTGATCCTCATAACAGTGGAATCAGATTGAACCTTGTCCATGGCAAAGAATTGATAGATGAAGGCGATCAGACGATGTTCCAGAGCTCTTCAAGCGCACAACAAAACTAGAGAAGAAGGTCAGTGACAATCATGCAAGGTAGAGATTATCTAGACCTTGCCGCAAGCAACGCTAGCACTCAACGGGTACTCGCTGATACTAATTTTTTCGTCAACGTAGGCATCCGCAAAGTCGTCCCTCCCACGGGCCATAGCGCCCACGAAAACAGCAATATTATGACTCTGAGGTAGCGTGGGTAGGTATTGTGAAAGTCGCTGCGTTTTAGCATCGCCCGACAGCGTCAGTTTAATGGTGTTGGGTGGGAAGTGGTCGACGACGGGGTTTTTGATGACCTTTAACAGCTTCTCTGGACCATTGACACCACGAATAAATAGTTTGTGGAGAAGTTGGACTGAATAAAACCCATGTCAGCAAACTGAAAAAAAATATATGTAGGGGATATACCCATCAATCCACTGAAGCGCTTGAACGTCCTCGGTATCCTGACATGCGGATTGACTTCGATAAGCACACCTTTCGCAGTATGGATATACACTTGAAGAAGACCAGATTTGTTCAGAGGCGAGTCCAGGAGAGTCAACAGGCACTAAACATATGAAAAAAATCAGAGACCACAAAAGGCAGACAGAAAACAGACATACCTGGTGCGTAATATCAGGCCTAGCATCTGCGATGTCCCTTCCCGTCCTGGCGAGGATACCCTGGTGGTCGTCGCAGTTGAGCAAGGTATACTTGACGTCACCCTCGCCTCCCTTCCCGTGTCTTGCGCCCTTTGCACTCCCACTCGAGATACGGTAAGCCTCCAAGCACGCCTGTTCCAAAACGACAAAAAGACGTCGTTGAGACGCGGCTGCTATACCCTTGGGCACATGCGCCTGCACAGGGAGCATCAGCGGATTGGGATTGGGCACGAAGGGCTCTGCCTTGAGCGATGTGGGTGCGGCGATCTTTTTCTTCTTCGACGCAGGAAGTGGTCGCGTAGGCCTATCCGTCATTGTCGCCCTGTTCAGGATGGTGATTCCAGAACTGCTATCACTCCCGTCCTTGCTCGTATCCTCATCGATCTGCATAATGTACACTTGTTCGCCTAGTTCAGATTCTTTGATACGAATAGCACGTTTCTGGCGTCGACGGTACAATTTTCGACGAGGCTGGATTGCGGTCGTGGTGTTGGGACCGGCACAACGTCGTCAACGGACCTGCTGCAACTGCGCTTTCGACCAGGTCGAGTAAAATACGGAGGCAAATCCACGAAAACCGTAATGGGCGCGCAGACAAAGGCTCGAGACTTTGGCACCAATTTCGAGATCATAAATGGAATGCCGACCGTACGCCGAGATAATGCCAAAAACACAAGTTGGGCAACCGAATGACACATCTCTCTTACGTACACTTTCAACCCATAAAAGGGGATTCCCAGATACAACCAGTGTCGCCACAGGGTCCTGCAGGATGGTGTCAAAAGAGCAGCGAAAAATGAGGGCCCCCCACTGCAACTTCCCCAGTTCTACGACGACCACACGTCCTACAGACGTACAGCACCTCATCCTCCTCGTTTACCGCAAAAAAACGCGTCGTTATGGCTCACTCTCTGTCCGCGTACACGACGAATGACAGTCAGTACTCACTCAATGCTATTATACCTGTTTCTGACTCCTTTTTCAATGCTTAGAAGTGCACTTGAGTGGCATCTTGACCCAATCTGATACTCCGTCTACGGATGGGTCGACGCCCGTCTCTTCTTGTGGGTCCTCTACTCCTACCACGGAGTCAGATGGATGTCACGTACCCCGTCCACCGAATTGCTTCATGATATTCCGATCCGAATTTTTGGCGCTTCACAGTGACGAGACGCAGACAAAAGCTAGCAAATTGGCTGGGGCGGCGTGGAGAAAGCTCCCCAAGGAGAGGAAGGACCATTACAAGGAGCTTGCGAAGGACAGGAAGGAGGATCATGCGCGTGCGCATCCTGGCTACAAGTACAAGCCTCGTCGCTCTAAACGGGGGAAGAAAGCAGATGGACGCAAGAAAGTCAAAGCGCAAATCAACCGCCTGGATGCGCAGAGTTTCTACGAGCCTCCTCCGATCGCGAATCCGACGGTGCCTGAGGTTCTCCAGTCCCTTGGCCTCGTTTCGGCCTCCGTCGTAGAGTCGAATCAGTCTTTTGGGACGAATGGAAATGAAATCCTCTTCGATTTCGCTGCGATACAGGTTATGGGGGCAGCTCCGACCGTCTACGATACTGCACCTCCTTCTGCGCATCCCTTTTCCCGGTTTGATATCTCTCAGATTGAAGCATCCGATGCTTATTTCCCTCACATCGCGACCGATAGCGGAGTATCCGTGCCGTATAACGATGATGTTTGTTATTATTCTACCCTCACCAAAATTCGTTCGCTCATGCTCACTCACAGTCTTCTTGGATGGATACCCTGTATGGATTTAATGGAAGCCTAAATAATGAATGGGATTCTCAGTCTAACCTGATTTCGGCTACGATGGATTGCCTCGACCGCGCTGCTGATAACCCTTTGCATTATCTCTCACTTCCGGACTCCTTGTCTTCTATGACAAGTGATGGTGGCGCCGGTCTTTTCAACTTGTTCGAGTCATACTAATACGATTCTGTAGTTTATTTACATCGCCCAACGATTATCATATGTACAACGAAAGTATGTATTTATAGTTTCCTGGAGATACTACGAAGAGCCTACTGCATGTAACAAAATCTCGTTGACCCACTCACCACATTAATGTATTACGCGCTTGCCATTCTTCCCAACTAGTATGGAAAGGTATTCCCCAAGCCTCTTCTGCGTTGGACAAGATCGATGTTACAGCAGTCCTGATATCAATAACTTGACCAGAGGCCGCCGATAAGGAATGAAGAAAAAGTATATGCATGAATCAGTAAATATGTAAATTGTATGGATGTCAGTATGCAATGTCAGATATAACTCAATCGTTCTCATCTTCTCAAAATAATGTCCGCCCGAATGAATGAACCAGATTTCCATCGCTACGGCGCCCTCCGTTTCCGATAAAGCTACCATGATCCTGATCTAGCACACCTATTGACGACTCTGGAATAGTGTAGAGCGACCTCTTCAAGAATTTCGAAGAGGTGACGAAGGCCAATTTAGACGAAAAAAGACGACGAGGGCTGGCACGCGGCTGAGGTTGTGATCGCGGTGGGGGTTTCAGTGAACATTGGGATGTGAGGCGACAGAGTTCAGAGGATATAGACAGCGAGGATGAGAAAATGCCTATTCCAGACGGTTCCGATGGTGGTGGTGGTGGCTGCGACGGCGGACATGTGGTGTGGAGGGCGTTAGATGCAGGAAGGCCGAGACCCAGGCCAGCTGACTGTTTACGAGAACGTCGTCTCGGCTCGGTAATTGTAGGGGATATTCGTCCAAGAGCTGCAGAGGAAGTGGATGGAAGATCTCGAAGGGAAGTGCCCGAGTTGCCGCTGGTACCACCCCTGTTCCTCGTCGGAGGGGCGCCAAGGCCCAATCCGGCAGGATACTTCGGGCTGGAACATGAATCTACAGCCATCGTCAGGCGTTGAAGGGTCCTTATTTCATGTGCACATACCGTTGATGGAAGAGGCCAGTTTTCGACCAGAGTTCGTAGAAAGAATAACAGTGTTTGAGACACCGCGGCGTTTCAAAGCAGGCGTAGTCACTACGAGTCCGTCGGTCAGTGGACGTCATTATAAGGGAAAATCCATGCCTTCACCAGGAGTGACCAATTTGGAACTCGGCTGGCCTAGGCCGATCCCCTTGTATTGCCCTAGCGGTGTACTGTCAGTAGGGCCACGGACGGTCACGATACGAAATGACTTACTTGACTTTGAAGGACGATGGCATAAGCTCAGAGAAGCCGAGGAGGAGGAGGAAGGCAAAGAGATGGGAGAAGACGAATTGAGACAAGATTTGGCTCTGGAGCATGACATGGGTGGAGGAGTGGCTACGGCAATTCTCGCCTCCTCACGGGCAAAAAAGTTGAATGGGAATGTAATACCAAGTCCAATCAATGCCTTGAAGGAAAAGAACGACTAATAAAAGGGGTCAGTTAGGGCATTTCATGTAAGAAAAGGCGACTAACCTCTATTGTCGTCCTGGAAACAGCATGATTGCAAGCAGACATGGTGACAGGAGATATGGAGAATGCAAAGATGCGCAGGTTGAGAGTAAATGGGAGAGAAGCACTACGAGCCAGTCGTAGATGATGGTTAAAGGGCAAGAAGTAGGAATAGCGATTTACAGACGCGCGTGTCTTCGTAAGCATCCCAAGCATGTGACCGTGTTAAGGTTAGGGTTCCAGTCGGGAAGCAAGGCAATGGGCTCCTGGTGACCTGAAACTGTTGTGGTGGTGTTTCAATACATGTATATCCCCAACGCATAATTATACAAGGTCTCCAAGAAGATTGGTATCTTTCTAGTAGATCTTACACAATTTCTTGTGCTTTTCAGTATGCATATTTCGCCTCGTTATAGGTGAGAACTAATGTGAAGCGGATATTGCAAGCGGTCGGAGACTAGAGTAAAAAAGTACATGGCACCTCAACAATGGAACCTGTTTCTAGTCGCGACATACCGCACCGTCAATGGTTTCACTGCAAGGTGGGGAAGCCAAAAATCACAACGCCCACGATCCCTCTAGCTGGGAATCGAGCCCAGCCTCTGAAACCGGACTGCCGCCCTTCGCCGAAATGCCAACAGAGAGTTGAATAGCTATAAGAGCAGCTGGCCCTATATTGCCGCGAATTCGTTTACGTGACGCAGATCCGCACCTGAAAGCGAACGTAGCTAGCACCATCTTGCTTGACGACCGAAATGTTTGTAGTATAAACCAGAGCCAGGAAGGCATCTTTACGATCCAATTCAACGATCTTCGAGAGGGAGCAAGGAACCGAGAGAACGTTGTTCAAGTATACAAAAATCCATACAATAATCGAGATTCACGGCAGGTGCAGGGAAACTCTTAGCAAGAAAATACCACCTAGCAATGGATCCAAACATGACAGTGAAGTAGTGCTTTACCTGTGTCAGACTGTTAGCTGAAGTTCGCCTTCAGGCCTTCAGGTAAGTTATCAACACAAGAAAGTAAAAAGAATCGCGCGACATACACCCTCCCGAATGCGGGAGGGTGTACGCTGCAATCTCTCGAATCCAGCTTGTGACATCTGCATCAGCACGCTTCGCCAATACACCAATAGAGAGCCGAGGTATAGAGTATCATGGGAGTCAAATTGTCATGGATTCGTTTATGTAAATGGTGCCGGCCTCCAAGCGAAGAAACTCTGAGACTGGTGCAAATAATGAAACAGGAAAGTGGTCGGGGGTGAGCTGAATCTTCTGTATCGATGTGGTAGAAAGACCGCTGTCATTCTTTTTTTGATGAAACGTTAAACCAAAGCCACAGTATTTGTCGTCACAATGACTGATTAGAGAACGAATAAGGCTAGCATTTGCAAGACTGATCAGACAGCGTAAGGAGCTTGCTTTGCTGTAGAAGAGAATAACAACGGAAGGTCAACGTACTTAAAGACTTGCGATGGAGACATGAGGAGAGAATCTTCAATACAGCCTCGGGCAAGTCTGTCGAAATCATGCACGACGCAGCGTATACCTGTGTTCGACTGAGAGTACGAGCAAAGTCCCAGACACGCGGGCATTGAGTGAATCTGCAATGCATTCAATGCCGGAAGAAAAACGAAGCAGCATGGCTAATTGGAATGGGAACCTTGAAAGCACAAAATTTGTATTCGTCTTCATCATGGTCCACGCAATCCACCATTTGTGTGTGCAAAATCACGTCGTGCGAGCCTGTCCTTAATTCTATTGCCGACAGTCGTCATCATAAGAAGACAAAAACGCCTGAGCATGGCTGCGTTGGCCTTCGGTTCTACAAGAAAAGGAGTATCGTATCTAGAAGGAGCAATAGAAAGGTTACAGACGAGCCTCGAGGCAAGAAAGGTTACTCACGAAACAAAAAATCGTCCTTCCAAACTAGACGCAAGAAAATTCTCTCTCGTTATGCCCTGCTTCTACGAAAAAGGGCTCTGCTCCAGACTCAGGGCTGCTTGACGTCTCCCGGAATTTTTTTCTGGTAGTCAAGGTGGTTGCTTCAATGAGGACGACGAATCAAGTGGCTTTAGGCCGCCGGTACCGAGACGAAGGAAAGGCTGTGAGCAGAAAAGGAAGCTGAGAAAGGGCAAGCCACGGTTGTTCCCACGGCCAGCTTGGACCCACAACGATCCACTGTATACCAGCATTGTGAGAAACTTTACGATCGCAACATGCCGGACGCGTTCACGCACTTCTGTATCCCCCTCCCCCCTACTGCCAAATATATGGACCTCATCATCAGAACCTCCCTCGGGAAGATGTCAACAGTCAGGCATGGAACTATGAAATAAGAATGGTACGCGTAGCAGAAAACTTGTTCGAATTCGAGACCGAGCCGACAGAGAATCTATGCGGTTGCTATGGTCCGGCAAACGAACAGCGAACATAACGTTGCCCGTACCCTCTCTCGAATCATATAAAAGACCCAGAATTTGAACCAACATCTACAGCATCAACATGTCTGCCCCAGAAACCGCTACCAAATTCTCCTCTGCTGAAACCTCCTCCGTCGTTGGTGGACAACTCGTCGGACGCTCCAACAAGGGCGCCGTTGCACCCAAGGAAGCTCTGAAGCTTCGTTTGGACCTCAACCTCGAGGTGGAGATTGCCATCCAAGCCAAGGTCAATGGCGACATCACTCTCTCCCTTCTGTGAGTAGGCGCTACCTCGCCTTTTTGGATAAATACAAGTTGACTTATCTCTCTTCAGTGAGTAAATATGCTCACATCTTCGTGATGATGTTGGAACCTGGTCATCGGGTTGAGGTAAGATTCGCTGCCCTGGGTTAGTTTGTGTTTAATAATGCTGAGATCTGTTATGGTGTTAGGGCAAATACATCTCTTGTACCCTAGCTCCATCCTCGTCGATGTCGATCAATATTTACATTTCCTATACATACAAAATATTAGGGCTTTTGGGGTTCAAACGTTCATACATTGAGACTTGAGCGTACGTATACTCATCTAAGCGCAAGGAATATGGAGTCATATTGCACCCAGTGCCTGTCTGCACCACGGCTGCTCAAATCCGCAGGGAAATTTAGAAACAAGCCGTCGAACCTCTACGTAGTGCAGTTTCATACTTGACCGTCGCTCAATGGTTCCGCAGTCAGCAGAAGCCAAAAAGTACGGTACACACAGTAGTGATTCGGGAGGCCCTCTAGCTGTAATCGAACCCAGCATTTGAAGCGAAGCCGACACTTCGCGGATGTACCAACAGAGAGCTGAATCAGGTACTAATCATAGTTAGCATTTACTACTACAAAGTCAGAACATTTCAGTCATACCTTTTCAACGCCGGCCAAGCCCGAAGATTCTATTGAGGGCTTTAGTCTTTAGATTCTGATATCCACCCATCGACTGAATAAACGAGATATCGATCGGGAGCCTTGAATCGATAAATTTATTCCCAAGTGTCAGATCGGGGTCGGAAAGAAATTGTCGCAGTGTGTGGTGCTCCCCATGTCTGAGGAGGACATCCACCGCGATCTCTCTAGCTGGGAATCTACTAGGAACCCAGAAGCGTGCCCGTTTCCAGTAGACCAACAATGTTAGTATGCTTGTAGTGCGATTCGGATTAGTATTACAAAGTTGTTATGAATGTTATGCCGGGAAAGCGTAGCTTGATTATCATCGCCAGTGCTGGCATTCGGGTACGCTAGACGCGGGTATAGAAATATGGGACTATATACGATAAGGTGAGCTCGGCGGCGGCCCGTAGGACATTGAATTGGAAATCCAACGTTATTCCGCACCACCATGACGGCACAGATTCAGACATCCCAAAGCGCCGTTCGTTGGTACCCTCCCTCGTTCGACATACGAGTCGAACAAGTCCCTGTTCCAGAGTACGTTCATCCGATCATAGTCTTTCTCCCGGACACGAACTGAAGTCGATCCCGGGCCACAGAATCAACGAACCAGATGATGCGATCGTGAAAGTGAAGGTGAGCTATCTGCGTCTGCAGCTTCCAATCCAAAGATACACACATATATTGATCTGAGATGTAGTTAGCAGCTCTCTGTGGTACGTTATCAGCGAATCTTTCACAGATAAGCGATTAATGCGGTCAGGGAGCGATCTACACATCTACCGAGGACACGGAGGCGTTACTAAAGTGTGAGTAGGAAAAACCGGCACAGTGACAGCTTAACCCTCACATAAACAGCCATATCTGCGGGCATGAGTTCATCGGCGAAGTAGTGAAACTCGGTTCGAGCTACGGAGGACCAGCCCAAGGGCGCCCAGATCTATACTCGACCTTGAAAGTGGGCGATAAAGTCGTCTCTCCTTTCACCGTAAGCTGCGGTGAATGCAGGTCAGTTACATAGAATCAGTATTCGAAGCTTCGACTGACTATATACCCTTCCAAGTGTTTGCCGACTGGGATATACTTGTCGATGCCCTCACGGCGCCCTCTTTGGTTCGCCAGCCCTCGAAGGAGGCCAAGCACAATATGTGCGTGTGCCAAGGGCTGGGGGAACGCTCTACAACCTCAGCGATACCAGTTCCTGGTCAGCAGATCAAACAGCCACAGCAGCCCTGGATAAAATATCTGAGAGTTCGCTCGTCCTCCTCGCTGATATCCTGCCCACGGGAGTATTCGCTGCCATGCAGGCTCTGAGCCACCCAAAGGTCCTGACGGCGCTCACTGGGAGGCCGTGTCCGTTGAATTTCTTCCCATTGAGAGATCTCCCCGCCAAGCAAGACGCCCTCGTGCAAGAGGACAGAACGCTCACCTTTGCGATTGTGGGCCTGGGACCCGTGGGCATATGTGCGGCAGTCAGCCTGCTCGACCTCCTTTCCGTGGGACAGTACCCGTTTCGCGTCGTCGCGATCGATCCCAATGAGAGCAGGAGGGAGAAGATGGAAGCCGTCTATTCCAAGATCTCCCCGGATGGCAGGGGCTCGGGAGAGTTCACCGTTGCGTCGATCGACGACGCCAAGACCACGGTCCATGCTTGGACTTCCGGTGTAGGATGTACAGCTGTCCTCGAGGTCAGTTGAAGCCACTCTGTTGTATCCGAACCTGACGCATTCTGTCCAGGTGGTCGGGAATAATAGCGCACTGAGCCTGGCGTATGACCTCGTTCGAGACTTTGGTGCTATTATATCTGTGGGAGTCCATGGAGCAAATGAGGTTCCGTTCACTGGACGACAGCTTTATAACAAGAACGTATCCCTTGAGTTCGGAAGATGTCCTGCCCACACTATGTTCCCTCCCGCTTTCGACTTGTTGGGTGAGAAGCTATTGTTTTCGTTTTAGTTACCATACATGCTGAGCAGCATTTTCAGCGAAGCGGCAGGATATCTTTGGAGGCGTCGGTGACGCCAGCAACCTGATCGACAGGATTGTTGGCTTGGACGAAGCCCCGGAAATGTATCGGGCATTCGAGAAAGGTCAAGTTGGAAAGGTTATATTCGACCCTTGGAAATAGTCTACTCACACATGTATTGCTTAAACTACGCATAAAATCAAATGGGGGTATCAAGTAACAGAACGAACGGACGATACGTTACGATGAATATATATACAACACGATCATCATGCCCCAAAAGAAGATGTATAATAAATATTCCATCGTAGATGTACCAGCATGATATGAAATCACAAACAAAGGAAGAGTGTGAATGATTAAATAAAGAAATACAGTTCCATTCTCACATGCCACCGTATGCGTCTTCGGCGTCGTAGACCGTGTAGACCGTGTCAGGCCTCTTGGTGTTCACAGGCGTCGCATTTCGGGGAGCCACAACAGTCTCATTGGCAGGTGGAGTCGACTGCGATGTGGGAGTGAAAGCAGGCTGGGAGGCGAGAGGAGACGTAGCAGTGGGCTTTGCGTCATCTGACGGGGGGACCACAGCAGAAGAGGAGTCCTGAGAGACCTCCTGAGCAGGCATACTGACAGCTACACCAACGGCTCCGGCAGCTCCAACTGATGGAACCCTATTCAAGTCCACATACTCCGCTTCCTGAGGCTGTTGGAACGGATCGGCATGGTACATCTGAGCAGGCTCTCTGTTGGGCTGCACCTCATCAGCCATTTGAGATGGTTGTCTGGTCAAGTACGCGTCGTGCCCGCCCATCTGCTGACTGATCACAGACGGATCTCTGTTATATGCAGCCGCTGCGAACGGGTCATTATCAAGGCCACCAGAGGGCATGTCCATTTCATTGTAAGTCCTAGGCACCACGATCTGACCCGGAGAGAATGAGGCGGGTGAAGTCGGTTCCTGTGGACCGTATCCATACTGAGCCTGAGCGAACGATGCCGGGCTGTTATTGACGTGTCGCTCAATCATGGTCGGAGGCCTTAAATGATTGTTCCATCCCGAACCGCCACGGCCAGAATCCCCTGACATTGAGATGTCGTCGTCGAGGAGTACAGCAGAGCTCCGGAACTGCGAAGCATCAAACACATCTTTGTCCTCTCTGTGACGACGCCAACGACGCTGGTACAGCGTGAATGAAAGCTCCGATGGGAAGTGGACGAAAGCTTACGATGAGGAATCCAATGACAATTACGACAAAGGCAATACCGACCAAACAGCCAATACCAATACCGATGATAGTGCCTGTACTCATACTAGTGTCGGCACTGGCTGTAGAGCTGGCACTGACACTGGCAGTCGCTGACGAGGACGCAGACACATGGGTGGACTTGGTCACTGTTTCAGTCGTGAGGGCCGAGGTCCGACTAGAAGTGGTGGTGGTGGGAGTTTGCGTGGTCACAGCAGTCTATCACGAATATAAGAAATGATCAAATCGAGATGAGAACAAACATACCGTAGCAGTAGCAATGGATGTGGTGCTGCTTGTTGTAGGTGTGCTAGTGGTCGACGTGGTGCTACTGCTTGAGGTAGTAGAGGTCGTCGAGGTAGTGGAGGTCGTCAAAGTGCTTGACGTAGTCGACGTAGTGGAAGGGGTCGTCGAGGTCGAGGTGGAAGTGACAGTCGAGGTCGTCGAGGTCGAGGAGCTGGTCGTGGTGATATCCGAGGTCGTCGAAGTTGAAGATAACGATGTCGTCGTCTTCGCCGTTGCCGTCGCCGTCGTCTGTGTATCCGCTGTTGCTGTAGTAGTCTCAGCTACGCAGCAGATGATCATCAACACTACGATCAGATACACAAGAAACAACACACCAGTGGTTCCAGTCGTTGTAGATACGCTCCCGCCCATTGCCTGTCGCTTCAAGTGGATTTTCTGCCATTCGCGCCGTTGAAATTGATGATGGGACATGATATTAGGACGTCGGGAAAAGAGATATGATTTTTATGTATTGAAGGGAGCGTTGAAGTCTTGAAAGAAAGTGGTAGTACTCGGTCGTACCAGAACGTCGAGGGCTGGGAGCCGCGAGGTGGAGGGAAAAAGCGGAAGGGTGGAAAAAAAAAACAAAAACTGTGACATATGTGACAGTGTCACACAGGTCACGCAGTCTCACGCAGTCCTACGCAGTCACGAGGCATATCAAATCTTGTGAAACGTTTTCCCTGGGCCTGGTGTTATTTCAAGCTTCGTCGGCTGTGCGACTGGCGCGATAGCGCGAACACGTTAGTCCCCAAGTGAGCCGATAAACAAGTCTTATGTTGGGGGGAGGGATAAATGAAGTATTACCGGAAGAAAAATCGGTCCCTCCTGGTATTCTCACCACCAATACGGAAGCGAAATGGTGCTGATGGTACTCTTCAGTTTTTGATGACACGCAAGAACATGTCTTGTTAAGCAAACATACGTGTGGTATCCTGAGTCCTCTGACTACATCACACAAAATGCCCGAAATCACGGTATCATTGTGATGTAGAAGGGTTTTACTGCTGACACCGAAGATTCAAATACGATGCCGTTCTTCGGACTCGTCGGACTGACATCTTTAGCATGAACACACCCAGCTGCTAACCTTGGTATCAAAATATTATTTTTCTAGGAACTGGTATAACTTTCGATGAGCATATATTAGGCGCATGATGCAAGGATGAAGAAAAACCAACATCATAAATTCCCATAGCATAGCGTAATTGAACTGAAGTCGTGAAACATCGTGAGTAGGGGATCCAGGTACATTCATATGTCGCAGTTTACCGTAACATCATGATGAACCTAAGTGCGTCTGGATGCTAGGGTCATGAAGTCGGTGGAACCGGCGGGGAATTTGGAAAAGCGGCAACTAAATGAAGATTAAAATTCGGTACTAATCCTTTCGTAAAACAGACATTTATTAGCCGCTGCCAATCCACCCTGACGGTAAGTGAGCGACAAAGTGTCACCACATTGTATAGCTCACCATAGTCAGAGCGATCCGAAACGAGCGGGACCATATAGTAGGTGCCGACCGTTCGAATATGCCATGAAATTTGCAATCCATCAATTGCTCAACGAACTGTCAAATGCATTGCACCCAGGACCTAGACCATTCGCTCATCCCATGACTTCAACTAAGTACGTTCAGCTGCTAAAGATCTTCTAGAGCAGAAACTAGAGGTACGATTATTATTCTAGCTGACGGACTCTGAAAACATGAAGCTATGTACCTGATGTGAAATCAAAGTCGAGCAAACCATCCGGATGCTTGTCGAAGAAACTTAGTTCCTTCGTACAGTCTGAATTTGAATGCAACCGTTAAACGTCAGTTTTATAAGTACGAATTCTGAAGCTTGAAGAGCAAGTCAAAAAGGTCATAATTTCTGGGTTAAACAAAGAAGTCGTGAGATGATATTTCCAAACAAGTTGATGATGTCATTGAAACTGAGCGCAGTCCCTCTTCACTACTGGCAACTACCACCAACACATAGCAATGTCACTGGTGCGCGCTATGCTGTATATGATGCTTGAAAAACAACTTTCTCATCTAATACCTTTGTGACAGATTCACGCTCTCGTGGCGCAGGGCTCGACAATTCTTGCTGAACACAAAGTAGGGAAACGGGATTTCTCTCAAGGTGAACAAGGAAGGGCTCCTATTGCTGGCTGCATCTAACGTGTTGGATAGCAACACAAACCATACTGTCAAAGATACCGCCAAACAATAGGTCAGGCCTGACTGCCGTCCAGTCCTGCTATTCTGATTACGGACGCTTTCAGTAAACTCACCTACGTCTGGGAGCAATATCTCTTCCACTATGTCTCCGAGGGAGGATTCACGTATTTGGTCATGGCTGATGACTCTGCTGGAAGGTATAGCAATTGTCGACGTCTCCATATAACTGCAGCACTGAACCTAGCACTGGCAGGAGGATGCCTTTTGCATTCTTAGCTGAATTTCAACGAAAGGTGCGTCCATTATCTAACTTCTTTTCTTCCGAAGGTGTCAATTTATTTCTAGTTCACTTCGGCGCCCTCGTCGTCGTCTGCTGAAGATATGCCTGCCTACGGCTTACAGGGCACATTCGGACCCACCATATCATCACTCATGCACACCTATAACACTGCACCGCCCTCTGATGAACTTACCCGAGCACAAACAGAACTCAACCAGGTCAAGGACATCATGGTGCAAAACGTCGAGCAGATCTTGAGCAGAGGAGAACGAATTGAGCTTCTCGTTGATAAGACTGATGCTATGGCTGGTCAGGCGACTGCGTTTAGACGTGGGGCGAGGAATGTACGAAGACAAATGTGGTGGAAGAACAAGAAGGTACTAGGACTTGGTCTCTTGGCGGGGCTGGTACGTTCTCTTTACTTGACCAATAGTAGATGTACTGATGATATGCAGGTCTTGCTGTGGATTATATTGGCGCAGTTCTGTGGCGCCAGCTTGCGTTGCGCGCAAAAGGCAAGTACCTAGATCACGGCGACAATCTATCATCTCTTTTTTTATCGTCGGATTCAATATTCACCTGTATCATCTTTTGACTTATTGACTTGTTCAATTCTATGGAATGTCTATCATTCACTGGTACATTCTGTTCTGTGATGTCAGTCTACTTTGGATGCCGAGGACCAAGCTCTCCTTCAAGACTCAGCTCTCTGTTCTGATCTCAGGACATCATCGTAGCTTTCAAGGTCATCGGTCTAAGATGGCTGCCGTGTTGCAAGTCATGAAACGAGCGGTATGTACATACAACTTAGGCAGAACAGCATCCGGTTACTAACTTCAAGTAGCCGGAGAGTACTTGTCGGTGTCCAAACGTTTCTGTTGCCTTATTTTATCAAGCGTCGGCAGAAGACACTGCCTCAAGGTGCTGCGCTCACCTAGGCTCGGGCGGCCTCAACAAATGCTCCTCACACGAGACCCCACGTACAGGGCACAGAATGGCGCTCGATTTTTACGGAAGCCAGTGGCTGATAATTGATTCTCCGTCGCATGTTGAAGGGAGGTGAGTGCGGTATTTCCTCTGAGCATGTACATATTTGAGATGATGGCAAGATTCCTCTCAGTAGAGCTGGGATTTCCAAACGGAACGGAGATGCGATCTGGGCTAATCACAACGGCAGCGAGATGTCATGCGTACAGCGTGTTTCACGCTTTCATCAAACTGTCAAGGCTTTTACAAATATTGTGAGGATCCGCTAATCAAGTTAGGCACAGGTGGTTGGATTTTGCCCTTTTCCAGCAGTATGAGCCGACCGATACACCGCGACCAGGGTCGGGTATAGAGTGCGCCAGCTTTCCCCTCCCGTCGATTTTGCTTCTGTTGGTTGTTATGGTGGGTTGTGAGCGCTCAATTAAACCCTAGTCGGTACGGCGACCATACATAATAAAGCTCCTTTGTGTTTCGGTAAACAAATTCGAGCGGCTATCTATTCACGGCAACCTAGTTGCGCGACGCGAGTACCAACTCCTACCTGCTTCAGGTGCACGAGTTCGGCGGAGTATAAAAGGACGACTTTGTTCCCTATGATCCTCTCTTTGTACGCGTACATGAACACATGGGCTCCTGCCTTCTTTTCTCCCCGTCTGGGCCGTCGCTTCTTGTGCGTATTTCTTTACTCAAGAGAACATGTACTTCGGACAACCATTCTTGGTGCGCTACCCTCTTGAGCTAACACGCAACTCGGCATTGAAGGAACACTCCCCGATGCGACGTGACGACGAATGTACGCCCAGACCATTGTGGGTATAATACGGCTCGCTTCATCGCGCGCGCAGTTCCACAGGGCAAAGATCCCTGAGCGTCACCACCGCCTTACCGTTTAGCAGCGAGAATAAGACAGACATTGAAACGCCTGTTTCGTTGAAGTGCATACAAAGGCGCCAAGTACGCGATCACCTGGACGCAGGCTTCATCAGTTGAGGATTTTGAATCCCTGGCAGGCAAAAGTTTCCATCGAAGTATTCTCCGACTGGTTCCACTGATGTTTCGTTACATGCTAGCTGCGAGAGACTGATAGAAATCACTTCCCACACTCGGTACCTGTTGACCAGCATTCCGTGGTGACATGTTTTTTCTCATCTGTCTTTGGCTAAAACTTTATTTTCTACCTTGAAGACCAGGCACTTGAGGGTTTTTTATTCAAGTTGCGGCCCTGGTGGTGCAGTGATTGACAGTGAAGCTGATGTTTTACGCCACTTCAGATGCGCAGGACCCAGGGTGTTGCATGGGGTTGGAGCTGGGTGAGAAGTAAATTGACAAGGACATTCCGCATGAACTTGCCCTCGTTACGCCGAGCATAGTTGGACCCTTGGGTGAGTATCCAGTCCGTCGTTAATGTAAAAAGTCAGGATCTAATTCGTTTCTTTCCTTCCTTTTTTTATTTACAGACCATGAGCCGAGTATTCCGTAGACGGGACAGGGTGGGACTAGCGCAGGTCGTATGTAGTGCATCCGGGTGTGCCTCTGCGATAGCGTCTGCACCCGATACATATGAAGCCGAGCTTTTCATTTCGATCTTTTACGACATGTGGGATGCATGAACTCCATGTCGGAAAGGACTTGTGAGCAAGGAGCGTGCAGTGATCGACGCTAGAAGGAAAATATAGAACAGATTCTGTCATTGACAAGGCCGCATGTTTTTCTGGACTATAATGGAAGGGATGGGGGAATTTTCTAGTTGGGAGACCATTCCACGGTGGGTTAGGATCAAACTTGGCCGGAATATTTTTGGTCCCTGGTTGAACGTTGCATCCTCAACATAATTGTTTCTCAGAGTCAGTATACTTTTGAGAGCTAAGAGATAAGCGTATGAGTGCACGTTGAGGGAATATTCTGTCGAGGGCGGCCGACTAATGGAGTTCGTTAAGGTCCAGGCAGCTGACGAAGGGGACACGGTCGACATTGAGTTTATTGAACACAAAGCCTCGGAAACGAGATAGTTCGGATACGGTAGAGACAGAAAGTTTTGAGCCTAGAATTGTTCTGAAGGCAAGTAAGAGGTGCACAAGGCATCCCGGTATATTGTCGCACAGCCCAAACGCCGCGTCGTGAAGGGTGCTTAGGTTCGGAGATCCGGAGATCAAGGCAGCCGATGCCGATCACGCCATCCTCGAACGTATATTTACCCCTTTTGGAAAACGACCAGGACATCGGTTCCTCGAGCTTCCTTCCCCGCCTTTCACCCACCGCTGCCACGAATAATTGTCGACTTTACGGAATCGTGCTTCGAACTTGGCTCACTCTTCCGGTCGTTGCTACCCGACAGCTTTATATACCCTGGACAGCTACATTGTCACCGTAGGGGGCCGGCTCTTTTCAAGGTCCTCCTTTTTTGCTTTTCTTCCTCCATCTCTACTGCTCGTCTTGGTCCCACACAACTATAACATATCATGGCCACCACCGTTCTTTCATTAGACTCGTTCCCAGAGGAACTCGTTGAGCGTATCCTCTCCTACTGTGTCGTAGCGTCCCAAGCGCCTGCCGTGTCTTCCCCAGCGTGGGCCCCAGGACAACCACCCAGTGCCGCCGTACGACCAGTCTGTTCCCGTCTGGCCCCCCTGCTTGTCTGCAAGGCCTTCTATCGCATCTCTCTTCCACATTTCTACCATACCATTCATTTGACACGCCCTTCCCAGCCGGCACACCTTCTGAGCACCTTGCATCACTATCCCTGGCTCTCCCGTTATGTCCGCAGAGTTGTCATCACCGGTATATTTGATGGCGCCGACCAGGTCTTCCGACGGTGCAGGCATGTAAAGGCCCTCGATATCACCCTCGATCCTCGTTTCCCGGAACAGGCCTACTGCCCCGCAGTGGAGCGTCTCTGTGACTCGTTGGAGGCTCTTGACGCGGTCACGCACCTTACCATCCGCAAACCGGCACGTCTGTACCTTACCCATGCCGGTGTGAAGCGTCTCATCTTCCGTCTGGCCAGCGCCATCACCGGTTGGATAGATCTTGTCAGTTTATTTTCTGTCCAAAAGACCCCGTCCACTGACATGCTGCCTACCTACCCTATTCTGTAGCAATACGCTCACCTAGCTTTCCGTATCTCCGACGACTCGGTCAGTCCACCGGCAGCTCAACCCAGGGGACCCATATCCACTATCACGCATGCCCTATCCCTCGCGCCATCGTTGCACACCTTTTCTACCCAGCTTCCGAGTCTCTGGAATGAGGCCATCCTTTCTGTCAGTCAAAATCCCTGTCTTGAGCGCATCGTGCTAGGGGGTACCGACTACGAAGACGGGTGCGGCATCATAAGCGGCGGTGGGCTGTACATGATACAGACGCGTAAACATCCCAGACTGGCGGAACTGATCAGAAATGGAACGTATGTCGTTGTTTTCTCCTGGCTTGCCGGCATTAATCTAACCCTCCCTTTCCCTTTCAGACCCATAATCAGGTCGAGGGCGCACACGGTCACTTCCCAGCCCCTTACCGTGTTGTCATATACTGCTTCGCGCGACAAGAAAGATGACACACCAACGCCGCATATCGTCAGGCATCATAGTCTGAAGAGGCATGGGCGGCCGTTCTAGGCCGCTGTACATATTGTAGATTGTGGACTTGGTCTTGTACATTTCAGTGGACACTTGTGATTTTGAGTTACTGTACGAGGTGTTATAATTACCTGTTACACTCCTTGTGCGTTTCGGCCTAGCATACTTTTACTGTACATACGATATAATGTATTGAAACTTGATATCATGAAGATCTTTCGCCAAGAGTATCAGGAAACGATCCGTCATCTCGCAGCTTGATGATGATCAGTCCAACAATGATAGAAGCGGGGGGAAATAACTTGTGTCATAGCGGGAGAACGTACACCTGGGACCCCGGAGTACACCCTACGAACCCAAAAATTTAGGCATTTTGTCCGAATCCGTTCCTAAAGAAACCCATGTCGCATCTCTCGACGCGGCCCGCCCCCAGACAAAGGCGCGAAAGTCTCGAAATATACTCCAAAAGTGCAATATTTCTCCGAATTCATACTTGGGTTCAGCGACAGTGCCCAAAAGTCGGTAAGTTCGCCGAAATCTGTCCAAACTGGGACCCGGGGTCCTGAAAATCACTAGAGCTGTGTTGCTTGTGGCGATTCCAAGTACTCGTCGGGTGCCATATGGTTTCTTCGAAAACGCGTCCAACGGAGGTACGAAAAACGGTGTGGCGCTGCCCATTGCCCAGGTAGAAAGCCCCCCCCAGTAAGAAGAAGAAAATCTTGGCGCGTCGCACGCTTGACATATTGGAAGAAACATTGCGTTGGGCTTGCATCGAACCTCCAGCTGCTGGAATACATACGATCGGCGGGCAAGATCTCTATTTGCAATTTCCGAACACGTCGCCGCGGAAGCAAAGTTTCAACAAGTTGCTGGTAGTTATCGTGTGAGGTCTACGCGAGGCCGCATAAGAGTTAAAAACCCTAACGATAGGAGACGTCTGCGGAAGTGAACCGCGCTGTGTGCACGAGAGATAAGTAGCAGCCTCATGGTCCTCGCATGTCGAAGGGAGAAGAAAGTCTTCCTGTGACTTGCTTATCCTTGAGAACAAGTCCAGTCTCCCAGAGGCAGGGTGAATTATGTACGTCCGTCAGCTCCGGGTAACTTCTTTGAGAATCGTAGTTCCGAGATGTTGGAGGTGCAAGTAGGAGCAAGATCATTAAAAAGCTGAGCAAACTTTAATCGATCGAGGAGAGGTGCAATCGATCAGACCCGGCAGGAAAGTCGAGGTCCTATGCTCGGAGATTACAGTAGGCAAATGATAGTGGACCCGGGGAAAGGGAAAAGAGAGCAAATGAGTAGAATAAAGGCGCGAGCTCGGTGCCGGGGATGGAACTTGGATTTGGAGTTATAAAAAGTCACGCCACTGAATTCGAAGGCTTTCCTTGTCATTCAAAGACGGAGAGCGAGAGGTGGTAAAAGGATAGATATCAGCTTGATGACCAACCAGAGTCGTCATCACGATTCGGGTTGCACAGTACCCGAAATCAGAATTTATTCACATGGAAAAAGATTCCGTTTCCAAAATGAAGATTCATTTCTTCTGGTCGGCGGTTGGAAGAACGAGTTGGCGTCATCACTGCCCGCGGGGTATCATCGTTAGTGGAGCCTTTTCATTCATATACATCGGCTGTAATGTAATAACAGATTCACGAATGCCGAACCGACCGCCCAATCAGTAAGCCGCTTGCAAAGCAACAAAGGAACCAAGAATAAATAAGTCTTGTCGCCGAACCGACTCTACATGACTCGGTTCGTTCCTTGTGATTTCCTTTCTCTTCCCCCCCCCCAACCCCCTAAAATATCTTGGCTGGTAACAGGGTGAGGAAGAACAGCACAGGATCTAGCATCATGCTCGCCTTGGAGGAGAATGCTCTCGATCTCGTGGCAGAAGGGAGAGGGGGGGGCGAGTTGGGCAGGGGGTTTTTACCAAAAAGGCGGCATGCTTACGGCACAGCTTCTTAGATCTGTCTGTCCCAATTAGGAACGTATACTATTTCTCATAAGTACCTCGCATTAGGGTTGAGGGCAAAGAACTTTTTTTTCTCTTCCCACTTAATAATTCCTGGGGACAGCTCCGTCAACGGTAACAAGATGCTGACTCTCGCTCCTGGTTCGGTGTGCGACGTCTGCGCTGAGGAGTACGGTCCCCAATGTCTTCCCCACTCGATTCCCTGTGGTGAGTCATATTTTCCTTGGGGGGAGCCAGCAAAATTTCTGACGCAACTCTAGGTCATGTTCTGTGCGCGAGCTGCAGTACTACTATCGCAGAGAAGACTCCCTCACGGCTCAAGCCCGTTTGTCCCTTTTGTCGCGAAGAATTCACGGCCGATGACATTCGTTTAATACGTACGGATTTCAGCTCGAGTGAGCGGACTACCCCCCGACGCTTTCCTCCCCCAATAGAGGCCAGCAAGAGTGACTCGGCTACTGACTTGTGGGCCCGTAAGGCTGAGAGGTTTTTCCTTTCCGACGTGGGTTGCTCGAGATCTCGTGAGGAGGCTCGAAGACTCGAGGACAAAGTGGCCAAGGTCGCGAACAAAAAATGTTCCGTGGAGGAGGTCTCTACTCTCCACAACGAACTGGAGGAATGGTTGACGTCCGCCGTCAAGTCTGGAGATCAAGTATGTTATTCAGATTTGTTCTCTTTCTGTTCATCAATTGATTCTGCCATCCCAGACTTCGTCGCTGTACCTCAGTGCTGCTCTTCTGCGCGCCATTCTAATGAATCATGTAGCGCATTCTGAAGCTAGCAAGACTGCAAAGCACAATGAAAACAGCCTCAAAGTCAAGCTTGACGACATGGAGATCTCGATGGGTAAGCTAGAAGCTGAGCTCCGCCGGTAAGCGAAGTCCATCTTCGACTCGTGTATTCCATTCTGATGACGTTCATCCTTTGCCTTGTCACCCCCATTATAGACAAGTGAGTTATCTTCTTTTCTCTTTCCGGTCGTCAGTGCTGATAATGCTTCTAGCGCGAACAGTATTCTCAAAAATCGCATGAATGCGAGAAACTGCGGACGGAGCTCAGCCGCTTTAAAGGTGTATCACCGCTTTCCTCATCGTACACGGCGTCTCCGCCTCGTTTTCAAAGCTCGGCCTCCCCGACACCACCGGCGACACCTACGCCATCATCCACTACCACATACAGTCCTTCCGGGAATTCCCCTCTTTCACGCTACAACTCGCTTCACATGAGGTCTGCCTCCATGAGCGCCTCTTCACGACCTGTTACGCCGGCTCAGCCTGTACGATCTCACACGCCATCGCTACGATCCCAGACGCCCTCTATACGATCCCAGACGCCTTCGGTACGATCCCATACTCCGGCACCCCCGCTGCCGCCCCTCCCTCGCTCTGCGATATCCACCCCGGTCTCGCGGTCCCAGACCCCCGCACCACCCAAACCACCCAAACCCCGCCGCCTATCGCAGCCCTCACCCCCAAAAATGGTCCGCTCCCTCTCGGAAGAGAAGCAGGAGATTCACCAACGTTGGATCCCTCCAACGCAGGAGGACCTTGATGCGTATCCCGGTAACCTGCTCAAGTATTCTTCGACGCGACATACCTCGCGGTTAAGGGATATCCGCTCACCCTCTCCAGGGTAATTAATAGAATGAACGCATCTGCTTCTGGAAGGCCCAGACATTGCATTGCATTTCATAGGACTCTGTTTACGCTAATACTTGCTGTTAGTTGTTTCTTTCTTCTCGTTGCTTTCTTCCAATTTTTAGTAAATCTCTTTCTTGCTGTGTTCTTTTTTTTTTTTGCTTGTACCCGTCCTGGATTATACATACATATACCTCGTTGCTGGCCTTCGTTCGCTTCTGCACATAGTATTACCATCCGTTTTCACTAATAATCAAATGACTAGCCTTTATCTTTCTCTACAGTCATTTGTTTTTTCGTTTACTTTTTTTTTTACATAACTCTTATCGAGAGCAGCCGCCCTCGTTCATCTTCTTCGTTTTTTGGATGTCTTTTTCCTCTTCACTTTTTCGCAGAAGAAACGGTAGAGAACGGTCGGGGCGAAACCTTCGTGTAGCAATTATACATATCTCTTTTTTGCGTATTTTATACGATACATATCGATTTGAATGACTATTAATGTTTCTATTCATTGGCACTCCCACAGACTTGACTTGTGGCGCGGGAAGGAGATGGACATGTAATTCGGGAGGAAGCGATGTGGAAAATGCGCGGGAGAGCAGCTGAACTAGGGTCCAATAGATTTGGCAAAGAGGGGGATATTAAGGAGGAGTAATAGGAGTACGGCGGCTCCGAGAGCATTCAGAAAGTAGTCTTCAACCGAAGGCAAAACAGAGTATCCCGTTCGAATTCCTACTACTTGCAGCTGCTTATCTCCAGACACGAGGGTTTAGCGAGCTAGATAACACATATCTCTACATGAGGATATCGCCTGTAGTACATGTACATGTAAGAAGATTGAAAATTTCCGTCAACGGGATTAATGAAATGGACCCTATACGGTGTATAAGAGGCCCCGGACGTGGATGTCAAGTCCTGGAATTCGAACGCCACAGTCGTGTTAAGTCAGGATACATGTGTCGAAGGGTCATTAATGTGGCAGGAAGAGGCAAGTAGATGTTACCAAGTTCAAACGGAGCGCTCATTATTGGCTGGTGGTGACGTCAGAAAGGGTAGCAAGCATGTACGGATCTCTCATGATGGGTTGATACAGACAGGTATGGTACAAATTCTTATATGTAGTGATGCAGATATACGGCCGCAGGTTCATCCGGAGGTAGCATGGGCACCATCGTGCGGGGCCTACAGACCGTCAGATGGGGATGCTAACGGAGAAGGAGAAGAACAACGCACGCTGGAAGACGAAATGCCAAGCACCCGCGCGATGGCGCTGAATTCAGAAGATGTCGCTTTGACTTTGCCAGTGCAGACTGCTAGGCGTCAGTGAAGGAATGGAGATACAGATATGGCTACGGACTGTCGATAACGCGCTGCTCCGAGTCACCGATCTGTGAGGCGATAGCGGCGTAGGAGATGCCTGCGTTCGAGTGGTGAGGAATGGAAGTTGACGTGAGGTAGGGGAGTACGTACCCTTCTTGTCCTTTGCAGCAGCGAGAGCGGCACACTGGGGGTTGGGAGCCATGGTCTGTACTGGTGAGAGACTGAGAGCGATGATGGGGAGGATTTAAATAGCCTAGGTCGAGTGAATCTGATGGGTGAACGTGTGATTGCTTATCGATGGCCTGGGGGGGCGTGACCGGGTAGAGAACTCGGATCTAGAACTTGCGCAAGTTACCGGGATGGTGAGTGGACAGAGACGAGTACCAGCCAGCTGGGTTGAATTTGTTGTAAGAATGGATCATGAGAATCGATACGGGCCAGCGTTGTACCGCAGTTGCATGTCTGTTAAGAGGATCATCATCCAGGCCGTGGAAGGCAGTACGATTCCGATTTGAATTTGTAGGGCGTTATCGATGGCCAATGCCAGAAGAGGTATTAGGACTATATATACTGGAGCTTAAGTTTCTGGTAGTGACCAGGTACTAGGGCAAAACGGACGACTCCCTGTAGGTAGTAGCATATACATAGTATATTTGAACGTCCTGCGATAAACCAAAGGAGTCAACGCCCTTCGCCCTTTCAAGTATTGAAATATGAGTCTCGACCGTGGGGTTGTCGTAATATGATCATCAGGAGGAAAGAGTGGGAGACACGAAGCAAAGATAGAGGTGCAAGTGTAGCGAGCAACTTTCGAAAAACGTGTTTGTGCCAAAGACATTAGAAGCAAACACAATGGTGTCTTGCAGCTAATCCGCGAGGTAGAATACGTGAGTTTCCAACGTGTCTGTGCTGTTGACGGCATTAGCAGTTGAGTGACAGAAGTTCGCAGGAAAGTTTTTGTATGATTCAGACTCCTAGTTGGGCAAGATCTCGTTCGCCAATGACAGAAAGATGCAAAGTTGTCGTACGCATCCAGTCTTCTGATGGATCACGGCTACAGCTTTAGGTGTATGTGGCGAAACACGTACTTCAAACTCAGAAATTTGTGAGATCTTAGTGTGGCGTTGGGACAGCCTAAGAACCGGCACGCTATGACCGCAAGCACATTCGGATGCTTCAAAATCGCAATAGGAATCTAACCTCCACGCAACGAAAGAGGAAGATCCCCCGCCCCTGTACACCCGTCGATTGAAGGTAATCCTCGCACCAGAGGAGAATGAGGTGATTACGCGTGCCCAGTGTAGTCCAGAACTCGGAAGTCATCACCAGCGCGCCCAGAAGAGATGAAAGATTGTGCACACGATGGAATCAATAATGATGGTATTTAGTTTAAGGTCGGTCCCAGTTCGTGGCCTGGAAACTAAAAGAAAAACAGAGAGCAGCGGAACTGTAGCCTTCTGGTACCAGGGGAAGAGATCTTGAAAGGAAGGCCGGGAGTTCTTCCGGCGAGAGCAACAGGATTGAAGACGAATGGCGCCCGTTTATATTTATCAGAGGTCTATGAACGGGGTTCTGCATTTTGGTGAGTAATTATGATGCGCCATTACTTTGCCAGAGTCCTAGCCGCCCAGTGTAAGTATAGTGGGTGTGGGAAGGAGGCATCTCGATCCATATTTAGCTGTTGAGCTTTGTTTGGCATTGCCATTATCAACGCGCCGAAAACATTAATCGCTGCTCGTCTCTCAAGCCATTATCAAGTCCTTCCACTCGTCCATATTAGAAAATGGTATGTCCGTTTTTGTCTCATGAGGCCAGACAAAGTATACCTGCATATCTGTTCAATTTTGTGGCATTTTAAAGCCCAGAAAACGATGGATGGCGCCAAACGAGTTTGGATGACGCTGATGACCTTTGATATTTCTAGCCTCCGAAGAAAGCCAAGGCACCCAAGGAAGAAACTACCGTCTCGCTGGGACCTCAGGTCGCTGAGGGCGAGCTTGTTTTCGGTGTTGCACACATCTTCGCCTCTTTTAATGATACCTTCGTCCATGTTACGGATCTGTCGGGGAAAGAAACCATTTCTCGTGTCACCGGTGCGTCTTGCAGCATTATGTTGTTGTTCCGATGATTGAAGGCGATATAGGTGGCATGAAGGTCAAGGCTGACCGTGACGAGTCTTCCCCATACGCAGCCATGTTGGCAGCCCAAGATGTTGCTGCACGATGTCGTGAGGTCGGATTCACTGCTCTTCACATCAAGCTCCGTGCGACTGGTGGAACTGGCACCAAGACTCCTGGTCCTGGTGCACAGAGCGCTCTTCGTGCCTTGGCTCGTGCCGGAATGAAGATTGGACGTATTGAGGATGTCACTCCCGTGCCCACTGACTCCACCAGGCGCAAGGTTTGTAACAATGGTTATTGCTTTTCTTCATTTGTTACTAACTAGGACTCAATTAGGGTGGTCGCCGTGGTCGTCGTCTCTGATTGCCCTCTCGCTTTCGTCGGGTACTACACCTATCAAAATGAGCTGTTATGATTGTATGTAGATGCTCAATTCATATGTCGCTGTTCGACGCGCATCAGGTTGTTTTTGACCTGCCCCGCGGTCGTCACTCCACATGTTATGATATTTATCGAAAACATGAAAAAAGGGACAATGAAACTTTGTAAATTGCAACTTCTAACCGTATCTGTGGATGTACATTTGGAAGATGGGGCTCCGAATCTAAATCTGGCCTTTTAAGTTTTTCGTTCGCCCAATATGAAATTGGTTGGCTTTGGCTGTCCTCGACTGTAATATGTATGTCAAGTATTCAGCCCTATCAGCAGCTGGGTGGTGGTGACGTATTCATATGACTGGGTCTCAGTTTACTTGAACATCGACAACCATGACTTTGAAGCTCGTGTATCGCATCCTTCGAAAATTGTCGGACTGGATAGTTGATGGATTCTACTCTGAAGTATATGTCGAAGGCGCAGAGAACGTATCCAAGGACGGACCACTCATCATGTGCGTGAACCTCCATGTATGCGCTTTTTCGCTGAGAAGCGCCTCGCAGTGCCGCGACGCATCACAACGAAATCATCGATGTTGCTGCCCTCGGTCCGTTACAAAAGCTTTCGCCTTAATGTCTTTACTGAACATGCCATTACAGCTGTAACGATACCCTACCGACGACACGTCTGTTTTTGGGCGAAATCCACGATTTTTTCCAACCCCGTCTTTGGATCTATCCTCGCCTCGTCAGGCGCGATACCAGTTACTCGGAACCCGAACCGTGACGACGGGTCCTCCAAGGCTGTGTTATTCCAGTCAACCACCGCAGCGATAGCGAAGGGTGAGGTGGTTGGTGTGTTTTCGGAAGGAGCGAGTTATACGGAACCTACGATTGTGCAGATCATGAGTGGTACAGCATGGGCAGCGGTGGAATATACGAGGTGGTGCAGAGAACACGCAAAGGATAGGCCCGACCTGGTCATTGTCCCCGTCGGGCTGGTGTACACGGAGAAGGCGACATTCAAAAGTAGGGTGAGTCGCGAAATGCTTTCTGTTGACTGGTCACTCATTTCGAATCTTAGATGCGAGTTCAGTGCGTTACTTTCCCGAAGTTTGACGCGTATACTGATACGCGATACACAGTTATGGCTCTCCCATCTCTATGGCAGATTACTCTCACGAACTGTTCGATATACCGCCTGGTGCGGACCCTAAGGACGTCGGCTATGCAGTCGTACACAAGATATCCAGTCGAATAGAGAAAGAGCTTTTTGATATAACTATTAATGCTAGTGATTGGTGAGAATTTCGATTCATTCTACCACTCGCGCCCTCATGAGGAATGCTAGGGAGACATTGTTCGCAGCGCAGACGGCTCGTGCGATTCTTTGGGGAGACGATGAAAATGTCGATCTAAAGAATTGGACAGTAGTTTCACAGATGTAAGCCGTCCTATGTCTGAGCGAGGATCTCGCCTGAGCATTATACAGGCTCGTAGACTTTCTGTCTTGTCATCCTACCGCAGAACCACCCCCAGAACCCATACGACTTGCCAAGGTCTCTCTCGTCCAGTATTTCTCACTCTTGCATTACACTGGTCTCACCCATGCTACCCTCGAAAATGTCATTTCTTCTACCTCGTATATACCGTCGCTTCTCCCATCTCTGAAAACTGTACTCCTCTTTCCGATAGCAATACCAGCCATACTACTTCATGTCCCAGCATGCATTATGGCCGAGCTTTCCCTCAAACTGTTCGCCAATGTAGATGAATGTGAAGGGTTCGCCCAGTATCGTTCCGTAGGCGGTGGTATTGGTGTGGGTATTGGTGTCACTGCGGTGTATCGATGGGCGAGTCACTTTCTGAGGGATAGAGATTTTGGGGTGCCTGCTTTTGAATGGACGAAGCACGTTGTCACGCGTAGAGCAAAGGTCGGGAAAGTTCTATCTTTCCTTGCGTTTAGTTGGGTGATGATTAAGTGGTATGGGCTATTTTCCGGAGGTAATGTTCATCTCTATGTCATTGACAACGTCATCTCAAGCTTGCGTTTTCTTTGTAGGTGTCCATCGAAGGTACGATATCTCTTTTTTTTATACGTATATTGTTATTAACTTGAAGCCAGAGTAAAGACCCTCCTGGCGACGGTGCGGGTTGTCCTAGGCATTCTTCTCCCTCCCTTCTCGTCTCTGAAGACCGATATGTACAAGAAGCTCCCACCGCCTCCGCCATCCAATGCATTCATCCGCAAGAGGAAAGATGCGGGTGGCATATCTGCTCAGTTTTGGGACAAAAAGGAGAAAGAGGCTGATCAAAGTCAACTTCCTCCCGTTGCTCCCAGGAAGTTGATCAGAATATTGTTGGAGCAGAGGAAGGAGACGATGGGACAATTAAGGAGGGCATTCACCGAGTCGGAAAGTATTGCGGGCTATGGTGAAAAGGTTGCCCGACTAAGAGAGATGGGCGCAAAGATTAATTAAGCAGTTCGGTTCGTCCCTCTCCAGTATAATGTTGAACCAAACCGAAGCTTGATTACGAGCTGATGTGAGCTGCCTTTGAAGGTGCCTAAAGCAGTTTGTTGCGCGGGGACCGTGGATGTGTGACTGACAAACAATGGCGAGGTAAATTGCGATCAGGGCTTCCTTGGTCAGAGGGTTCCAGGGTGGGAAATTTGATTCTCGGACGGCACTAGCCTTAGGTTTGCTAGCATGTTGCTATCAAGCTGGATGTGGGCGTGACTCCGCGCCGGAGGATGGTGTATTGACAGAGGATCCGTGTCTCTCGGAGCAGATTTCTGATATCTAGTGTATGTGCGTTTCCTGCTTTTAATGACGGAAACCCTATCACTTCGTATAGGCTAACTATTCTTGTCACCGAGCTATGGCGATTGAATGATGGTTTTCCTGGTCACTAATCGGTGTGCCTGTACAAGCGACGGAATTGTACGGGTGCTCTATCCGACTGCTCGTCATCGGCTTCAGATTGCTTCATCAGGTAAATACACGAGATCAGATTCATGAAATCCCTCAAAATCACTGGCATTGATATCATCACACAGATAGGTATAGAAACGCTTGATATACTTCTCATGAAGCGAGGAATCTAATGGCGAAACGTAATCCGAATTTTGGTGGTGTCAATCCCAAGTAATGAACGACATTGCTTCTGATAACGGCTCTGCTTTCAGCATCTTTGAAATTGACAATGGGTGCGAAACTTACTGGAGAACCTTACAATAATTACTTGCATCCTGATATATCCCGCAGAATCTTTATTTACCGAAATCGAATGGTCAGCATTAGGATGGTCAAGGAAGCAAGAACCTAATTACAGAAGGGAGAGGGTAATGTCGCCGTTGACCTTGGCTTGGATGGCGATTTCCACCTCCAGATTGAGGTCCAAACGGAGTTTCAGAGCTTCCTTGGGTGCGATGGCGCCTTTGTTGGAGCGTCCGATGAGTTGCCCACCAGCGACGGAGGAGGTTTCGGCGGAGGCGAATCTGGTAGCGGTTTCTGGGGCAGACATGTTGCTGCTGAAACTGAAGATAGGTGGATCCTCTTATATGAGACTCGACGTCCCTACTGGGGTATGTTCAACGTCATTTTTGGTGCGTGATGCTACCCATAACGTGGATGTCTCGTTGTCGCGACTTCTATGAGACAAAAGCTCGTGCAGTGAAAGAAGGCGCTAAGCACGTAACGATTTCTACGCTGGCGCTATTTCGTAACCCAGTGCGAAGACTGTCGTATGGTGTCTGTCGGCTGGAAATGATATGAGGCGTGGCGTGCAATTTGATGAAGTACTTCACATCCTCTCAGCGCCTTACATTGCTTGTGTAGATCTTGTAGGTCCACTGGACACGATTCAACTATTGCATTTTGCAACCCACTACATGGTCGCTGAGAAACACTCGCATTTCCGCATTACAGTTAAATCATTGATGAGCGCCAGACTTTACGGCATCTGTCGGTGAGGCTTTGATTCTAGAGGCGGCACATCTGAACATCCAACCCCAGATTCAAGACCCAGGGGAATGCGAGATACGAGATTAACGGTCTCGTAAGTGGCCAGCCTTGCCTTCGAAGCTCACCTTGGAAACTCACACTTCCTAAGGGAAGACTTGTCTGTCCGAATGTCGTTAACGCCGCCACGTCCTCTTCGAATCGTTCGTCGGTCCCAGAATTGTGAACGCCGTACGAAATCCATGTACGCAACTACTCTGAAATGGAGAGATGAAGCTCTCGGATACTGTCTCCAGTGAGTGCAGACGTAGACTGTGAGTCTCCATTATTCGAAGGAGTTTTCTGAGTACAAGGTACGCGTTCTTAGGTACTGGGTAGTGCGTGTCTTGACGAAAGATGAACTTTCTTCAAAAAAATTTCGAAACGTGAACCCCAAAGTAGCCCTTCTTTTTCTTTAAGAGTGTTTGAACTTAGGCCTGCAAACATAGCCACGAGTAGCAAGTGATGGCCAGATTGCTTGTGGATGTGTTTGAACGAGAACATTCTCAATCTGGAGCAGCTGGTTCGGGCACTGCGGCGTCGCAACATCCAAGGCGGTTCAAGTTAAGACATGAGATGAGGCTTGCAATACACAACTTAGATTCGGGTGAATAAGTACCACGTAGTATCAACTTCTCAGAAGTTGGTATACTCAAAGTTGTAGTTATTGGCCACGGTAAATGCCAGATGTCGATTAGCATGATCGAACAAATGTGCCGCGGGTGCGGGTGCTCCCTGCACTCGCACGTATGCACAATACCTTCGTTCCAAAAATGACGCCCTTCGCCTCATTGTCCCGGGAGGGTATGACGAGAGTGAAGAACGATGGACTGGGTACGGCGATCGTCTGTGGCTGTGGAGGGCAGTCGGCGAAAGCCTCGGCAACGTTATTTAACCCAGTGTGGCGACTCGAGTTCGAGCTTGAGATGGTCTGTGTGGTTACGGTGGTGCGGAACAACGTCGATTCTCCAATTCAATATCCTACGGGCCGCCGAGCTCACCCTATCGCATATAGTCCCACCTCTTTTATACTCGTATCTGGTGCCCGAGTGCCAGAATGGCAATGATAATCAAGCTTCACTTTTCCGGAATCCAAAAGCCACCGATCCAGTATTGACAAAAAATTCATAACAACTTTGTAATACTGATCCGAATCACACTACAAGCATCATGATACCAACTCTCTCTTTGTATGATAGAGAAGTGTTTACTTCTATGCGTCGAAAGGGGGGTTCGATCCCGTGTACCGCCTGTAAGGAGGGCTTGCATGTACCAGAACTAGCTTTTGGTTTCCCAAAAATACCCTGTTGGATACGGAACGCCTATGGTCCACTGCCGACTTGTCACCCTCAAGTCAATATTGTTGAGTACTATACTGAATATCACTCAAGCCCTCAATAAAAGTCTTCACTTGGCCAGCGTTGAATGCTTCGCTTTGACTTGGCCTCATTTTACACACTGTGTGACAGTATTGTTGTTTACATTCAGTGATAAACCGATCTTAGGGACTCTTGAACGACAGTCAAGTATGAGACTGCACTGTGCACTGCGTGCAGTACGACTCCATATTCCTTGCGCATAGATGACTATACGTACGCTCAGGTTTCAGTGTATGTATATGAATCCCAAAAGCCCTAATATTCCGTATGTACTAGGAAATGTAAATGCTCATCGACGTAGGATGGAACTAAGGTACAAGAGATGTATTTGCTCTAACACCATAACAGATCTCAGCATTATTAAACACAAACCGACCCGGAGCAGCGAATCTTACCTCAACCCAATGACCAGGTTCCAACATCATCACGAAGATGTGAGCATATTTACTCACTGACGAGAGGTAAGTCAACCTGTATTTATCCAAAAAGGCGGGGTAGCGCTTACTCACAGAAGGGAGAGAGTGATGTCGCCGTTGACCTTGGCTTGGATGGCAATCTCCACCTCGAGGTTGAGGTCCAAACGGAGCTTCAGAGCTTCCTTGGGTGCGACGGCGCCCTTGTTGGAGCGTCCGACGAGTTGTCCACCAACGACGGAGGAGGTTTCAGCAGAGGAGAATTTGGTAGCGGTTTCTGGGGCAGACATGTTGATGCTGTGGATGCTGGTTCAAATGCTGGGTCTTTTATATGATTCGAGAGAGCGTACGGCCAACCTTATCCACGTTCTCCGTTCGCCGGATGTATGCGCGTAACAATTGTATAGAATCCTCTGTCGGTCTCGAAGGCGAAGAAGCTTTCTGCACGCCCTACTTATTTCATAATAAACATGTAGGATCTAGCCTGGTCTGCATGAACGACTTCAACAATTTTATGTCCTTCTTGATAGTATGGGAGGAGGTGTGGTGCGCTAACGCGTCCGGCGACTGTATGCTTTGGGTTTCCGGCATGCCATGACAGTAGGTGCTTGTGGGTCCCACCTTCCGGACCGACATTTTCCACCGTGGGACAACAGTCATCGAAATTTCTACCACCACTCTCATTTGCAGCCGTTTCCTCTCTCTCCATCAGTGGCTGAGACGTGCTACCTCGATTGCTCACGCTGTCAATGAGCGCCACTGACCCATCCTTCTTGAATTCAGCAACCACCTTGACTACCAGTAAAAATTTTAGGAAGATGTCAAACCTGAGCCCTGGAGTCTGGAAACGGTAGCACTTCTTGCAGGATCTGAAGATTATAACGTTACGACTTGTCGAAAATCGTTAGTGTCTGGACTCTAGGGACGGCTTCGCCTCGAGCATGAGGCTTGTCCACCATTTTATTCAACTCCGCCATTGCCACGATGTTGAACAAGGACCAAGTACGATATTCTTTCGTGATGACCGAGAGGCTGATGGACTGCAATGGTGAAATCTGGTACGTCGGCTTTCTTTCTTCTCGTGATACGTCATTCACAACTATCGTAGACTGCAATGCCTCCTGCTTTTACTTCGCAACCAACTCGGACCTCGGACTCGGAGGGCATGCAACGGTCCCCGCGCAACGTTATCCAAGTTCACGCCAACTGCCAGTGACTATTGATGGGGCACACATCCATGTCATATCGCTGACACTTGCCGCTCACCGTGCTGAGCAGCTGGTCTCTTGATCTCTGCCACCCTCTCGACCGTAAAATGTCTTTATAGATTTAAAAAGTTACTACCTATCAATTCTTGAATTGTCAAAACGCTGGATGCTTGGCCCAGGAGAGGTAATATGCTCTGCCACTCTGATGTATACCTTCGCTTCTTTGTGGGGGCGACGTATGGACCGACTCCTGAAGGCCTGAAGGATTAGCAGGAACCTCCATTCATGTCTACAATTCTCCGCGGTTGGGGTCATATCCATTTGAGGCAGTTCGGGGGAGGGGCGGTTGCACGAAAGTGGTGCATTGCTACGTTCACTCGTCTCACTCAGCAAAGTAATAATCCATTGGCTCATTCAAGAGTTACCAGCTGAAAAACCTCTTCAAACATCTGCCGCCTGTTCAAATCGACACAAGTTCTTTTCGGTGGCACTCATTCCTAATGGCATTATATAACCTTGGCCCTTCTTGCACTGTCTTTTGTCTTTTCATTGTCCATATTTTCTTTGGCTTGATATCATTATGCAGATGGTTGATTGTACCACGAATCCAGTAATGCAAACGATAACTTGTCTTGTCGCAAGTCAATTAATTATATTCATCAAAAGTGCCACTAATCAGTTCTAACAATGAAAGTGTAGAATGGTCCGCAAAGTCGCTAAATCCTTTTAATAAGCTCTGAGTATATATAAATTAGATAGAAACGTAATATTCATAACTTTCTCCTCTCTCTTGCGCTGATCACTCATTTTTTTTTCTTTCCAGCCTCCCTCCTTTTGTGACCTACCATGGCCGGGCAGACTCGAGCCTGCATTAAACGTCTGCCCAATGAGACGTTGAATTCCAGGCGCCGCTCAACGCGACTTCTTCCGCACGTCCCTTTCAAATTTTATGAGACGCCCACGCGCAAACAAAAGTCAAAAAAGCGGAAGGCCAAAAAGCTTTTCAAGTCTATCCGGGTGGAGGAGGTTGAAAATGACGATGACTATTCTCCGGACGCGCCTTCCTCCACAATGAACATATTCTCTGCCGGTGTGCCTTCGGCTACGTCTCCAGGACCTGTACCGGCCGGCGAGCGAGCAACCATCCCTACGGGCATGCTCAAGAATGTCACCATTCGAAAGAACATCCATCCCGGCGCGCCCACAACGGCCACCCACTCTGATGATTCGTTTACCCGAGTCCTCCAGAACAACTTAGCAGCGGCCAAGGCGATGGAACAGGAGGCCGAATTATTTGAGGAGGCCCACCGGGGTCTGGATCCGTTCAACCGACGTCTGAGCAGGAACAGGATGGCCCAGAAAACCGACAAGGGGAAGATGAAGAACTCGCGCATTTCGATGGAGCCCAAGACGCAGAAGTACCGTAAGCGTGTCAGGGCGCGCAGCCAGTCGGTGATAGCGATGCAGTTGGGTATGGGCCTTCACTTGCCGCGTACGCCCGTCGGTAGTCGCCAGAACACGCCGACCCCATCGGATATATCGACGAGGGAGAATACGCCCGTACCCGGTCCGTCAATGCATCCTGGGGCACTAGATTTGCCGCTCGTTCCTACGCGCCAAAACACGCCCCAAGTCGAGGCTGGCCCGTCAGTGTTTCCCGGGTCGTTGAATAGGAACTTGAACCAGATCGAGGAGGAATCGATGGATATGGATATCGAGTTTGACCCATCCAAGTAACTCTGCGGGCGGGATGTGATAATTTGTGGCATGGGACAATTTTTAGTATGGTCCTATGTAGGCAGGTCCTGCTCTTCGTGGACGTCGCCTTTCCTTTCCATATTATTTCTTTTATTACTCTCATTTGCTAAGCATTTATGTATCGCAAAGTTCGCATCTTTGTATCGCTATATAGATTCCCAATCTTATGATACTATCAGTCGAAGTGTCTGTAATCGTTGTTGGACGCTCCGCTGTCCTCTCGGGTTAGCAGATTATTTTTCTTGACAGTGGTTGCCTGTCAAGATGGGAACTAGGAATAGCGCCAAACCTTGATTGATCGTTAGCGCACAAAAGAACTACCAAGTTGAAGGTGTAGGCTTATCGAAATATCCATCTGGAGCTACGACTAGAGGCTTGTGCAACCCCCTTCTTTCAGTCCCTTGCGAAATAAATCCGCGTTCGAAGGAAATGTCCTTCTTGCTGTCGCTTCTTCATTCGGTTTGGTTGACATTGAGTAGATGTAAGGGAAAAACCTAACGTCTTCACTCTTAGAACTACTATTGATTTCAAGCCGCTCGAATAGCCTCTTCCATTCCAAGGATAACGCGATATTGAAGCGCATCCAATAGCTTCTGAGAATATTCTTACAGTTCTGATAGACGTTCTCATTCAATGCAGCCTAAGTTGATACTGTAACCCTCAAAGTAGATGTCTAACTTTCTGGGGTACCTTCAGCATAGAATGTATGGATGGTCGCCGCCATATATTGATCGAGTCTGCAATTGAGTACTAAATGCGCCGTGAAAATGGTAGTCAGACAAAGGAGAGAGTCCTGGAATGGAGCTCGGCTCGTATCTATGGTCCCATAATTCGCTCGACCTCTAACAACACTCTCGCCCTCGCTGCAGAGCCTTCCGGAGTACTACCCCCAATCTTCTTGCCATCGCCCATCCCCGTAATAGTGCCCTCACGGATAAGCGCCAACACTTTCACAAACTGTTGGCCCCACATATCCTTCGCATTGGACCCGAGAACAGACAGGCCGGCTACAGTACACCAACATGGTTAGTCACTAATCAAAGTGGAAGCACCAAGATACATACTAGCCAAAAGCTCTGCTCCAATTGCCCGTTCTAGCATGGCCCATCCTCCTCCATCCGAGCCAAGCAGCCTAGCAATCCACACCCAAAACATTGGCGTCCGCCACATCGACCCATTCAACGGGCCCTTTTGTGGTTGAATCGCCAGTATACCAAGGTATACTCTCATAACCCCGGTTAACCGCAAGATATACATCTCCTCAGTCTCCCACACCAGATCGCCGTCGTTAGCTGTCAACTGCCGATATCCCATCGCTTTCTTCTTCTCGACCGCGTCACTCCACGGTTTCTCATCCCAATCTTTGTCGCCGATGAGAGTAGGCACAGCCCAGCCCCCAGTTCGAGCCACAATCCGCGCCCAGAAGACCTGGCCGAAGCCGTCCAGGGTCTCAAGGAGGTTGAATGCGACTTTGGATAGTGGATAAGCGGATTTCTTCTCTGCCGTGACTTCGGTTTCGGCCTGAAGAATGATGGCCTTGGCAAGTGTGGATAAAAGTGCAGCATAAATGGCTGGATGATGTCCTTGTGGAGGTAACAAAATTTGGACGAGCTGTGTTGACTATGACATCTCCTTAGCAAATTTAGGGCACGGGAACATATGCTGAAACCTACAATGCGGCTAATAGTAGCTTCATCATGCGTTAATTGTCCCATCTTGGGGGTAATTTGACGACGAAAGGTACCCCAACTCAATTTCATCTCCGCTGAGTTCCCGTGCTTGTTCTTAACAATAGAAAGAACCTCAGTCTTGAGCGCCTAACAAGAAATCAGTCAGCTGGAAAGCGAACATCAGATGAGTTCTCACCTGTAGAGTCTTCCTAGCCTCACGCCAATCGTGGTCTGCAGTACTCATGCCCAATTGTTCTCTCGTTCCTTTCTCAGCCTCGAGTTTCTCTTGTCTAACCTTCTTCTCAGCCTCTACTCTTTCCATTTCCTCCCTCTCTCTTCGCTCCTCCTCCTCCTTTTTCCTCTTCTCCTCCTCCTCCTCTTGCTTCTTCTTCTCCTCTTCCGCACGTTTCTTCTCCTCCTCCAGCCGCCGTTTCAGTTCGGCTTCTTTGATCTTTCTCTGTTCCTCATCACGAATACGCTGCTCCTCCTCCATCTTCTTTTTGAATTTGTCAACATCTAGCGCAATTGCTGCATCTATTCGTTTCCATAATATATCCTGTCGTTCTTTCCACTGTTGACGCATTGCAGCTTCGTCTTGTTGATGTCTGGACCTCCATTCGGACAGTTCCGCGTCAACGGCACGCTGCTCCTCCGCGCGTTTCTCTTGAAGCAGGCCCAATTCTCGTCGTCTGATATTGTCCTGAGCATCATGAAGAAGTGACTGGGAGGTGGCGTGATTCTTCCGGGCTGTTCGCTATCATAGGTTCAGCCAAGTCTTTTAATAGCAGTGCTCAATACACACGAAAGATTCCCCCCGAATATTTCTTTCCCAGTCTTCATAAGGGTCATTATATCTAGCTCGTAATCGTATAGATGCCAGGGCTTCCTCCATATGTCGCTGTTCTGATTCCGACAAGGTCTTGGATGGTGACTTCGGACTGACATGAGTGGATATTGAAGATGATCTATACCAACTCCTTCAAAGAAGTCATCGCAAAGGACAAGACAACAAAACTCACTTAAGGGGGCGGGCACGAGGTTGGCATTTCTTCTTACTCTTGCGGCGCCATTGGGGAGATTGATCATTGTCAGATGAGGAGGAAGGGTCAGAATCTTCTTCAGAACTTGATATCGATGATGATCCATCACTGTCGTCGTCCTCGTAGACGTCGTCCACAACATGATGCAGTCCAAAGGTAGAAGACGTCCTTGTCCTGTGTCTGAGCAATGATGCGGCACATACAAGATTAACAATGACACACCTTTCCCTCATCGGGGAGGGCGAAAGGGAGCGAGGGACCCCAAATCTCATGACGCGCTTCGAAGTGCCTCAATATTTCGCTAATGAGCCTCTCTAGCCACTTTCTAGGTGAAAGGCGATACCAAAGAAATGGAGAAAGTATATCGTAGGTCGAGGAGGTATAGTGGCCAGGCAATTCTCTGCCAATTCAAACTCCGCCCTGATCCTTGAGGCCAAAATCATGAGGGACCGTCGTGACAGAGATAAACTGCCAAACGGGCCACATTCATGCTTAACTTCAGCTGAGACTAGGCCATTAAAATGTATTTTATTTGTAGTTAACAAAGAATCTTTCAATTTTCTGGCTGTTTCCTATGAGATTCCCTTGGTATCTCGAACTGGCACACGCTAAATCTCACTTTCTCCGTTAACTACAAATAAAATATCTCAAAAGGGCGATCCTGCTTAAATAAGTCGCCACTCGGAGATTGGCATTTCTGCAAGGTATACATAACATTGAATGTGCCCAGGTATGTGCTAGAAATCAATAGTATTAGAGACAGCAATATGATTCCTGTGCTGGATGAAGACCACCAGTACAATGATAGATATGGAGGGAATCGTCCCATGATTGGCAAAGAATGGTCTGTAGCTGACATTAACGGGCGACCTCCAGCTGAATGGCCAGTAATTGAATGGTAGGTAGTTGGAGTGGCCAGGCGATATTGGACAAGGGCTGAATACTCGTGTGAAAGGCCTCGGTCACGTTTCTGTCACACAGTGACCCAGAAATACGTTCCGGTTCTGCCGGGACCAATTTGGAATGCGTGTGTCACGTCACACCTCTGACGCGTACCCCCCCCAATTTACAGAACTTCCAACTTACCACCAACTGCTCTTGCCATGGAGAACTTATTCGCTATCACTGGGAAAGGATATGTTATCGTTGCCGCAGACACGACATCTGCACGCTCCATCGTCAAAATGAAGGTTGACGAAGACAAAATCAAAGTCCTCAGTCCTCATTTACTCATGGCGTATTCTGGTGAACCAGGTCTGTACTCATTCATTTACTGGTGGACGTCTTCTTATCTTTATACTGTATAGGTGACACCATTCAATTCTCTGAATATGTCGAGCGCAACATTCGTCTTTTCCAAATACGCAATACGTACCCTCTAGGCCCCTCAGCGGCCGCGTCATGGATCCGGAGATCTCTAGCAGAGTCTCTACGCTCGCGAAAACCTTATGCCGTCAACCTGCTACTTGGAGGTTATGATACAAACAAGCATGAACCTCATCTGTTTTGGGTGGATTATCTTGGAACAATGACGGAGGTGCCGTTTGCCGCGCATGGCTACGGAAGCTATTTTGTTTTGAGTTTACTGGATCGGTGGGGTCGTCGTCGTTGTGTTCCGAACCATTCCACTCATTTGGATTCTACTTGTAGGTACCATAATCCTGAAGCGTCGCTGGAAGAAGGTCTCGCAACCCTCAAACGATGCATCGCCGAAGTGACGAAACGTGTAGTTGTCAGTCCTGGGCAATACAAAGTCAAAGTCGTAGACAAGGACGGCGCGAGAGAGATAGAAATTTGAATAAGAGACCGTTGCTGTTACGGGGCGGACAGGCTGTTACTGCTGTAAGAGTGTATTAATCACGCAATGGGACTGCATCCTTCTTACTGAATGCTCACATGGCCTCATTTTCCGCCAGAACATGTTGTTAGTGACAAGCGCCGATTTTCGTACATACTTAAATGTTCCACAGGTACGGCGATGGAAAACATGTTTCTGTTCGCATGTTTTCCTCTTAGCGGCGCTCTCACACCAATGCTACGGTTAACTCTTGACAACATGTTTCTCACCTTGTGACTAATATTGCACAGGGTCTGCTTGATATTTATCGCCTGAAATGCGGGGCAAACCTGGCGAATATCAACTGCCGCTGGGTTTGAACATGACGTGACATTCAACATCGAATGCTGAAATCATGGATATCAATAATCATTCAAGTTGAAACCCGAAAATCCCTCGAGACTTCCTGATGCCACGCGCTCTTCCTAAATTTCAACTCCGAACCGTAAGCCTAACTGATTGCAAGACCATCTCTCCTTACCCGCCAAGGACGCACTGTACAGTATACCCGTCCTCATTTTTAACTATTTGTAAAGTGATCGTTGGTTTGGCGGCAAGAAATCTGTTGCCCTCTATGGTTAATATCCGCCTGATGAGTCCACTCCTTTTATCTTTCCATCCCAATTTCCGACCGCCCAGCATAACCATCACTGCAGATGAGTAAAGTACCTCACTGGTGTGTATCTCTGTGAAGCCACAGAATGGTCTTGGCTCGGCTTTGTCGGAGCCATGGCATTAGTGCCGCAACCGCCATCAAGACAATGGCCGACATGCGATTGTTGAACGTTCAACGATCACCAAGGCTTTGTTGTTTTGTCCATGGACGATGGGGCGCTTGAATGCGATGCTCTATGCCTATAAAAGATGGCATTTGGTTTTGACAATGATAGCACCTTTGTTCTTTCCTTGAAGACTCCCACCCACAGAGCCTAGTGTCCTCTTCCCAATTCTGCCCTCGATCTTTTACTCTTCTGGTGCAATCCTACCAATGGTCAACTACACTATCCTTGCTGGAGGGTTCTCCTCCATGATTGCCACATACTTCTTTGACGCAGGCGCCAAGTCTCTTACCCTGACGCGGCAGAATCCATCAGGAGAAAACCCATCGTGGATTGCTCAGCATCCTAATAACAGCCTCATCATATAGTACCGTCGCGTCTATTGCTCAACTGACCTTATCTTGATCATCTTTCATTTAATGCGGTCAATGAAATACAGCCCGTTGGGAACCTCCAGTCTTTTTCGGTCGGTGACGCAGGGATTCTATCCCTGGTGGATACTGTGTCTACAGGCGGCAATGGTCCGACTTTTACCAATCCGCTTTCAACGGGGGAAGTGACGGGCATAAATGTAAGTCACCGGTGCGCTATCTAATAAGCTCACATCTTAAAGCTGTAATATCTTAAGTTTGGATCTCCTAACTGCTCTTTTGTTGCCACCGTTCCCGATGATCCCCTTCACTTTGAAACAGATTCCCCGATAATCGCCTTCCCGTTGGCCCCAATGCACCGTCTAACCCGCACATGTTCCTCGAACACAATGGAGAGGTTTTTGTTCCCGACTTGGGTGCAGACAAAATCTGGCGAATCGTAAATGACGGTGCACCCGGCAAGTTCAGAGTCCAGGGCCAAATAGATGTCGATGCAGGTGCTGGACCACGGCACATTGTTATTCATGGTACGTCTTGCTCCACCCGTTCCCTCCGTAACCGGAACTCCAATCTGATGATAAGGCTGTGCCTTCTAGATGGCATTCTTTTTACAGTGCATGAAAAGACTTCCACATTGACTGCTCAACGTATACCCGAGGCGCCTAACGGTACCACCCTGCCTCTTCTTGCTAATGTTTCTGTTGTGCCGGCCAATCCCCTTGAAGGGACTTCCTTCGCGGCGGCTGAAATCCTCATTCCCACTCCGACAGAACGTTTTCCATCACCGCTAATATACGTGAGTAACCGAAATATCGGGACGACCATCGATCCTGCAGGTGACACAATCGCCATCTTCCAGTTCAATAACGGGACGAGCGCTGATCCAACGTATACGGCGAGTACCAAGCAGCGGATGAAGCGCATTAACGGGATCATTAAGCGAGACACAGAACCTCTAGAGCTGTTGGCCCAGGTACCTACCGGACTACAACAGATCCGGAGTATGAGTCTCGGCAAAGTCGAAGATGGCGGGGATGAAATTATCATCGCGGGCGCTAATACTGTTGGTGGTGTCGTTATATTGCAACGAGTAGAAGAAGGCCGTAATTTGGTAGAGGTCGCCCGGAATGAAGATATCGCAAACAGGACGAGTTTCATTTTCCTTTAATTTCGTTTCTGGGGACACTCTCAAGCTGGACACTCATTTGTAGACTTTCCATTCATTAATGTGTATAGATAAATGAGCTTCGAAACGTTGAAGCTTCAAAACTTCATGAATAAGGGACTTCGAATTCGAGGCTTCACACTGTTTCATAGAAGAAGTCTGGTCCTAGGCCGCAGGACGCACCACGAGGCTTGAACCTGACTCTGACCGCGAAGCTTTCTCTGTGACAGTAGCTGGGTTTCGAGTAACGACAGATGTACATGTTGTTGTCAGATATGCGTTACCCAGGTAGTAAACTCCGTTGCTAAGAATAGAGGATTCAGATTGACACTTACTGAGATGGATAGTAGAGAGTAGTAAACTGATACTCAAAGACAGAAAAGTAACAGCATTTTGATCGGAAAGTTGCTAAGTACAAGCTGTAAAGGAGGAGGAAGATATGAGGCACGGCTCAGCTAAATTCCCGACGAGCCGATTTTGTTCCGATATCTCTTCTCCCGCCCCTCAACCCTCAAACGTTAACCCTGACTCAAGCTGCTTTTCGCTCTACGTTTTCTTTCTTCCGCCTCATCATGAATCTTTGTTGAGTATGGAATCACTTCTCGAGTGGATTCTGACTCTATCGATACTCGGCATATTGTCGGATTCTGTATCTAATCAATCAACAAATAAATCCTTGGGCGCTAAGATTTTAGGACGCAGATTGATGGAGTCAGGGTGACTGTGCTGAGCGTCTTGTCACTCATGTTAAGTAGCGTTAAGCGCCAGATCTTTCGCGCCATGCGGTGCTTACTTCACACACAGCTGCCTCGAGCCCCTTGTATGGACATTTCGCTTATGGTTTTGTTATTCTCATTAATAAAATGTATTTGCACTGTCAGCCTCCATCCCTCATTGATTCCGTGCTTAATGGGATTCTGATCCCAGATTACTCCTTCTCACGCAGGAGCCTTAAAAACGCACGTTACCCCTTTCTTCTTCCCTACCTCTTGGTCTCATTAACTTGTTCAACTTTTCAACTCTCAGCTCTTGAATTATATGACACTTACAGAAGTCCCTTCAGATCCAGCAGACAACCCAAGTGCATCTGTTGACTCTGGGGCTTATTCGTCTTTTGATACCTTGGTCGTTTCTCGGGTATCCGATGATCTCATTGACGCCCACAAAGGCTCCGAGTCCTTGCCCGATGGTGGTTATGGCTGGATCTGCGTCTTTTGTTCTTTTATTGTTCACTTTTTTGCCCTGGGGTACGTTTCACAAACATTCATGGACCGACGCAAACTTACTGTCTGTTAAGGATCGAGTCTTCTTGGGGAGTGTATCAAAGCCATTATTTTACATCACACGATTTAGGTCCTGTTTCCAACTCAGATCTAGCCTGGGTCGGATCTATCCAGGCAACTGGGCAACCACTCGTTGGGATGTCAGTATCTAGTAGCGGTTCCCATGTCTACGTATTTCTTATGCTACAACGAACAGTTTGGCCGGGATCCTGGCTCAGCGTATCGGCTACAGGCTAACGGGATTTATCGGAACATGCATAATGGGCATCGGTTTGATCTCTGCGTCGTTTTCGTGAGTTGTAGTATCTACATCGACGGTCATATCCGAAGCTAAGCATCGATACAGAACTCACGTATGGCATTTATACCTCACTCAAGGTCGGTCACACATATTTCAGGGCGTGAAGCCATTTAATGTGCATTTGTAAGGTGTGTTATTCGGAGTTGGGAGTGGTTTCGCATTCATTCCCGCCGTCTGCATTCCTTCGCAATGGGTGAGAGTTCTATATATCGGTGCCTGGGACTTTCTTGACTAGTGTTTACCATGGGTGTAGTTTACTAAACACAGAGGTGATCTACTATGCCAAGTTTTATTACAGCAAACATTAAGCCTTGTTATCTAGGACTTGCCACTGGAATAGCGGCTAGCGGCTACGGTCGGTCCGGCCCTTCATTTATCATTCTTCCACTAACATATTGGAATTTTCAGGTGTCGGAGGTTTATTGCTCAGCCCTTTAACGCAAAGACTCCTCGATCTCATGGGGTTTCGCTGGGCTCTCCGAATTACTGGACTGATGACATTTGTTGGTAAGTTACTAAATGCTATGCTTCAAAGGCAATGCAACTTCCTTTTTGTTCATCATCACCGGATTATATGAGATGCCGTCGTCATTCCGTGTGCTATGAGTCGTTCCTTTTGCTTGCATCGCACTAATGAACCGCCTCTCCTCAGCCCTCGGGGTTGCTGATATCTTCCTTCGGCCCCGTGCATCGGCCAAACTGGCCACAAAGGTGGACAAAACACTGATGATGGACAAAGTCTTCTTGTTTCTGTGTTCTATCGGACTTCTTAGTGGTCCTGGTTTCTATGTTCCCATTTTCTACGTTCCGGGTACGTTTTGCAGTATCACAATAACAGGCTCAACAGTTTTGACCCTTCCTTCTGTGCATTTTATCATTCGGGGTTTCTTCTTTCGATTCATTCATCTCAGACTATGCCATCAATAAGCTGGAGCGCAGCGCTCAGGATGGTGCGAATGCCGCAGCTCTCATATCGGCCTTTTCCGCCGCAGGTCGTGTGGTAAGTGATTGTTTTGGGCCTGGAGAATACCTGCTTCGATTTCCATGCCAAAGATCTCCGGGTGCTTATTATCATACAGCTTGTAGGTATAGTAGGCGATCAACTGGGACATTTACCTGTCCTTATCTTGTGTCAATGCATGGGCGGCATTGCGCAAATGGCGATATGGCCTTTCGCTCACAGCCTTTCGGGCTTGATGGCCTTCTCGTCTATCTATGGATTTTTCACAGGCGGTTATGTTAGTTTGTATCCCGTTGGTATGTTTTTCTCTCCAAGCATATCAATTTGATGCGCTGATCAACGACGATCCAGTTGCTGCTGATCTGTACGGTGTTGAAGGCCTGGCAAGCATAACTGGAGTCATGTTTTCCAGTTTTGTGGTGTGTACATATTGCTATGTCAAAGAACTTGATATTCTGATGGTCCTCCTCGTTAGCCAGGAACACTTCTCGGTCCCCCCATTTCAGGAGCTATTCTTGATTCTCACACGAGTCCCCTTACTGGCAAGATCAATTTCCTTCCCGTACAGCTCTTCGGCGGTAGTTGGCTACTGGGGTCGGCTGCTATGGGTGCTATGGTCCTGTTTTTCCGTGTCAAGGAAGGCTCGATTGCTCTGGCGTGATGTCATGACGTTGGGGAGCGGGGTGGGTGCATTTGGCAGTTTCCAATAGATATATTGGGAGTCAAACCTAACTCCCGCCGTTCTTCATAAATTTGACATATGTATCGGGTCTGCGATTGAAAGCATGAAACTACTGTGCCATACCGGGTAGGTCGGAAGACAATCATACAACGATCGACATGCTTTCATTCACCTCCTCAAGATCTCGATCTCAGAAGCCGATCGAGTGTAAACGATCGTCACCGATCTGCCTGACGCGAAATTTACTACGTTTGGATGATTTAGTCAATCATCAAGAACCGCAGACGATTTGATTAAAAATACAATAGGCGCTGTATATAATACTGCACATAATCGAAGTCATTCACACAGCAGTGTTTCATTCGCGCGCTGTTTGTTATAAGTTTGGAGCATTTTGGAGATCAGACCTTCTCGGACACGCCCAAGTGATCGTGAATATCCGCTTCAAGTTCTACGTTTCCAGTTAGAAAACTCTGGGAGGTATGTATGAGAGAGGACGACTACCGTGTTCTTGCTTGATGATATTCTTGTTCCGCTCTTCCTTGGTAATAGCACCGAATATAACATCCATATCTTCAAGACTACGGCCCTTCGTCTCCGGGATTAGACTTTTCGAATACAGTCAGCACTGAGGTTGATGAACATGTAGGAATGATACATACATAGCAAATAGGCCCATTGCACCAACGTTTACGGTGGCAAACATTATGAAAAGTTTCCAACCCAGATTGGTGACCATATCTGGAGTGAACTTGGATACGACGAAATCTGTTGCCTGATTAGCAATCGTAAACAGATACATGATGAGGAAGACCCACTCCACAGCCACTGAGAAGCAGTTGCCAATGCTAACCCATAATGCCTTGTCCTGGTCGGGAAGATATCTGATACGTAAACCCACGGTAGTGGTCCCCATCCCATTGAGTAGAAGCAAACATATATATACAACATGCCCGCCATGGCTTGGCTGGCCGGCTGGGGGGATACCACTGAGGTATCGGTGGAACTAGTCGCAGGTGGTGGGTGTGTTTTTAGGAGTGCCCCAACGATATAGAACAAGACACCCATTCCAAAGGCAGATATCGTCAAGGATAGTTTCCGTCCAAGCCATTCAACCCCAAAGAAGATGAACAAGGACGTGGATACTACTTTGATAACACCGTAGATTCCAGATGCTAGAAGGGAGTTCTTGTTATCAGTATAACCGATGGATGCGAAAATCTGGGGAGCGTAGTAGTTTACAGCTGCAATCGTAATAATAAGAATCAGTTGGAGAAAGCGAAGAGAAATGGGGCCCGCACAATTTTGACCCGACCATTGCTGTAAGAGGAAAATGACGAACGCGATCACGAATCGAATGAAGTTGCCTTTTCCGAAAAAGGCTTCCTTCCAATGCAGACCTTCGCGAGCTAGGCGCTCTTCCTCAACAACGGCTTCGATTTCGGCCATCTCATGCAGGACTTGCTCAGAGGTGGGTGGAAGTTTTCGTAGATAGGCAAGGTTCTTGAGGGCATCATCTTTTCGGTCAACTGACGCGAGCCAACGAGGCGATTCCTGGGATTGGCTCTTTGTTAAGCTCCGCATCTAGTATAAATGTGGGAATGGACATACCTTAATGGTCAACAATCCAAAGCCCATGATACCAGCAGGCACGAGCTGGAATCCGAATGGGATCCTCCATATATTCGTGCCACTGGCAATGTGAATGCCAAGGCCATCTTCGGCGTATCGTTATTAGTAAGGTGAGTGGTGACAACTTGAATACACGTACAATTTATGAAGTAAGACAGCATGACTCCAGTGGCCACCATGATCTGGAACATCCCAGTGATCCGTCCTCGGACCTCTTTGGGCGAACACTCGGAGACATAAGCTGGAGCTACAGCCGAGATCCCACCTATTCCAATACCAGAGATGACTCGCCCTGTGTATATGAGGGCAAGACCGTTTGATGGGGAGGCGGCTACAGTTGTCAGAATCTATGCGCAATGTTGAAAGATGCGACAAAGATGGAACAAGAAACAGACATACTGCGCCGATACAGAAGATAAGAGAATACATGAGCAGAGTGTATCTTCTCCCAAATTTGGCTGATACAAAAATGAACTTTGCGGATAGAAGTAGCGTCAGAAAAGAACTCACGCGATATCACAACGCTACCCAAGGAGCCAAAAAAAGCTCCAGCCTGAAGAACGGACACAACATTGGATGAGATGTTGTTTACTTTACTGGTATTCTTCGTCCCATCGGCATTGTACATTCCAAAATGCTTCTGGAAGTACGTATTATTGACAACGCCACCGCCAACACCGCTGATAGTCAAACACCGCGTAAACACTATGGCTCGGAAGGGAATGGTTGAGAATATCCACGCACGTATCATAACCGAATAGCACGATTCCCCAATATACGATGAATGCAAGCCCTACCCATACGATGAGGAATGAAACAGAAATGATAGAATGAAAACTGACAATAGACCCGGATATTCTGGAATCTACTTCCTCCCTCCATGGTGCGCTGCGTATGTAATGGGAAGAGAGCACGAACGCATGTGTACGGCACCTATGACTTTTATACCTTCCCCACCTGACCATTCGCCTCAATTTGTGCGGGGAACGGATGTGGGGAATAGACGGCCCGAACGGTCCGAACGGTCGCGCGACTATCGTCGGCCTCCATTAGTAGCTTGTCGTTTTGGCTTCAATCATTGGCAATTGCAGATGAGTAAATCTGAGCTTTTCTTGAATGGCAGGAGATTGGAACGCTGAATTTCGCATGGTTAAAACGAAAGGAGTGGGTCCCCAGTCCAGCGAGTATTTGCCGGTAGAGGGGAATTGTGCCTTACCGAACGGCGTCCACGCGGGTCATTCTTGGCTTCGGCTAACGTGCGCGGGGAAACTTTGAATCCTAAAGCCACGCTGGGTCCTGCAAGTTCTAGTGAGCGAATCATCGTCTCCTTTGCGGCCAAATATATACTTTGTTGCCAGTATAAATCTCCTCGGCGACGAGTTACGAGATTTCTCGGGGCCCGCGTATATTGCGTATATTAGAAGTCAGCGTCTAGTCTCATCCAAGTTTATCATGAAACGTCGAAATTTCACTTTTGGAGATCTAGAGCTCAGCTGACCAGGTCCATAAGTTCGCGTGTGCCTTTCCTAAGACGTATTGTGATACGTTCCTGTGGTGGACAGCATCAAAAGACACGAAGCCACGATAATTGAAAGAATCTGGATGAAGGAGCCTGAGTACCAAAAAGGTCTTGAGAAGCGGCGATAATTAATTTGCTGCGCTAGTCAGATTTGGCACACGCAGTTGACTGGGGTAATTCGACATCAGATGTCACCTCGCTGACCTTTCGCCACAACATGAGTCTTCGAACAATTAGAAGATTCGAGCTCACCGAGTTCATCCGTGCAGATGGATGTTCTTTGTTGGACGCCAACTCGTGAGAATACATAGAAGCTATCCAATATTTTTGACGTTGATAGCTAGCACGTTTTGAGACTGGCTCAAGTTAGCAACGAGAGAAAATACTAGAGTTCGTTAAAGGTTCCAGAGCCTTGGATGCGCAACATAAAAAGTAGCCGCTTTACTCCCCCATTTTTGGGCAGTATCGTCATGAGCTGCTTGAAGGTATTTAGGACTTGGGCTTCAGCTTGTAATGACTCCAATGCGCAGCCCGAGCTTTGGCCTAGAAAGTCGATTACTTGTCAAATTTTTCCGAGGGCCTGAGAGACTAAATATCAGCTTTCCAGCTGAGGCGATAGTTTACAGTTCGGGTTGTCACCGTAGACATGCAAGAGAATCCAAAGTCTTCGTAAATTATGACGCTGATTGAACAAGGGACAGAGTCAAGCGGCCTGAACCAGATATCGATACCTTGGTCTATCAGAGGTACTTAGCATAGACCCTTGGCATTTCCGAAACGTTCAGGTTACAATGCTCAGCGGAGAAGAGTGGTCGATATCTGTTATCACCTGATGCTGATGATCGTTCAAGGTAGGAGACTAGCAGCTTACCAAGTTCACCCCGGGTCCGCAAGCTTTTTCGGGTCGAAGAAATCAACCTTTCCAGCTCGCAACAAGAGAAGTTTGAGAGATGGGAATGTAAAGTCTGAATCTTTGAGAGGTTGCCTCTTTATTCCTAAAGAACGTCATACACAGCGATAAAAATCATGGATTGAGATAACAAGGCTCTGTTCTTCGGGCAGCACCCCAGAACTCGATATAAAAGTTTCATGGACCGTGGAAGGAAGGCAAGGGTTTTTATTACAGATTTGATGAGGCTCCTGACCCAAAAGTGACGGCGCGTAGCCGCATCGAAGTTTTGACTTCCAAAGACTCTGCGTGTGCAGTGGATCCCAAGGAGGGGGTACCTCGGACGTATCACCCGATGAACACGTAGAGGAATTCGAGGTTTTCGCAAATCGTGATGCTGTCTCACATCAGACTAGAACCGGGAACAAGTTGATCTTTTGAGGAGTTGAAAACACGCCTATAACGTGTTTGCCATTAGGATAACGAGAGGCCGCGACGAGCGGAGGACATTCAGTATGCATGAGGACTCTACCTTCTGCTGCCAGTGATAACTTTTCACCCGGCACAGGGTTCTACTGATAGGTTCTGGGAAACAAAGTGCGATTTGAAATCTTACGACGACGCATTAATGGGGTAGTGGTAACCTGGGTCGTTGCCATCGACCCGCCGGGGGTTCGATTCCCCCTTAATGCACTCCAGTATTATTGTCCTTGGGATTTTTTTCCCATAACTTTCAAACTTAGAGTTTACAAAAATTTAGTACTTTGACGTTGAAGTTTGACATTCAACCTGAACATTCAATGAACTTTCCTCGTTAACGTTAGAACAGTGAACGTTGATTGGCTCCAGCAGTCCAAGCACGCTGTCGGTTAACCATGAAAATGCATCTTCCAACTTAATAATGAATGTATTGTTCTAAATCTTACGTCGATGGACGAAACGCTATTCAGACGTCTTACTACTATGCACCACAATCTGGCATCCACAATGTAGCTTACTCCTTACAGCGACCTCATAGATTTTACTACTCGGCTATGCATCGTCGAATCCAAGCACACCATGGCGCAATATTAATTAGTTGTACATGCTATATATCCATCCCGTCGTTCAATTGTAGGCCTTCAAGCTTCAAGGCTTCAACCAGTTATCGAGCTCAACGCTCGAGTTGATGCCCATCGTGATGAACCCTGCAAGACCCTGAGTGATAACCCCACCCAATAAATGCAATCTAAAAAAAGACACGCGTCGTTAGTAATGGAAAAGAAGCCTGCGCGACGGGATCGCACACCCAGAGCAGGTGATCCACAAGGATAACGCTTACTTGAACACGGGATCGTATTTCCCCTCCGGACCTTGCGAGTCTTCAAAGATGTTCAGCGAGTCGCGCCAGTTCCGCGTGCGGCCGATAGTGTCTTTGATAGGGTTTCCGGTATATGGATGCATCTGGGAGAAGCTGGGGTGAGATGGGATGGGAATGCGTGGGTAGGATATCTACCTTGTCGACTTGAAGATTCACTTCGTCGTCGAAGAAGAACTGCCCGACATGGGAGAGCTTGCCTGCCTCGAACGTGCCGTTCGGGAGGGTCGTCCATGACTGGAAGACTTTGGTGTGGATGTGTGTCGCGCGACCTGTACAGAACAATTAATGGTGCGATGCGATGTCTCGCGAGAATTATTTTGCGTACCTGTGTAGTAACCCGGAAAGATAGCTACAGAAAGACGTCGTTAGAGGGAAACTGAATGAAGGAGGAGGAGGAAACATACTCGTGAATTGTGCAACACCATTCTCGTTGGTGGGCCAAGCGCCTCGTAGGAATGTCTCATGATCATTCGTCCTGGGAAAAGCAGTGAGGAGACCAGTTCGTTTCCCGCCAACCTGAGGTTTCTCGTTGGCGAGCTCTGGTTTCGGTGTGGGGTGTCCGGCGTAGTGACCAGTAGCATTTGCTTGCCATATGTCGACAAGAACATTAGGAAGTGGTTGGCATGTCTCTACATCAATGACGCCGATATCAAGGAGAAGAAGGAGGCCGGCTTGGTACTCGGCAATGTTTTGGCGTATGGGGTGACCAGCAAGGTGATAGTAAGGACCTTGCGTTACGATGGGGGCTACGGGTATAGTGTTAAGGCAAAAGCGAAAGATACGTAATAGGTTCGACGGACTCAGCACGCAAGAGTTGTTCTCCATTTTGGCCTCTTCGGTTACCGGTGTGCAGCTCATGAGCTCCTGCCCCTCCTCGCCTGGAACGGCTTTCTCTCCATCGGTAGCATCATTGTATGAAGTGAATAAATCCTGGTAGGCAGGTAGAGATGGATTACCAGCGAGGACCTTCTGAGCCCAAGCTCGTTTGCGCTGAGCGGTGAACTGAGCTACTGCTGGTGCGCAGTGGTAAGCTGCCTGTTGCAGCGATCGCTGGACCTCAATTTCTGCATCAGTTTTAGGATTTGAGTGGGCGAGGGCAGCTGGGATCAATGAAAAGACAAGGAGGAGGGAGGAGGGGGGGAGGAGGAACATCACGGTGGGGAAGAATATCGCATCGTGACTGAATGGGTTTTATAGGCGGAGGGTAGTTTCTCCGCTTCTATATTTGATGTATATTTATTTTCCGCGTTTATACATAATAGGCTCCCCACAAACTCCTGCGCCACATCATGGACATCCACATTCTTTCCGGGTCCTTCACCTCGTTCTCCCTCTTCCTCCTTGCCTTCTCGCCGCTCAACCACTCGCTCCGCCTTCTCCATACCGTACCCGCTGTCGGCCCACACCAGTACATAGCACAGACGCCTCACGCTGTGTACGCGACGACATGGGCATCTCCACCGGCCCTGCACGCGTGGACACTTCCTTCGCTAGCGCACATCGGAAGCACTCCCATAACGGCAACGTCATCCTATATCACAATCCTTGACTCTCACGCGTACTCCGTGGGTGGGCCCACAGGAGAGGTTCACATACTTGACCCAGCAACCGGAGCGTGGAAACGGAAAATACAAGAGATTCTATTTGTCGATTCCGGAAAGCTGGACGAAGCTGATAAGACAAGGAAAGCGCTGAGATACGGTTCTCATGCGATAGAGTTCACAGGCGACGGAAGCTATGGTTTCGTGCCGGTCCTCGGGACGGAAGAGATCCATGTCTTCAAGAGAGGTACCAATGGGACGCTCGAACGCGTAGCGAAAGCCAAAGGTCATGCAGGAGACGGTCCAAGGCACGTTAAAGTACATCCAAACGGAGAGGTTGTCTACTGCGTGACAGAACATAGTATGTTTTTCCTAACATTTTCGAAAATCGGAATGCTTGAGAGATGCGCGCAGCCAACAAACTGGACATATATACTTTTAATACAACACCTACGCCATCTCTCAAGCTCGTCTCTTCGAAGCCCATCTACGCTTCCGGTTCAGCCCACTCCTACAGGGGCGACACGCTGCTACTCGCGCCTTCAGCTGACCAAATTTTCACGACCACTCGTGGAGCAACGCACCTCGACCCGGGATACATCGCTGTTTTTTCTCTCTCCTCATCTGGTCTGCCTAGTGGCCAGGTTGAGTACTACGAGACCCCTACCTCAGGAGGGAAAGCCCACGCCATCGAGTTGCTCTCAAAGGCTTTTGAGTCGTCCACCACTGTGAATCAGGAATCTCTCTCTATCCCGGCCGAGTCCGTATGGATAGTCTTAACAGACGACGACCCATGCACACAGACGTCTGAACGCTGTGCGAGTGTACGAATACTTGAGTGGGATGGCTGGAATACAGGTGGAATACGCGAAGTGGCGGCGTACACTGGGACGGAGATGCAAGGTGGCAGTCATGCGATTTTCTTGCGCGCGCATGTGGATGCCGAGGAGGTGGTGCGGCATGATGAACTGTAGAGCGGCCAATGGGGTCGCGTATGTTCTTTAGGCCAATCGTGCTATTTCAATTTGGAACTTGGCGGGACTCAGATATTCCTCTCGCTGCGTATGGGCCCAAGTGGAATGATATCTCCTTCTGCTAGACTGGATTAGAGTACAGTACGTATTGTTGATGATTCGAGCTTTGACCAACGTGTATAATGCTACCATATATTCACGACTTAGTAGCCGGACATGAAACCAAAAGCAGTCAACTTTGAGCCCTACAGTGGCATATGGGTTGAAGCATTTAACAAAAGGGAAAAAAAAACAACAACATACGCGCCCTCTTGACCGCCAGGAGGGCGTATGTTACGATCTCTCTCGTTGGGAGTCGAGAAAGTAATGTAGACGCCACCCCGGTACGCCATCAGAGAGTTGTTAATACTGTAACGAGTCTTATTATGAGCTGTCCGTCGTTTATGTAAACAGTGCATGGCTCATTGAGAAGAGTGTAACTTGTTGCTGCTCCGAAGAAGTTACGCTGCATCCCTAGAGGAACCGCCTGAGCAGGAGGAGCCAGCATATAAGAGTCGAAAAGGCACTGGAATTTAGAGGAGGACGTGAATAACGAGAATATGAAAAGATTACAACTTATTGTTGAATCCGGAAGGAAGTGAGGCTGCCAAATAAAAGTCTCGTAAAACACACCCTCCCGTCCTTGGAAGGGCGCGTGCGCTTCGCCGATATGCCAACAGAGAGCTGAGTACATACGGCGCCGCTGGTCCCATATCGCCCTGGCGATTCGTTTATGTAAATGGATCCGCGACTACGAGGTACACACCGCCTCGGGACTTTGTGGCGTATATCTAGAATCAGACGCTGCCGCCTCCATTTGAAGAAAATGCCAGATTGTTCCATATGCGTGTCCTAATGAAACAACGCAGTCTCTGACCAGTAGCATCAAAGGGGCGGGACAGCTTCCCGCCCCTTTCCCCTCTGCTGGCCAACTTCGGAAACGCCAATTCGATTACCGTTATCGGGGATCTCCAGGTGAGGATTATCTCACAGCCTTCAACCTTGGTGGACAGTCCTCTTACACCCAACCTTTCAGATGTACACGTGCCAAGGAGGCGAAGAACGTACGCTTGGGTCCTTCATTGATCTTTTGGGAAGCGAAGGGTGGAAGTTAGAGGAACTCTTCACTATCCTGACTCACAAACAGATTCTGGCAGCCCCCATCTAAACTTACATAATTTGGAAATGCTATATTTATAATTTGGCTGTTGGTGATGTACCTTACATTCGACCACGAATTCCGACAGCAAGTATCAGTTATTGTAGGTTATTGTGATTCATCTTCCGATCCATTCAAAGACCGGCGTTCGTTCCTTTCCGCTGTGTCAACTAAAGAGACACATCTCTGCTCTCTTACGCCGTGAACATGGGCTAAGCGCGTGGCAGACTCCCTTAATGCTGGTACGCAGCAGCGGTTGAAAGTCAGCCCCTCTCACTCTACGAAGTTCGGCCAATATAGGGTAAAAAGCGACCTGCATTTGCGAACACTGCAAAGACAACTCAGGCGTGACGATGATGATTGCAATCATTAACCATAAGGTGCGCACGAAGAACAGCATAGCATAGATACACCTTGGATCCCAACACCGAGCCCTGATGGTGCCCCAAGAACGGCCAACAATGTTTAAGCAGTGCTTGCCCTACGTTACGCGTAAGTGCATGGAAACAAATGAGGTAACAAAAAAACGGACTTGTGGTGTGATGCTTTAATCGCAGCTACCTTGGCCTTCTTTTCAGCTACGCGCTTGGCAATGAGAGCACTGAAAAGTTCATGTGTCAATCAACAGAAGGAGTTGAAGTAGAAATGGATCACTCACTCATACTCAGACTTCTGCTCCTTCTGGTGCTCCAATTTTCTGCGCTTGACGGAGCGGAGGTGACGCCGGCGCTGGAGACGGAGGGGAGTAACGAGGCGCTGGATCTTGGGAGCCTTGGTGTAAGGCTTCGCATTCTCCTTCTTCGTACTCTTAACCTCCCGACGGATAACATACTTGCGGACATCATCCTCCTTGGACAAGTTGAACATCTTGCGGATGTTCGTTGCCCGCTTGGGACCAAGGCGCTTAGGAAGCACGGTGTCAGTGAGACCAGGGATTTCTGAATTTGCGTCAGGACAAGTAGAATGATCAAGGGAAAAGTGTACACACCGGCTTCTCCCTGCTTCACGATAACCAAACTCAACACAGCGATATCCGGGCCCACTATGCATCCACGAACAGATTTCCGCTTCCTCTCACCCGTCCGGCGAGTGCGATAGCACGAGTGGCCGTCGGCCAACAACAGACGGACACGGTGGGGGAGGAGCACACCCTGCTTCATCGGGAAACCCTGCTTGTCATTTCCTCCAGTGATCCGGAAGACAAATCCCTTGAGCTCATCAGAAACATTGTCGCCAGGTACTTCTTGCGAGATTTTTTTGTCCATGAAATCGCGGACGCGGCGGTCATCATCGATGTCGATGAGTTTTTGGGCGCCAGTGGCGGGGTCTGGGGATGAAATTTAATGGGATGACGACAGGCATAGGTAGGATATACGCACTGGAGATGTTAAGCTTCATCTTGCCCTACTTGCCTTGAGCCTTTGCGTGGACGACGAATGAAACGATGAGGAGCAAAAATGGAGGGAATTTGTTTGGTTCCATTGCTGCAGCTACACGATTCTGGTGGCTGACTGTACAGTTATCGGGAATTGCCGATGGCCAGGATTGTATCGCTGCCGGTCTGCCTTGAGATTTGTGTCGCCTCAAGCAAAAATCTTTTCGTCGTCGTCTTCAAGAAAAAAACTATCCAGCCATGGGTCGTATGCATGCTCCCGGAAAGGGTATCTGTGCGTGTCTATTTCCCTTGCCATCAGTATTTTCCTTGCTCATCCTTGTCCACAGCCTCCTCTGCTCTTCCCTACCGTCGTGCCCCCCCATCATGGCTCAAAACGACTCCCGACGACGTCGTTGACCACATCGTCAAGCTGGCAAGGAAGGGTCTTACCCCCTCGCAGATTGGTGTTGTCCTCCGTGATTCGCACGGTATCCCCCAAGTAAGGTTCGTCACGGGTAACAAGATTTTGAGGATCCTCAAGTCCAACGGTGCGTCCTCTGCCTTTTGCTCATACTTGTAATGCTGAGCCTTTCTGTGTCTTTCCCCCCATCACTTTGTGTTGACTTGAACGTCGATGCATTATTTTTATTGCCTTTTGTTTGGGGATAGGATTGGGCCCATCCATCCCTGAGGACCTGTGGCACCTCATCAAAAAGGCGGTCGCCGTCCGCAAGCACCTTGAGATCAACAGGCAAGTGTTCGCCTTTCCTTGGTGATCAAACTACTGAATCTGGCTTGTCCGCTATCCCAGGAAAGACAAGGACTCCAAGTTCCGTCTCATTCTCATCGAGTCGCGTATTCACCGTCTTGCTCGTTACTACAAGACGAAGCAGCAGATTCCTCCCACCTTCAAGTATGACTCGGCGACCGCATCGACATTGATTGCTTAAACGGAACACGTCGGTTTTCGTGGAGAGTTGTGTAGCCATGTTACTATGATATCACCAGCTATGCATTTGCTTTCTGTCCTTCATAGATCTAAGTCCGGTCGGCCAGCAGCTGCATAATAATGAAGGTTCAATATCTTTTCCGTTATATGAATCCGTGCCTTCAAGTTAAGGAGTAGTACTGAGAACGTGTACCCCCATTTGTCGATGTATAAGCATGCTAGCTGCGCTTCATCCAGGCAAAATGTTTTTTTTCTGGCTGCAAAGGAACGTGATGTCACCTGCCCAAGGTCCCCCTTCCGAACACCGTACACACGTTTCGCTGAGACCGCACGTGTAACGACTTCGTCTGAGCCTTTAAACGAGACGCGGTTCTATGGTTGTTTTCTCGCCGGTCCTTTCTGCGGTCCCACGTCCAGCATGTTTTCCTTGGTTCTTCTTGCTCCTTTGGTTTATGCCGTGAATGTTACCCACTATGCCCCCCGCTCGACGAACATCAACAACCTCACGTATGTAGTGAATGGGACGACGGATGCGCCGGGAATATTCAACAGCTCTACGACGCCGGACTCGGAATATGGCACGTACAACTGGTGTAATATGCCTCACGTTCGCGTTAACGAATACGTGTACGTCCAAGCCAGATATTCGTCCTTTTTCGCATGTATCCTGACATGATAACGTAGAACTCCGTCCTCGAATTACACCCTCGAATACGTAGAGGTCATTCAAAGGCACCACAAGCGCACACCGTATGCGTCCAACACGTTCTTCAAAGAGGACGTAGCGTGGAGTTGTAATGGTTCGGGTCCCGCCTATTACGCTCAAAGGTGAGCGATTCGGGGTCCATGGCATGGTCGAACCGCTATATAATTTCTGTAACAGCACCACCGGACCAGCCGTTTCTGAGATTCAGGTAGCTTTTTTTGATGAGTGCAGTGGTTCGACTACTAATTTGTCGATTTTCAGTGGCAAGCATCTTCTAATCCTACAAACCCGTGGACAGATAGTGTTGGTCCTGGATTCGTAGGGTCTACGTGAGCATCTAATCTTTTTTGGTGAACTTTCCTCACCACCACTATAAAACACAGCTGTCAATTCCCTCAGATTACGACGGAAGGTCTCTTCGATAGTTATATCCATGGTGCCGTATGTTTATCCATTCTCGAACTTGGCCTTTCCTTGACATGGACCTCAGGATTTGAGAGAAGTCTACGCGTCCCGACTTGGGCTCACTTCCGAACTTTGCACATCTCCAGCTCAAATTCGTGTGTCCCTTTTTATATTACTGGCATCCGCATTCCTTGATCTGACAAAACAATTTTGTCTAGGCGTAACTAATAACGTCATCACTTCTCAGGTCGCTGGAGGTCTCGTAAAAGGTCTCTTCCCGGACACGACTGACGCTGAAGTCCTGATCGAAAGGAGCGGAATCGATTCCCTCGAACCCAGCCTTTCTTGCACCAATGCCATCAAGCCGGGTACAGGCGACGAAGGTGCTGGTGACGGGGGTGTCTGGAAAGGCCATTTGGCTGCAGCGCAATCACTGTACGATAAACTAGATTCCGTATCGGGAATTGCGTCCAATGACACTGCGAGTTGGCATGTCAGTTTCGATCAGTGAGTGGAATCTTGGGGTTGTCGAAAAGATCCTGACATTCGAGTTTAGCTACTACGATAACTTGAGTGCGAAGCAGTGTCACGCAAAGTCGTTGCCGTGCAGCCTGAACGAGACAGATATATGTGTTACACAAGACGAGGTTGGTTATTTATGTTCCCTTGGGGAGACCCAGTTCTTAGTATTCACCATCCATAGGCCAACGAAGTCTACCGCCTCGGCAACTGGGAGTACTCGTACATGTACCGCGACTCGCTGAATTCCACGAAATACAGTACGCTCACCTACGGCGCGTGGTTGCTCGAATTCAAGGATCATCTCGAGACCGCCATGAGTATATCGAATGGGGTAAGATTATCGAGCTTTTCTTGTATGGATTCATGTATTCTAACGAATCGTTTCTGAGTAGACCAAATATTTCCACAATGTCAGTTTTCGTTGCTCTCTTTGTGTTACTGTTAATTGACAACTGCTGCAGGTTGCACATGACGGTTCCATGTCCGCTCTTCTCGGTTTCCTTCAGGTATCAGAGATGGTTTGGCCTGGGATGTACGTATTTCCTTCCCTCTTGTAATGGGCGGCCTCCCTGATGTGCTTGGAACAGGGGATCAGAAATCGTCTTTGAGCTATACAGTGATGCGGATGGTGCGTACTTCCTCCGCGTCTTGTGGGGTGGCCAGCCGATGGAGACCTCCACGCCTATGGGGACACTGAATATGATTGCAGCGGAAACTTTGATTGACTGTGAGTTGTTTCCTTGTGGTATTCAGTAGATGAGCTAAAGTCGCTCGCTGTGGTAGATATTGAGGAGACGGTCGGAAGCGGGGAGGAGCTATATACGGCGTGTATGTCGTAATATGTATACGGGCCCATCGATACGTTTCAAGGAGGTGATGTTTTAGACGACAATATGTGCATGGAATTAAAATAATAAAGATACCACTGGAGTACCAGCAAACAAAGAACAGTGCAACGGTCACAATTATGAAGCAAGGATAAGATGAGGGTCGCAATACGCGTTATGGTTCAACTATTACTAACCGATTGCCATTAAATAAGTGGGCTTGATAACAAACGTGAGGTGATAATCTGTCGTGATGTGGCAGTGCAGCTGTCGGAACCCGGGACGAATGGAATTGTTGATCCTGACCCTTCTACTGAACGGATCACAGACGTCTCTCTCGATCTTCTAGCTGCCCAGGTTTCCTTCATGCTTGTTTTTATTGTTATTTGAAGGACCCTTGGCCATCTGTGCTACCTCAATGTTCCCCACTGTCGATCTCTTCATGCAACAGCACCAAGTCAACTGCCCACCCGAATGGAACAGAAATAAGTTTTGTGTGCGCCTTGTTGGACACCCAGATTCCAGTTCGACTCTTGGAAAAATCACATCCACCCTTGTCACAGAGAGCTTCCCACTTGCTCGGTGAACTGTGGGAATTGTTCGTTCATTCACCAAGCCGATTTGGGGATGGTGAATCTTCAACGGACATACTGGACACGCTGTAAAATTCGAGCAATCCCGACACAGTAGCGTTTATACGTAGGCTCGATCTTTTACCCAAGTCAGATAACACGGACAGTACGTACTGTTATGCTCATTGGTCGTTGAAGATACTTTCTGTACTGTTGTAGTGCCTTTTTTTTTATCGAGCGATACATATGCGAAGTCTTGAAGACACATAATGAAACGTCGAAATTGGTCTGTTTTGCGGTATCGCATATTCAGAAATCAGCATAAGCTCGATTTCATGCCATGGAGGTTCAGGCAAGTCAGGGGTCAATGTTCAAGCCTATTTGGTGCGGCAAAGATGACGACGGCGATTCTCAATATTTTCCGGAAGCGCTGTAATGCTTATTTGTCGGAGCTATCCTATCCGTCCCTGACCCGTCCTCGTCATGGCGGACGTCCGGATTTATCTCAAGCCCTCCTCTCTACACAGCCACTCCAACTATCTTACATTTCATTGGCCCTCTGATTTCGAGTACGGGCCATTCTTCGCTGAACATCAAGTGATACCCTACGATGCTACACAAGTCTACACTGTACAGTCTCCTGGTCTATCTGCTTCACTCTCCACACTCTTCGACGATGTCATACCTAGTCTTGATGCAGAGGTTCCCGATATCCCAATAGAGTAGACCGCTCTGAACGGCCCTCCCTTCTTTAGCTTGCAATAGCAAATGTCAACTTGGCGTTCGAGTTCCGGATCGAGTGCGAAAACCACATTGTTCAACTCTCCAAAGGCGACCGCGCGCTAAGCCCCCCACCTCCAGATATGCGTGCACCGTCGTTTTCACCCAAGTGGTATAAAGTAATATTCTCTACCGGAAAACGTGGTGGCGTCGAACTGCGTAGCCACGAGTCTCAGGATACTGAATTGGAATTATTCGTCTGGATATATATGCAACAAGCAGCAGATAAGCGGTGTTGTAAGTGTTTTCAGGAGCAAGCCGTACTTCACTTGACGCCATTCCAGACATCTGGGCATCTTTTCGCCGGGAGATGTATCAACTGATACATCCGATTGCTCCAGATCATTTACCCTCTCGTCACAGTCAGTCCCATGTCATCGCAGTTGTTCTTATCCATTGACTTATTTTCAATCAGCTGAAAATCTGGGCTTTTTCGACTCCCTGGGTAGATAGGCTGCTTCTGTCCTTGCATCCATATTCACCACCGAGACATCAGTTAACGACAATTGTCCTCCGCTCCTTTCCCCATCCTCCGGCAATGGATCATCAGCGACGGATTCGACGGATTCTTCTCGTGCTGGCGATCTCAACGAAGACTCGAGCTTGTCTTCTCTTTACCGTTCGTTCCGGGTGTGTTTTGTCATGTCATATCGATCGTCTGTGCTGACTGTCTTTAACCACCGCAGGAAGTTCTCACCGTCTCTAACACCGTCGACCTGTAACACAGATATCCCTTCGACGGATTAACTTATGTACTACGTCCCTTTAATTTTACTTCGGTGGTTAAGACTTCGGAAGGTGAATGTCTGAGTACAACCCTGCAGCTGCCTACCACGAGAGGTCAGTCAAAGATCGCTGTCAAGACGTCAATACACAATTCTTTACTGACCTGAGAATGAACGAAGTTTGACATCCCTGTGACGAGCACAACCCACTTCCAGTGTTCCACAGCACACTTCGATTTCCGGCATCGACGTCGTTCAACTTGCTGAGGGCAAGACCAACTTGAATAGGCTGATATTCCCCAATCTTGGGAGGGCCAGTCCCTTATCTACTTTCCTTCGCTAACTAAGTACTCTACGACGGATTTACAGCTTTATGGAATAGGTGAATCGCACTGGAAAAGCTTTTCGTCTCGTAATTTCTAAAGTCTAGGTATTAAAGGTATCAAAATCATTATGCGCACGAGGTAAAGTAAGAAAGAACCGAAAAATACGCAGCATTAATATGCCTTCGGGGCATCCATACCCAGCCTGATCTCCTCCATTGCGGTCAAACGTTCGACGCGCATCTTCTCAATATCTCCTCCCAGCGCCACTTCCCACCAGCGCTCTTCCTCCGGAACATGTCGCCATCCCCCGGTCAAGAATTTTTTCATAGCTTTAGGGTCAGCGTGCTCTAGCAAATGTTTCGCAGCCACATACGATGGCGGAGGATTCTCCACAGAATAATCCCCTATGGAGAATCCATTAATGGCAAGGACCAGAGCCGGTGGGATGGTGATACGACCAATCTTGAAACAGAACTGAGAGATAGATATGCAATGGACGATTGCACTGTCGGGTTCTTCGTGAGTAGTAGCAAGTTTAGCTGCGAGCTTTCGGAGGTCGGCGGGATGGTCGGCGGTGCTGAGAAGGGGCGTTGAGGCTTCGAGGGGTGTAGGTGCAGTAATGTCGTCCGCTGGTGTACGAATTGGGCCATTGAAGACACTGGAAGCAGGCGAAGGAGCGACTTTCTTTCCTGTCTTCCGACCCTTCTTTGGCTTGGTGACAAATTTACCGATTGCGTACATCTGATGGACGTGTCAGAACGACGATTGACAGGCTGACTGGAGACGCACCCATTTATCACCCCAGGACCCGACGGTGAGACGAACTTCGTACGATGCCAACATGGGAATCTCTCTGATATACAAGAAATGTGTGGCTGCGATGAACTCGGTTAGATGTGGTGGTGAGGGAAACAGTGTAGAGAATATACCAGCCAGAGGAATGTACCCATCCACACCTTCACGGAAGAGTTGAGGCGCATACTTGCATGCCCATCTGAAGCGGACCGAGTCTAGTGTCTGCATGCAGGTAAGCACGCCTCGTTCGAGATAAGCTTAACAGTATGAGTTAGCGTTGACCTTGGCATAGCATGAATTACTGAGATGGAGATTAAAGTCGCTCTCGTCAGGACCTTACAAGGTGTAAGCCTAATACGATAGTGAAATGGGCGCAAAAACTCACTGGCCCAGTTGTAGTAATTCATGGTCATTGCAAACGGATTTTTCCCAATTGGAGAAATCGAGTCCCACCACGCCCGCGACGCTATTTTCTTTCCGGACTTGTTCTTGTGAACGATGCTCAAACGATGTAGCCTATGCCGCATACGAAGGTTGTAATAGGGCGCCAAAACACGTACTGGAAGATTGCTTAGCCCTTCAACCTGTACGCGTCGTATTCGAGAACGTACAGTGCCATGCCAGAGGAAAGGACCTTATGTTGATAAGAAGGAGAATGGCCAGGAAGTACTTCAAAGGCATAGCCAAGCTCAAGAGTCGGTCGACAATCGGAGAGACCATGACGAGAAACGACAGGATTGACGATAAGCGTTTCAGCGCCTTACATTATATTCGCCGGACGCAACCGGTAGATGAATACCCGAATGCCGAATAAAATGCCGTGGCTTCATGAAATCCACGGGGACGACTAAGCAGAATTTCGATGGATGGCCTGGATAGTCGCCCGACGATGCCTAACTTGAAATCAATTCTCATGCCAATTAGCGAGGCATATCAGGATCCTGGCATCATCACGATCATTATTAGTATTGGTTGATCTCAAAGGATGACTAGTACTAGTGAATGCTTGAAACGGTGCCAGGACATTTATCAGTGATACGATTGACACCATTCTTTGCCCATGTATCATCTAACTACAGTTCATTGATACTAGACGTGACTACACGTAAGGACCTACTCGACTAGACGGTTATTTATCATCATTTTGAACGCGATCAAATGGGAATGCGATGGTGCCTGAAGGATCTAGTCATTGATATATACAGTCAAGTCGGTTCGTTTGAACGTTTGACTCTCGCACGAGGCATTTTGCTTTAGTCTTCCCCCAAGGCGGAGCATTCAAGATTAAATGATTTCGTCATCCCTGAAACTGTTGGGACATCTTTCTTGCGGAACGAGATTAAGGCTTGCGCATACTCCCAAGAGTATGCAAATGGTACATGGTACATATTCAAGACATCGTCCAGGGTATCTTCAACGTCGACCAAAATACGTTGTCACTGGGAGCAGACCGTGTCTGTTGGAAGGCATGTCTTGAAGTTTTATCGAAAGTGGAATTCGCATGGAATCTAGACAAAACAGTTTTCAAATACTCCTCTGCAATTATGTTCCAATCCGTATACACATTGTGCCTGCAGGCGTGACGAAAGTGCCAATGACAAAAGGTCTTGAGATCCTCCATCCTCTGCTAAGACCTTTATGTCTTCTACATCGTGGAATAGCTGTCCCACGACCTCCCCTGCCCCTGAGAGATGGGAAATGTTGGCACAAGCATTATGGAGTTGAAAATAGCAACGGCTGGGAAGAGGAATTTGCCCGCCGGTCGCATCCTGAGTGTCACTTGGTCCGGAAGTCCATACGCAGCATTTCGTCTTAGAGGATAAGTACGGATTTCATACGTATGACTATCATCCTATAACGATCTTGTATTCAGAAGGAAGAGGAAGAAAAATAACTACTTACTTGCCCAATTGGATGAAGAGAGACGCTGAGTTCATCAAACAGACCGTGGAAGTCACGCGTTGTCGTGAACGTATTCTCTGCTCTGTGAATATTATTTCGATTGAGCTCTTGGACCACCGAAATTTGTGCAAATCGTTGAACAATGGCAGCAGCAGAAAACGCCCATTCCAGCTGACAAGCAATTTGAGGTTAAATGGAAGCATAGACAAATGTAAGGGGGTGAATGATAGACATACTTTTCTCTGCGCGGCATCTGACAGTCCGACTATATGGTCCGTCATCAATTCATTGAATATGTGACCCGGCCCTGTACCTCTCATTCTCTCCCCCACATCCATATTGATCACTGTCAGGCCGTTGATAGCGCTGTCTTTGTCCACATTCCTTGGCAGTATATACCGATAATTGTCTCGCATCAAAGCCTGAGGAGCTTCAGAACAACACTTTGGAAATTTTTTGCTTACCAACTTTTTAGCGTTACTTGAACTGGAAGTGGGATGTGACAAAAGAGCTGCGATGTTCTCTGCCGTTGCGTAGAATGATGGTCGGGGACTATGGACTGACATAGGCGTCGGTGTTGCACCCTTCGGATTTTTAACTAGTTGCAGTGAACGTCATTCTTGGACGGCGTACGGCGAGGACGCCATAACATACAAGTACAACAAGCCCGCAAGAAACTCGCCATTGTCGTTGCAAGTGGATATTTCTTGTGCCAGACAAGCCTTGCCTTCTGTGGAAGAAGAGTGAATAAGTCCAAAGTCCAGGACTCGCGCCACAACTTCTGGACTGAATTTGAACATGGCGGTTTCAGAAGACCCTTTCGCCAGGTCACCCACGACCACGTCCCAGCTATCGCCAAAAGTTTCGATGTTCAAACATACGCTGCGTGTTCATCAGAGAGTAAGCGAAAAGGGTTTCGTAGAGTATCAGAATTTGAAATTTGGGGTGCTTGTCGGTCGGTCTGGAAAGTTTCACAAGACCTAGCGGTGTCTTCTAAAATGATTTTTGAAAGACCATAGTGTAAAACGGCCCGTTGCAGAGTTTCTGATGTCCGCAAGTACAGCCAGCGGCAGACCTGCGGAGAGCAGTAGTGGGAATACTACTTTTCCCGCAGTACTGAGTATATGATGTCGGCGATATTCCCGGTTTTAAATGATATTGATAACCCCAAGCCCGATGGTTTTCTTTGTCGGAGCACCTATTCACCATCTACATTGGACTTTGAACGTTAGGAGCATAAGATCCTCCGTAGGGACATGCAAGCTCTACGGGATGACAGGCGTGATGGAAGATATCACCAAGACTTGTCTGAGATTTCATCCAACTGAGGTTTACTAGACCAGCTTACGAGCTCGGATCAGGCCTCAGGCTTCAGGAAAGAGATAAACTTCTACAGGACACGAGTTTCCTCCATATCTATAGGGAAACAAATTGTATCGAATGTGTCAAATACTAGATATGAAGTAAATCGACGAGTTCGTCATATTCATCATGCAACTCGAAATTAGATTCGTACTTGGCTGCGCACCTTGGAAGGCAATACCTGTAAAGCCAGTGCATAACTCCCCTATAGTCATACGTAGGAATATAATTGGGAGACGGCTTCGCATGTACCCAGAAATGCAAACCATCTAGATTTATCTCCGGGCGACACAAGGCCTTGTCGAGGGCCTTCCAGAAATGCGTATCACATGGCGGGATCGAACCACCCTGCACCCTGTGCTGGTCTACCGTGATCTCAACGGTGATGAAACTAAGCATATTCTGGGACGGGAGGGCAAGAAACGTTGTCGTCCACCACTGGACGCAGCGATTCATCTGGTCGAAATCGTCGCTCAGGGTTATGGTGATGCTGATCTCCTGCACGTCCTCGATATGGAGAGGTTGGAGCCCTTCATCTTGAAACGAGTGTAAGCATATTGAAGGCTTCCATGGCGATGACCTTACCTAAATTAATATATGCAATGTCAAAATCCTCGAGGGTAAATTCCGGAAGATCCAGCAATGCTTGGATTCGATCGACGATGGTTCTGTCGTTTACGACTCTGGCTCCGTCTCCTTCGATCATGATCCTTTTCAATGCCTTCAAGGAGGCGGGTGACTCTGGACTGGTAAAAAGGTCCCACGCGTCATAGTCGCCGTCGACGACCTCAATGGAGAAGGATTCTAACGTGGGTCCTCGAGGGATGGTCGCAGCCACCGTGCCATCCCACTCCTGTAACTTGCAGCCCTTCAAATTGAGGCGAATGAGCTTGGGGAGCGAGGCTACGAGACATCTCATGTCGTTTCTGGAGCACGTGATTGATCCCAGACACAGCACGCAAATGTGGGGAAAGGATATAAGGGCTGAGCGGAACGCTGAGGGATTCGGGAAATTGAACCAATTTAAGCCCTGAATATCCATAGCATTTATGGGAACACGCTCATCTTTGAGGCGGCTTAAGAGTAGAGGAAAATATGGGTCGGACCGGAGGGTCATCGAGTTGTGATCCTCGATGTAGATTTCATTATGTTGCTCATTGGCGTGAGGAATGTGTGAGTAAGAAGGAATATGAAGGGCATGTTGGATATTTGGGGAGGTTATGATGCGATTGTACAGATCTTGACACGAAAAGCGTTGTCGCTCGCCAAAGTATAGGAAATCACGGAACACTGACAGACTCATGGATGCTATGCTGTAACCAGTTGATAGAACATAACGACGTATACATTAAAATCACTCACGAGAAGGCAGAGGATGCGGTCGGAGAGAACCTAGAGATGACCTTTCAAGCAAAGGAGTGGCAAACAGACAATGGTGTCCCGAAAGAGATACGGTGAAAGAACAATGGCATTTGCGGTCCGACTCCCCGACGGTCAGACTGCTCAAAAAGAGTGATTGGAATAGAAAGGTACCAGGGTAACCCTTGGCTAGTTCGGCTAAAGAGCAGGCCCATACTACCTAGTAGGGACGTCTGCTCGCCTAGGCTCAGGATCACATGTTTTTCAATCGACCTTGACATTTAGAGGTACACGGTGAACACTCCAAAATCTATAATCGCAAGAAGGCAGGACTCGCAGCTCAGGGGGATTGGTCATGGAGTACAGAAGCCATTTTCATTTAATCTACTTACTGGGCGTTAGTTTTGAGCCAGACTTCTCGTCTTTCTTCGACTTTTCTGTACCAAGAAAGTTAAAACACATCCTTAGGATGGATAACTACTACTCACCTATAAGCTTCAGTGTATCCAGATACCTGTGGTGTTCAGCGTAGACCGCCCAAGCATAATCTAAAACCTTTCTCTCATTTTTGAACAGCAGCCCCTTTGCATCTTTGATTGTGTATAATGCAGCGGAAAAGGTCTTTTCGTCAGGCATCCCCGTTCCAGGGACATGAACCTGAATTTGGCGAATTGAATAGATGCCGCAGAAACTGGGTGTTGTGTAGCTACTCACTGCATCCGCACCGATATATCCTAGATACCAAAAGACAAAGTATTCGCCACCGGAATCAATGACACGTCCGTTACGTGACTTCGGTGCCCACGAATCCACGGTGATGTACAAAGGCTCGCTATTCAGTCTAGGTCCGTTCGAAGAAGCGCTCGGGTCTTGTGGTGATAGTGGTTGGTGAGTCGGTTTGAAAAGGCGCATATGTTCGGCTTTATATCCTGACTGGACGAATACATGAACGAAGAAGAAAGAGAAGAAAGGATTTGCCACAGACCTCCTCGTACGCCTCTCGAAGCGCGGTCTGTTCCAAAGACTCGCCCAAGTCTTTCCGCCCTCGTGGTAGAAAGTACTCCTTGGTGCGAGAATCGTACACGACGACAACTCTGTTCGAGGATGGCTGTAATATGACCATGCCTGCGCCTAATAGGAAGTCCTGGGAAGCAAATCCACTGTAAGGTACGGCGGGGCTGCTCCATGAGGAGAATATGTGTGGTTGAGGTTCGGCGAGAGGGACTTTTTGGAGCTGAGAAATGACGTTCCCAGCCATGGTTGACAGTAAGTCTGAAAGGGGTTCGCCATGGTGGTGACGATTTCTATTTCTGGTCACGAGCTACGGTGTGGCACAGATCGGTTAGTATTACTAGTGAAGGGACGGACACGTGATATGATAAATTCATCTACAGTCGACTCTCTCATAACCCATACTCCGGAGTGATAGCTTGCATGTATAAATGAGGTAACGGCCGCTGCAACCGTTCATATTCCCAACAATAGAGGGAAGTGGCCAGGCACCTCAATCCTACAAGATTGCATGTTAGACAAATCAAACGGGAGAGGTGACTTGGACCACCGACGTACCGTAGGGTCGTTTAGAAGCCATCCACAAGGGCCGGTTGATAGCAGGTGGGTAAGTCGAGGGATGAGATCATGGTAGATTATGGATTTCTGGCGTCCGGCTATATCGGATAGGTAGTATATGTATGCGGGACTGAGGATGTAAATATCCTGGGAGGCGATGGGGACATAAACAGCTTTCCACGTCCGGCTGATCCGAGGGCAAGTCATCATGAAGGACTGTCGACAGAGGGCATTTCAGAGTGCCATAGCTCATATACGATTATTTCCACAAGCTCTGGAGGTAATGTGGTAACAGGAGTATGTAACGGGAGGAGAGCGGATTAGGCGCTAATGTATAAAAAGGGCAATGGTTCAAATATAACCTCACATGATCTGATACTGCGAAGTGCATCTACTTCATACTACATTACAGAAACGTTTCAACCCAGCAGGACCAGCATGTATTGAAAAAAGAAAAGCATAGAGGTATCTTATATATCTCAGGTAACATTCAGTATGACTGTTATACACAGATTGACGTTTTCTCGTCAGGTCATCTCGTGAGCAAAAAAAAAAAAGAAAGGTGATGTCCATGAAAATTTGTCTTGAATTCACCTTCTTACGGTTTCCTGCTACTCTGCACTGGCATCCATGGCGGCCTCCTTCCGGTCCACGGGATCTGATACCGCACCTTCCACAGCAGAGTCGAAGCTGCCCAAACTCTCGTCGCTTTCACTTTCTTCCCCGTCGACGGTCAAGGGAGGCGTCACACTGGGGCTGACTTCCTCTGCTTCTTCTCCTGAGAGCACCTGCCATAGCTTATTCAAACCGACAATTCCCCTTTGCCCATGTCTCCATGGGCAGCCCTCATCCGGCTCCAACAGACTTTTGTTGAACACCTCCAAGCTCCACCAGCCGTTGAATCCGGTCTCTTGCACCAGTTTGGTCATCTGGACGACTGGAAGGAAGCCGAGGTAGCCGGTAGGAAGATTGGGGTTGGACGTATCTGCTATCGAGAGTTCCACGTCCTCGGGCAAAGGCTCGCAGGGAAACAATCGCGACCCGCGAGACCAAGTCATCCTCCGAGGTGCGTCCGGGCCGTCGAATATAGGTTGCGAGGGTCGGGCGGCGTCAGCGAGCTGATACAGGAATATCCTGTCTCCGGGGATCGTTCGTGACATCTTCTCGAGATTATCCATCATTTTGGCTAGCGTCTGCTCTGCTCGAATCGATGATTCGGTTGCTGGGTCGGCGTATTGGTTGCCGCTATTAAGATAGATGAGTGATGGTGCTTATCGTAACGATAGGGTGAATCTTACAGGGTGTTAAAGGAATCGAGGATGATACCGACATTAGGAAGATTTACTCGTTGAACAACGTCCCAGACGAGCTCCCAGTTATCTACGACAGTTCCCCAGGATAAAGGTTCGTAGCCTATCCTGACGCCATATGTCGTTGCAAGCTCACCGAGGCGATGGAAGGCATCTGCCTGAGCATCGAGGTACATCTCCACAGTGTAGGTATCGGTGATCGGATGAGGCCCAGGAACATGGTTGGAACAGACAAGCATGAGATCGCATTGGAAGTACTCCATCAATCTCAGCCAGCGCTCTGCGCTATCCAACCCCGCTTGGACGTCTGACTCAGTTTTGAAGTTCTCGAAATTCCGTAGAGGCTGCACGATGGGTATGGTGAGATTATGAGAAACGCACAAGGCGGTGATGACCTTAGCGCACTCGCGCTCGAGGTCGGGGGTAGGTAAGGAGCGCGGGGAGAAGGGTTCGCAGAAGAGATGGTGGTGCTGGCGGTCGATGACTTCGGCTACGAAGCCCTCGAAATCAACCATGAAGATTTCGATGCCATCGTAACCGAGACTAGAGGCGACTTCGATCTTCGTTGGCAGGGAGTGGTATAAGTGCGAGCCCAGCGAGAGACTCGCAATCGCGAACTGTGGTCTGGGCATGGCTTGGGAAAGGAAAGAGAGTGGTAGAGGACAGTTTCCTCTTTTTGATCGTCGGAATGGGATTTTTCCTCTAAGGATGATCCCTATTCCGTCGTTTGATTGGACCCATGAGGGCTGACAGATCATCCTACAGCCATGAGATGCAGTTTCATGGATTTTTACGTTGTATCAGTGTCATGACATTGGAGGACGATGGAGGATGAGGGGAATCGAGGCTCAACCGTGTTATCTGTTCAGATCAGGGACGTTTTCTTCCGTGCCATTTAAATCCGGCGTTCAAAATGCAAGTGGATCGTTGGAGCCTTAGCGTCATTCAGTACTGATCATTGCGTCGTAGATTGAATGAACTCAGAATTCAATGTGGAGAAGAGCGGACCGCTGGGTCTCTTCAATGTCAGTTTGGGACGTTGGCCCAGTACTACAGATGTGGGCAGACTATCCAAAAATCCTTTTGTATCATCTTCTTCGTACAAAAAAATCATTCATTTCTTTCGATCCGCTTGTTAGGACTATCTTTCTTCTTTTCGAGCCAAACTTAGTTATGATTGGCCTGTGGGAATCTCTGATCCAAATTCGGTATTGCCGACGGCAGGTCACGTGGCCGTATAATCAGTTTTTTCGCCTGAGCGCGTCTTGTCCAACAGCCACCATCTACAAACCCAAGTTTCTCTCTAGCCTGCCCAGCTTTCTCGTCTTTCTCGACCTTTCACGCTTCGGGTCCCTTTTCTCTTCGTGCTGACTTTCTCTATGCCTGTGTCCTGCCGCCCAAGCCACAGACATTCATTGTGAATGTTGTCTAACCCTAAGTCTCTTTAGTCTGCCATTTGACCACGTTTTCACTTGAGAAACACCGTTTTCTGTTGCCAATGGCTATAAGAGTAACTACCGAAAGGGCGTGGCGTCGGGGTGTAAAGTGGCTGAATGCGTCGCGTTGGTTATTTTGGGTGTTCGCGGATCTCTACAGGCATTCTAGCCAGACGTTGACACTCGTGCCCATGCATTCTTATCGCATCTCCGGAAAGTGCTCGTTCGCTCGCCCGTCTTCTTTGGCACTCTTACGTACCGAATCTCGCCTGTGTTGCCTCGGGATCCCGATTCACTGCATGGCGCGTCATGACCCACTGGCGTACAAGATGTCCCTTCTTTATTTTGGGGTCAGGCGTCATGCATGTGAAGAGGGAAGGCAATACTGGAAACGCGGAATTCACTTTCAAGTGCAGAAGATGGCGTAGTTGGAGCGCCAGAGAAGCGTCGCGGAATCTTTGTGAGTGTTACAGACAGAGTCGAGTGGGTTCCACACAGCCGTAGAGATTCACTATGCAAGCATTTGGGATAACCGCTGGGCATCCGTACTGGTCTCCAAGATCTTCTTCGCCCCATTGTTACTCCGCGACTTGCGATTCTTCCACGCCAGTGAGATTTATTTGTCGCTGGTCCACCACTTCCCCACTGTCCCGGCTTCATGATAGTTTCATTCCTTTCGGGGATAAAGTGTCCGTACAGGTCTCTGGCACCTCCTTTTCCGCTGGTCTGTCCTCGTCAGGGGGCAAGTCCAAATCCCGGTGATGTTTCCTGTGGATTTAGTTTCCCTCGATCGCCGTGGGTCACTGCGGTGTTCCTTGCTGGTTGTGACTATGTAGGGACATCACAGGAGAGGCTCAGAAGCGTCGGCGTGCGCATCGAAATCCACATGGCCTACGGTGGCATGGTTACATTGACAATTCTGGAGTGGGTTCTTCTACAAGGAGATTTTCAAGAGGAACATACAGGAAAGCGAGACTGCTGGACTACGCACGCGGAAGTGGCTTTCGTAGGTGATATGCCATGGCACGGCATGATACTGGTAGCTCCGGGGGAGGTGTCTTATCTTTAGAGATGACGGTTCTGTTCGCGCCTCGATTACCAAAGTCCGCCCTCTTCGGTTTCTGTGCTTCTACTACAAGAAGGCGGATGCGACGTTTTTGGCTAGGCTGTAGTAAGCCGCTTTCCTTCCTTCTACGCTCTGTCCGGACGCGGTGATTTGTGAACGAGGAATGGTGGCCCCGGGATTCGTGTGCTAGGCAGGTGTATGGACCAGGATGCTTTCACTACTTTGATGGCTTTAATGACCGAATAGAGGACCGCAAAGACATAGTCTCTTGAGCCTCCTTTGATTCCTCGCTTAGTCTGTTCTTCCACACCGAGACTTGTCAATGCCTTCCTTTGTTTCTTAGGAGAGCGAACTAACTATCCTTGACCCAAAAACTGGCAACCTGTTGGCGCATCTTTAGAAACCTCGGGCTCCTGTGGTCGCGGCGTTCGTTAGCCCTCTGTTGTGCTCTGTTGTTCACATTGATAATTGTTACTCCCGCGGGATGTTTCAATAGAGTTTTGTGCTCGAGTGTCAATGGACAGTCCACGGAGCGCTGACGAGGGTTGCGGTGTTGTGACTGCGGTGATGCGTGTGGTAGACGGGGTGTGTTAGGGGATGCTCTTGGCGAGATGTTTGTTTCCGCTTCTTTCGGAACTTGGAAGGTGCAGTCTGCGGTAGCATACAGGAAGACGGAATGAGTGAGAGGGCAAGGCAGGATCGAGGCTAAAGAGTGGTCCTGTACTTGCGAGAAGCCCTTGGGGTACGTGGTTGATCGTTCTGGTATCCTTATTTGTCGGATTCTGTGGGATTGTCATATACTCGTTCACGTATGGGCTCTGTGGTAGATGGATAGTGCGAGCGGAGGGAGGGTAGTTGGATACCTTGCGGTTGCTATCGGCTGCGAGGTATCTGACGCTGAAGCGAAAGTGGTCGAACGGCATGGTTGGTGCGACGTCGTTGAAGAGGGATGTTTCATGAACTCGAGAGTGGATGTCAGGCATTCCGGGATCAACGTGACTGAACTGTGGATATCTTCCCTGGCGCTTCGACGTTTTTGGAGAGGATACTTTGATGTCCGAAGATCCAGAGTTGAACGTCTTGATAATTTTTGGAATTTTATTGATTACCTTCGTGGTGATTTGCCTGTGCTTTCCTTCCTAGAAATAGTGAGACAGGTGAGCTTTGTGTCATGGGACGATTTCTATTTCTGACTATTTGCAGGAAGCATGGCAGCTAGTGTGAGATAGGGAACGGCCCAGCCACCCTTTGCGCACTCTGATCAATGTACGCACATTTCTGACGGACTTGTCGTTGGGTATAAATGGTGATGTCCCTTTGCTTTCCCAAGCCTCTTTGCCCAAAAGACAGAATTAGGTCGATTAAGGATTGTGAGGAGAGTGGAACGGGTATTTTTGATATATTCGAGCCCGAAACCCTGAAGAGTGGGAGATGAATTAGCTGTGAATGTAAAAGCTAAGGCGGTCAAAGGCAAGTCGTAGACTACAACACGAACAGTACAGTAATAGTACAACACATAATAAATCCAACCAATAATTATATCTTTAAAAGGAAAGGTAAAGGATTACCCCGTCATCCCCTCAAATCCAAAGCTCTTCCCCCAGAGCTTCTCGTCCCATTCGCCATCCCAACTCAAGGCATCTATTGTACCAGAGCCTGCTGGATCTTGCGCCCAGCCGGACGAGAAGATGTTGACAGTCGGGTCGAATATATCCTCGGGCAAGAACAATGGCGAAACCGCGACGCCGTCCTTATTCCAATCCATCATAGCCGTCGGCGCGTACAGCCCGTCCGACGCGTACACGGCAGTAGATTCCTCCCTTTTCCCAAGCAGGTTCCTCACCGGGTGGTCCTCCTCCTTGTCTCGCTTCCGCTTGGTCCCGTCGCCTTCGTTTTGGGGGTTCAGCCCTTCGACGTCCATGAGCCGGTCCAGCCTTCGCCAACATCGCCTCGCAAGCTCCCACGTCCCGCCAATAGTTTTCAGCGCCTCTGCGCAGTTCATCAGGTGTAGTTGGGTCTGCAGACGGAGAGTCGGTCGGACCGATAGCTTGTACCCGGAGAGATGGGCGATCGCAGTGGTGAATATAAGGTATATCATCGCAGGATTTGACTGCGCCAGGGAGGAAGGGTTCACTGTGAGTTTGTCAAGAAGAACGTTGAATGTTGACGCAGCATCAAGGAATGCTGCGTGTGTCGTTTTGTCTTTGAAACTATTTTCGATTAGGATGCGGGATGAAAGAGTGATAGGTATAAGGACTTACAAGGGTCGATAGAGTAGGATGATGGCCACTTGGTGGAACATGTTGATCTCCAAGACCCTGCGCTCTGGTTGATGGCCAAGAGATATACGAAACTGGACAGGAAGGTCGTGATGCCACCGATCAAGCTCCCCCTTGAGCGCCTCCATAGGGTTTCCAGCCGGAAATTCGAATCCAAGATAAAGGTGCAGATTGATACGAGAAACGATTCGGCATAATGAAGACGTCTGAACAAATAGGTCGTCTGAATCGTCCACGACGCCAGGGGGTGGACGAAGGGCATCGACAATTCCTGGAGGTCGACCAAGCTGCAAAGAGAGAAGAAGGTCGAGAGTCAGACATACACCCCACACTTCTGATGTTGGTTTTAACTCGAGTTCCTGTGCCATACGCACGGCGAGACCTATGAGTAACCATGCTTGGCCCTCAGACCCGCGTCCATGGTCTCGCAGCGCAAGCAACAGAAGTGTCTGAACGCTCTCAAGTCGGCTGCCCTTCCGTAGAAGAGCACTCATAGCAGCGCGTGCCTGCTCATACCATAAATCGGCGGCAATTTTGCTCGGATCACCTCCAAAAACAGTCAAAGCCGGATTTGACGGTGACAGCCGGCCAGCATAGGCACATAACGCGAGCATGAGGCATGTTGTGCCTTCCGACACCGTAGGCGCTGTGAGTTTCGGCTCGATGAGATGCCGTGGAGGTAGCAAAGGATAACTGGGGTGTACGTGTGTATAGTAGACGTCAACGAGATTGGTGAGAATATGCTGAGGAGGTAGATCAATTTGCTCCGTTGGAGGGGGAAAATCAGGTTTGGATGACGGTGACATTGCTTCAAAATCAGCGGAGCGCCAGTAGCTGCCAGTATACGCTGGATTGGACTCGTCTGGGAGCCCTTTGTAATCTAGGTCTGTGGCCATCTCCACGTCAGGGGGTGTGGGCACAGGAAAAGCATTTGAGATCGGGGATGGGTATGATAGCAAGGGCGCTCTGGAGGTCGTAGGAGATGTTACAGGAAAGGGAAAATCAATGTCTTCGCGTGGCCATGCGGGTGCATCATACTTTTTGAGCTGGGGAGGTGGCGTGTGTGTACGCTCAAAAGACTCGCGCGACATGGAATAGCTAGGAAGATTATAAGACAAATGAGGTTGCTCGTTGGTAGGCGATGGCGTCGTCTGCATGACAGTCGGCGAGTGCGAATGACCATTGGCCTTGGCATGATAGAAGGTCGGCTGTGAAGGTGTCGAAGGTGACTGCTGCTGTCCATTCCCTGACTTCAAATTGGGATTCGGCGGCGGCAGCAAAGGCTTGGCAAATGTCTCCTGGTCGGTCCGCTGGGCGAACGGGGCAAAGGTATTTGTTAGATCATCGAGGATCTTGGCAGCATCTGTACCGGTCCAAACGACCTTGTAGGCGTCCCACACATCCTGGGTGCATGTCTTACTCTCCGTATGGAGAACCTCCACGCACTGCAGGCATATATCGGAGAATGACACAGTCCCCCGAAGTTTGAGGATACAAAGACCGAGCAGAGTCTCGAGCAGTGTCACTCGTGTCTCCGTGTAGCGCAGATAGCCAGAGGGTGGGCCCCGACGACGAGGCTCGCGCGAATAGGAGCATTCGACCTTAGTTTCTTTGCAGAAAAAACAGGGATCTAGGCCGTCGCACTAGGAAGCATTAGAGCACCTCTGCTGGCACACGGATAGGATGAACGGACCTTTTTCCGCTTGAGACGACAGGTGTTGCATGCTACGTAAGGGAAGTCAAAAAAGGGCGTGGCGAGGAAAAAAATGTCGAACCTCTAGAGACCTTCTTGTTCGTTTTTTCTGGAGCAGGTGGCGGGTTCATCTTACCCCGCAGTGTGGAGGTATGGGGTACAGAGACGGTCTCGGAGGGAGGTTGTTCCCAAGCAAACTGAGGGAGAGGGTTGTTCCAGATCCTCTCTTGTTTGCTGACTCATCACCACGTGTCGGAGTTCAAATGTTTCTCCACATATTACCCCGGAGAGGGATATCGCTCTTCAAAAAGGTATATCCGGTCTCTAATTCAAATCCACTGTTTTGTACGGTTTCTAGTAAGGCTTGTTATTATTCATATGGACCTTGCGGTATTTTATTTTTGGGTTGCACCGCTGGCCATGTTCTTCATCGGTACCGCATGTACCGCTACGTACCATGTGCGGTAGATTCGCGGGAAGATAAATGAGTTACCCGCGGTCGCTGTCAAAACATACGGGTCTCTAAAAAAGTTAAGTAGCTAGTTGAGTCCCGGTCAGTGCTCTAAGGGGTCGTAGTACTCCTTTATTCATCCCCTCCCCTCCAAATAAATGTCGTGACGATGAAGAAATTTCAACGGATGTTGGGGACATAGCAAGCTATCCAAGAAAACTTGAACATAACTCAGTCGTTTTGCTTGAATAAGGTTCCAGATCCTACCAAGATACCGATTGGCGAGATGCGCGGTGAAGATTCTGAACGAAGGGTACGAGGACGGTAAATAGCGGAAGGCGGAAGAGGGAATTTGCCAGGCTACTAAGGCTCATAAGAAGCAAGAAGAGATTATTATTCTTAGGCAGGTCAGTAGGATATTTTAGCACATGCGCCACAAACCATCTGTGTACGTTCGTCGCGTATTCGCCATTTTCGCACTCACAAATATTTCTTTGTACGTCGCATTGCTACAAGTAACATGTCGACATGGCCTTTCCTCGGAAACGTCCTTATTAGTCAAACCCGCACCTCCGTCCAGCATCGTGCCATCCATCTCTGTCGCGTTTCTCAACATCGTTGCCAATGCATCTTTCGGCCGCTTCAGCGCAACTTGGATTGGAGGTAAACTAAACGTCAGAGGTTGGATAGGAGTTGTTCCAGGGCCTCGAATCGCCCTTCCGGGTGGCCGGCCCGGGGGGGCTCAAGTTGGCTCCGCGGAAGAATCTAAACTCCATCCCGTTTGTGCGGGCTCCCGTGGGTTCCTGACCATCCCCAAGCGTCAGTAAAAGAATGAAATTAACAGGATACACTACTTTTTATAGATTACATATATACAGCTTGGTGGTACAGAGAGAGAACGGTATCGATGCAGCTACCAAGACTGAAGCATGCCTTGAGCACATTCCTACGAAGCCAAAGGTCAGACAGACGCTGCAAAGGACAGAAAGTTAATACAAACCCTCAGCCTTCCCAGGTTATGCACAATCGCCACATTGACCATCGTCCTAAGTTTCCGTCGCACATCCCCCTTATTCAGTGTATACTGATACGCTCCCGAACACTGGCAAAACTTGGATACGTTGTCAGATTGTATCTGCCGGCACTTTGAGCATTTCAAATCCTGCAGTGCAAACGACCTCTCCATATCGAATAGCACCTTCATCAGCATGAACTCAATAGCTTGCCGATCGTACTCCCCATGGCAAGTCAAGCAAATCCACCTCTGCGAGACGTCGAGGTTATTCGGAAGCAGGTCGGGATCACGACAGAAGTCAAAGTCGCGCAGGGCATCACAATGCCTACAAGGGACGTTGGAGAGGATGAGCGGTTCGCAGGGGTTACGGAAGATGGCATCATTGGCGAATTCGCGTACCCCGATAAGATCGAGTAGATTCCGCTTTAACAAGCCAATTTCAACCTGATAATCCTTGGCAAGTGCGAACACCGCACAAATGAACTTGACAAACTCCAAGACAGGGTCGGAGAGCTGGAGGTAAGAGCCGGGGAGAACCGGAAAATCGAAGCCGTCCATCAATTCTTCATTCAGCATAGCCTCTCTGTGCCGTTCTTGCACGGTTCTCACCAGCTTGAGCAGTTTCCTGGTTAGACGTCGCGCGATGAACTCTTGCGTCGACTCTATTTCGCTCTTTTTGGTGACATCCCGTTGACTGGACTCAGGCGCACCGTTGCGCAGCGCACGTAGAGGTGCCCGTGATACCTCATGCGTTTGCTGCCGGATCTTGTACAGTTCTACCACGAAGAATTGGATGGCGACGCCAAAGTCCTTCTGGATGGCCGGAGGAAGGAACTCTGCGATATTCCAGTCGTTCTCCAACGTCAGCTCTTCAGGGGGCTCTAAGGCGAGAGGATCTTCGCATACGATACCTCCCATGTTGGCCTTGTCCATGAATAGTAGAAAGTCATAGAACTTATCCGTTTGCAGGTAAATGTGTTCAAAGAGTTCGTGGGATGTGACGGCGGTGTTGATGTATGTCGCATACGCATGGGCTGTACCAGGAGGCTTGGACGTGGAAAGAAGTATGCGGCTGAAATCGGCATAGACGACATGCGAGCCCAGGCGCTTAAATTCTGCCAATAGCTGGATGAACGTCTTCCGCATGAGGCCATGGACGAAGCGATGGAGGTTGGGATCGTAAAGCTGCGACGCGCTTGAGCTCGTCCATCGCCAGAAATGGTCGATTGTTACAGACGGACTCTCAAGCTCGCCATGGATTTTGTCAAGCAGCCACGTTTTCACCATATTCCTCAGAATGCTAAACGTCTGCGCAGATATATTCGACTTGCCCAAGGTGAGATCTCGCTGTCCTTCACCGTTCTTGTACTCATCCAGTGTCTTGGACGCAGAATCGAAGGCGGTCGATCCACCAGTCCCCTCGAGTTCGTTAATGACGACGGAATGTAGGACAGAATTGACGGCCAGGTTTCGAACGCTAATTTCGAGACAGACATTAGAGTAACATCCAGCTGATTGGAACTCCGTGGTGGGGAGCTCCTCAGATAGTCTCTGGTCATTCTCGATACCACCGAGATCAGGCTGTTCCCCAGGTGACCACCAGAGTATCATGTCGTTCTGGATGAGGCGGCGGGCGAATGAGATGTCGGAAAGAAGGAGGGGCTGGTCGCCCTTAATATGTCCGATGGGGACATCGTAGTAATCCGCGAGTGATATCATACGGTCAAGCCATGATCCCAGCGAAAGATACCGATTCAGCATCTTCTGTGCGACGTGAGTCTGCCATGGAAACACATCCAACGTATGAGGGCCCCGAGCTTTGGTCATTGAGAGTACAGGAAATTTGGACAGCTTCGGAAGCAATCGATCAAAATATGACTGATCTTTGCTCGAAGAGATGACAACGGTATATGACTTGTCTTCCATCAAGCCAAACTCGCGCGAAATAGCTTTGAGAGCAGTAGAATCGGTGGAATGATATGTAGTAGTAAATTCACGAGTGTCCTCGTAACTTATAGAAGGAGAAGTCCCGTATTTTTGCTGTCTTTTCTGCTTCAAGTCGGCATAGGTCGCCTCTAATTTGGATATAGGCTGACGCCGTGTTGCTGGATCAACGACATGAAGTTTGACGGGACCCGTCGGCGAGAAGGTGGCAAATACATGCAGTGGGGCAGTCGCAGAGCACGCGTGATAAAGGAATATATATTTGCTGCCAATTCCCCCCTGTAGGTATTTTCGGGAAGCAGAAGTCGAATGAGTCGCGCGATCGAGTTGGTGAAGGTCGAAACCAACGGTCTGGCCCCGGTTCAGAGTCATATTGGGGTCTTCAACGGTACATGACCTTCCCAATTTGAGAACACCTCGGACAACGAGAGGGACCTTGCATAAGCATTAGTATGCGTCTTGACTCAGAGCAAAATACATTACCTGTTCTTCGAATACTCCATCAACATTAGGATCATTGGCAAGATCAATGAAGTGCTCATGGATGTCAATGTAAACATCTTCACGAACGGACAGCTGGTAAAGGTTCGTTGACGGACGTTCACGAGGTAGACTGCGTGTGACTTTCTCAAAGGTATAGAAATCAGGTCGAAAGATGTCCTCCTTGGGATTTCTGAGATGAATATACATCTCTCTGGGAATTCGTAAAGGCGCTGAGACGACCTCCCCATCGACAGACAACCATAGAATAAACCGACCGGCAATCTTACTCGGGCGAATTTGTAATATGTCCCAAGTGCGACTCGTCTTGACTTTGACGCCTCGGAACATGGATGGCACGACTGGTGCCGAAGTATTCCATCGGATATCCTGCCGTTGCTTCCAACGAGGACGCATCGCCTTAATCCAGGTGGAATAATTGACGGAGGGATCTGGTATTGCAAGAAGAGTCTCTTCTTCAACCTCGGGCTCCGGCATCTTCGGCCGAATTGTGCGTTTGACAACTGCAATACGAATACGCTTGCTCTGCGTCTCTTCTTCCCCCATATCTTCAATGTCCCGAGGCGGCAGAGGCTGTGATTCCTCTTCAGTAGCAGGTTTGAAGAAATCGGTGAGTTTGTTTTGCTTGAACTTGTCACCCGCTACAGCCACTCGTCTATGAAGCCAGTCGGGGTGGCGTATACGAGGAACAGGATTAGGAACCTTTTGCATAGCAGCAGGTATCGTTATGAGTTTTTGGATTACTGATCCCAGACGCTCTATGTAGTACTGCCAATCCAAGATCGACCGTAGGTCAAAGTTGACTAAGCTGCTATCTTTGAGCCATTTGCGAAGGTAGGTTCTCTTGACGCCTTCCTCCGCCGAGAAAATCGCAACCGGGACAGCACGCTCCGTGACAGGCGCTCCGATTGGACGTTCTGAGATAATAAACTTGCACGCAAGACCCTTGTCCTTCACCATCTGATCGCCAAGGAATTCCGCAAGACGACGAGCAGTACTAATGGACGTCGACTTCTGTCCACCATATTCAGCAAGGGTCTTGGACATACTTCGGTTCTCTGCGATGAGCTCAACAAGCTCCTCGTCGTCAAGACTATCGGCTTTACTGAAGAGGACGTCGAGCCATTGATCGGCCACCCCCGCGACTGCAGTATAACATTCTTGCGTGGTGATGCCAAGCAGGAACTTCTCGAAGATCTGGGATTGGAAGATCTTGATCAACTGAAGCTCCCCGCGCCGCTTCACTTCGAAACCTTTTAACTCGGCCAATGACCCATCGTCGTTAAAAACGGCGTAACGTTTCTTCAACAATTTATCTTCCTCCTTCGAAGATGGTAGGATCATGGCCTTGTAAGGACCATCGAGTTCGAAGAAGATCGAGTTCTCGCTGTGGATCTTATACTCGCCCGTTTCGGGGTCCAAATCGTGGTACTGATGATTGGTGAACTTCGCGTGAACGAGATGATTCAGCATAGTACAAGGGTAGGAGAATGCGATGGCTTTGCCATTCGCGAGTTGGAACTTGAAATTCTCCGGGAACACGCCAGGTAGCATACACCAAATTCCATCAGTATCCAGCTCGAGCGGACGTCCAATCTGTTCGACGAGGGCCCGCGCCATTTGGATGATTGTCGCACCAGTAAGGCAGGTGATACCAGCCATCTCCATCGAATGCCATCGGGCACCCTTTCGCATGACGTAACCGTAGAATGAGTTCAAAATGCACTTGTGAGCGAGCTGCAAAGAGTCGTACAATACAATCATCTTCTTTGCCTCGTCAATCTCAGCTATCGACTTCCCGCCACTGATCGCTGAGTCCAAGTTCTTCTTCCAGGTCTTGTGAAGACCTTTATACTCGTAGCGACGGTCACGGAACCTTCGAACGGTATCAACATAAAAAGGATTCTCCCTCTGACAAATGATGGCCTCGCGGTTCTCGATCTTTGTGTCCTTCATCTTCTTATAGACCTTGCGGGAGTAATCGCCGAGTCGCTTGTGGAGCAAAGCTGTTTGCTCTGCGGGAGAGAGATCGGGAAAACGTCTTTGGGGTTGTCCAGGACGCTTTGGCGGGAATGTTTCCTGGTTCAGGGCATGCCTGATCATGTTGTATTCGTCACGATGAGCAGGAAAGAACTCTCCTCTCCAGGCCCATTCCAATCGTCGGTCACAAGTCTTTCCCGGTCTGTTATAATCGCAGACTGCGCAGACAGATTCATCGACCATGGAGTCTGGCTGCAGTCGATTTGACAACATGATGTTAGGATACATCGCCGCAACGTCCAAGTGATAGATGAGTGGGTTGTCGGTGCGCTTCGGATTGTCCCTCATGACTTCCAGAGCAGCCTGTATCTCCGCCTTTACTTCGTCATAGTTTGTCACGTCATCCATAGACGACTTAGACTCTTCGATGATACAAAAGGTCAAGGCCGCGTCGAGTTCATCAATCAACTGCACAAGTTAGTTAACATCCAATCTGTAATGCATCCAAGTAGACCTTGTACCTGTTGTACGGCTGCAGGCACAACCTTAAAATCGGTCTGGATATCACTACGGAAGACACCAGCTTCCAAAGCTTCGACGTGTCCACCGACATATGTTTCAGAGGCTAGAAGGTGACCATCATACATATGACCGTGTACTTCTTCATGTCTGTTTGGCATGATGATTTCGCCTCGATAAGCTTCAACCTAACGAGAAACGTCAAAACAAAGAGCGAAAGAAAACCATGGACTTACCATTAGCAAGGTCTCGCATAAAGTCCCAGTACCTTTGCGCAGCACCTCATCAGGACAGAGCGGAATGATGTTACAGAGAGAGAATATGAAGGGGTGGACGTATTTCATATACAGATAATATGTGGCAACAGCATCAGAAACTGAGTATTGGGCCAAGACTTGAGGTTGCTCCATGGCATACCTAAAGCGTCATAAGGGCATGCTCTTAACACTGGAGCAAAACACGTACGGAGTCATTAGCTCGGGGTCCAACTCTATAGGATTGTATCCAAGCTTCGCAGTGGTCACTGCTTTTAAACCTTGACTTCCTTGGGGAAGATATGAATCTCGTTTCACCCATCGGAAACAATCCATGTGCACACATGTACGGCTCTTATACTCATCCTCGGCGTCTTTGGCAAAACCGGTCTGAAGGAACATGTCAATTCCATTGGCCTTTGACCTCGCATCCAGAAACGGAAAATCGAAGAAGTCTCCGTTAAAAGTTGCCATAACAGTCGGTTTTATGTCTTGTATATGAGAGAAAAACCGATTGATAGTAGCGGCCTGGAGTTTCTCAACGTCAAAACGATCCAATGAAACGAAGACGGCTACAGACCTCGTTTTCTTCGTTGAATATTATAAAAGGCCCCTCATATCCTTCTTTGGGAGTGTACTCGAAGTCTTCGATATCTTCACTGACAATTTCCCTATTCGTGATCAAATATCCTTGTCCGTCTACCATATAAGAGATCATCATTACTTGGTCGATGGCCTGGTCGGGGAACTTCAGTGGGGCCTTCGTCGTCTCTATATCATAAGCCATGACGACAGGATCCGCACGCTTAACACGCTCGGCAATGTGACGAAAAGAAGGCTGACCTGCTGTGAATGTCACGGCATACCACAAACCAACGCGGATGTCGATGTCGATAGCGACACGAAGATAGTAGGGGACATCATATTCCCTGATGTCAATGATGCACTCCCGAGGGTCCATATCGCGCACCCTGGGCCCCTTTCCCCCAAGCCCTTCCAATTCCCCGTCAAGCTCTACGCCCATACTTGCTCCACCCGCAGCTGCACTGATAACTTCTGCATAAGCGTCGACGGCATCGCGTTTGGAGCCATTTTCTAGAGCGAGAGGCAGGAGGTCTCGCCTGACGGCTAGGAGGTCTGACACATTTCGAAAGCAGAGCTGAAGATAGAGACGGTAATGACCCATGAGATGATTGGGAAGTTTCAAGTCCTCTTTGCGCTCGCGCGAGATTCGACAAATGAGTCCCTCGTACTTCTTAGTTAGCCACTCTTCGATAGTGGATTCAGTTCCACTCTGCACTTCTGTGAGATTCTATTTGCGCACAATACAGAGAGTTTACCTTGCACGCGATGCAGAAGTAGGGTTCGTAGGCATAAGTAGCCTTGAACATTCCGCCATCATCTTGAATGAAATAATAATCAACCACGGCTTTTCCAGAAGGCCAGTCTGGATCCTTGAGCAGTGTCTTAACAACGTATGTGAGTGAAAATCCTGTAACACAACGTAGAACACGCACGGGATGCATATTGATCAGCCAGCCCTCCTTCATTCCACCCTCCTGTATTCTGGCAAAACCAAGCTTCTCATCAACTTCGTCATTCAAAGCAATCTTTTCGAATCTCTCTGCCAATTGTGTTCCATCGTCCTCGCGTTTTGGGGCAGGTTCACCAGGCTTGCTGCCACCTCTGCCACGTCCACGGCCGCGCCATCCACCACGAAAACCTGACCGGAACGAGCCTCCACCTCTACCACGAGACGATGTGAGCCCAAATGTACCGCGTCCTCGAGCCATGTCAAGGTCGTCGAATATGGAATTGCTTAGGGAGAAAATGCAGAAAATGGCATGAAGGTTTGTGACGAAGGAGATGAACGGGCACGTGATGTGACCGTCGCGACGTCCAGCTCTTTTCTTCTCTTCATCTTACAGACATAGCTTCTCTCGGCTCAGGCTTCCGGCTTTTATGTTGCTTTCGTGCCTGTCAGAAGCCTGAACGCTTGGAAAAATGTTACGAATTATGTGTTTCACAGCCGCCTCATACTCTCACATCTTGTCAAGAGCTTCGACATCATGCGTATGACTGGATCAATCTACTAACCCCTCTAACTCTAATATCCGGCGCATTGTACCCCGAATCCGCCAATATTTTCACTTTCTTATAATGTTTCCCGAACATGGATACCTCGAGCCAAAAGCAGCATGAGTGGCACCTCCTGATACAGAGGTGTAACCTCTGCTCCATTTTATGGCGTTCACTAAATACACTCGCTGTAGTCAACTCGATTCTGAAGGCATTCACCATGACAAGACATTGGACCCGAATCTGATGGTACATATAAACGCAACGGCGCCCTCCCGATTATAGCAGGGCCTTGGACTAAAGCACACCTATTTCAGAGAAATGTCTCCTCAACTTTCCCGGCACCGAGGCTCATGAGTCTCACAATGTCCTCCCACACCCTTCGTCTCAAAGTTCATCTTTCGCCTTTGGTGGGTACTCAGTGCGCTCTATATGATCAAAAACGGGCATCCCTCCGTCTTAGTCCCACACGACCGATGTATCATATGTTGCAGGTATGAGTACGGTTTTAGCACCCTCCGCTGGACTCCGCTGCTTCATTCCCCATGTTGCCTCGAGATCGACTGGCTGTAAATTCTCTTCGTGCATATCCTTCTTCCCCAGCTCAATGTCCACCAACCCAGGATGAGATGCCGCTATTCTTACCGGTGTACGGCGCGCTAGCTCGGCGCAGCACATGATGTTGAGCAATTTCGAGGTAAAGTACATGTTGTGTGCTTCTTCGGGTTTGAACTGTAGGGGGCAGAGAGCCTGGACAGGGTGAGCATCATTTGACTGGGGAAACTCGGTAATGACGGCTCCGCCACTTGTGACCCAAATCATACGGCTTGAAGCGGAGGATTTCATGACGGGGAGGAGAAGAAGGGTGAGCAGGAAGGGACTGATATGATTAACTTGCATCCTCCGAATGCGTTAGCGTCGGCACATTACGGTTCATTAAGGCGCCTTACATCAGTTCCAGCCCATCTTCAATAGTCTATTTCCTTACGATGTGCATCCCAGCGTCGTTCATAATTGAACGACTTATCTTCATACGGATCGTTGAGTCTCGTTTATGAGATTACATTGTTCACAAGAAGGTGCAATGGCATCCCTCTTGCCTTGAACGTTTGAGAGAATTCCTGCACCGAGGAGAACGAAGCCAAATCCAAATATTGGTACTCGACGGCGCTGCGCTGCCTTTCTCTTCATTTCGACAAGCTAATACGATTTTCGACGCTCCATTTTCAACAAGGTACTTGGCCACTTCATATCCGATTCCTGAAAACGGAAATGAGTGGAGATTCTATAGCGATAATGATTCACCTGTATTCGAACCAGTCACTACAGCCGCGATGCCTGATAGATCGGTGCTCTTGAGGGAGGGTAGAGGAGTAGCCTGTCGCTTTGCAGCTTCTGCGAAGTCGATACCATCTCAGTCTGTATGAAGTGCCGTCGAGTACCGGTCCAGAGTGAACATATATTAGCTCATGCTTGCTACCACAGATGCGTCACTGCAGCAACGGGACGCCAAACATAGCGCAGAGAAGAGAAGCCTAATGGTACGCATGGCAGGGCACAAGCTACCATGTAATACACGGCAAGTGGGATACGCAAGTCTCGGCACACGGCTCGGACGCGCGTCCTGGCTGGAGCGACGCGTAAATCTTGAAGCCGACAACGTATAAGATTAGCTAGACAGCATATTGTACTCATGAATGGAGTTCAGCTTTACATAACCACCCTAGTAGCTCATTTCTGGAGCGTAACCATGACCGTACCATGATAAGCGTACCCTAGTATCATAAAATCTCGGTATGATGAATCGATAGTCTCTGAAAACCGACATCAGACTCAGTTAGCCGCCAACGACCGTACTGTTGACGACCGATTCAGTTTACGCAGCCGAGACTGAGTTCTCTGATCGCAAACGGTTTACTTGAGGTCAATATGCACCATAGTATTCATGCTGACTCTCGTTGAACTTCTTCAAGTTTAGCTGTTGTACACGGGTACATCTATCTTCTGTGCGATAATTCTCTTCTCACAGGATGTGTGTGTTAACCTATTTGATCCAGAAGAGCCTGACGACTGTCAGTAGCCTCACGTCGTCGAAAACCAGGAACGGGAAAGCATGCTGACAGCACCGAAGCATTTCGGCGGACGCAAATATATTGTCGCAGAATCGACGTAGCGTATTGACAATGCTGCTCAGCTGTATTTCCTCTCGCCGAAAGTACAAAAAGAACCGAATCGATTGAAAGGTTCAGAGGGAACTAGTAACGAGTGATTAATCAGTCAATGGTACTCGAATAATAAACCGCACTGTCTCTTGGGCATTACTTACTTTTTCTGAGTTTCCTGAAGATATATCTTCAGGTAATTGTTGCTTTCTATGAGTATCTAATAATCTGGAAAAAGCTGTAAAGGCAGAGTTCTTAGGTTTAGAAAGAAAGAGTTTCAACCACCGCAGGACCGTTTCGTATTGAAAGAACTATGCTATGGTGGTGGACTCCTTTACCTGCCTGGATTCAAACTCATGCAAAAAGAAATCCATGAAGACATGGCTAAGAAGTCGTCGATGTGGACTCATAGACCTAAGTCTTGTGTTTCGATGCATGCCAGTGTGCTCAGGTTTCAAGAACCCTCAAAAACAAAGCACAAAATCATGGTACAATTCTTCACGTAGCAGCAGCGGGAAGCAAGCAAACATAGCTACAAGCCCACGGAAACTAATTAACTTACAAGGTACTACAGTGACGCTCGGGCGTACGGCGCCACGAAACCCGCTTCCCCATTGTTGTCTTCATCATCAGTAAATTCTCCATCATAACTTACGTTGGGGGGCCCTTCTCTCTCGTCATCATTGTGACTCCCGAAATCCCACACATCAAGCATGGTGGTGGCGTCCTTGTTGCTTGCGGAAACGCACCATCTGCCTTCAAATACCACCTGCCATACGCCTGTAATATCCACCAACAAGTCTCTTACGACAGTACTACCGTCACGAATATTCCACAACTTTAGTGTTCCGTCGGATCCGCTGAGGACTTTGAACTCATCGTGATGGAAACAAGTGATAGGTCCAGTGTGAGCGGCAAAAGTGCGCTTCAGCTCGCCGGTGTCCGGATCCCAGATGCGTAACGTCGTATCAGCGGATCCAGACACCAGATAGGACGGCGACAGTCCCAGAAGGGCGACTAACGAAGTGTGTCCGGTCAGAATGCGTTGGCATTGTCCGGTCTGCAGATTCCACACACGGATTGTTCCGTCCATGGAACCCGAGTACGCTTGGTTTCGTTTTGGGTCAAGGACGATACTGTACACTGTGGAACGTATTATATGTACAATGGATAACGAAAACGGCAGAGTGGTACGAACCTTTCCCAGTGTGGCCGGTCAGGATGCATTTACACTGTCCAGTGACTATATCCCAAACACGAACACTGCAGTCGTAGCTTCCCGAAACTAGAGTACGTCCCCTGGCTGCTAATGCTCGTATGGCCTGATCATGACCTTCAAGGTGTAACCTATGGTATGGATTTTCTTCGGCTTCCTGGTAGTAAAATGACATCAGGACATTGTAAAGTGGCATGCACTCCAAGAAACATACAGAGACATCCTCGGTATCCAGGTCCTCGTCCCGGATCGCTGAGACGTAACAGTGATACTCAGCTTCACCTAGCTTCGGAAGTGTCCAAACCCTCAAGGAGTGATCTCTACTTCCGGTGACAATGACAGATCGTTTGGGCCACTTCTCCTTTGTAACGACTCCGGACTCTTGTTCCACGTCTATCCACTCTGGTTTTACGATGGTTAGGCATCGTACAGTGCCGGTATGACCGCCAAATACGTGTGTACAGCGACCAGTAGTCAAGTCCCAAATCCTCACCGTACGATCCGTCGACCCGCTGACAAGGATGTCCTTACTTGCGGACAATGCCCAGACCCCTCCTTTATGTCCCTCAAGTGAGCGAAGTAGATCGCCAGTTGTAGGGCAATACACGTGAATAGAATGGTCGTCCGAGGCAGATATAATGCGGCCATGGGAAAATATCAAGCATGTTACAACAGATGAACCATGCGCGGGGAAAGATCTGTGTTTTGGCTCAGAGTTGTGGACCCATGAACCATTATCTGTCGCCATGGCAGACGCCACGGTAGAGATGGTAGAAGAACAAAATCGGACCGGAAAATCAATGTCCGACTACCCGACTTTGATTTTACATCTAGACGATCGGACGTCCGATCGGATCCTGACACAAAGTACGTGGTTTGGAAAATAACAAATTGGCATAGCAATTGTTCTAGAGATGCCCTACAAATTACACAACCAAAGCATATATTGAATATACTAGAATGAATGAGAAACTGAGTAAGGCAGAACATGTTGAATGAGTCGGTGTTCATACAAGCTCAAACATCAAAAATGGAATCCGTATTCCAACGTCACTTCTTCACAGCGGGCAGGTTAGCATTCATGAGTCTCAGAGCTTCCTGAAATTCGTTGGGAGATTCGAACTATAATTCGAGACAACCTTTGTCTTCTCTTTTTTTTTAGTCTCAACGCTCCCTTTCAAGATGACGAAAGAGCGCAAGATGTTCTGTAGAGACAAAGCGAATAAGCGGTGCTCTGTCACCATATAAACTACATTCATATAATACAAACATAGGTCATTAGGAACGACTGAAGAGGTGTAAGAAACATATGCACTAAGTCACCAGAAAGTGAACAGATATCATGATGAACATGCAAAGAAAATAAATCATTACTGTCAATACTCATCTTCCTCCTTGACACTAGCGGTCAGGCCCGTCCACCGCATTGGACCATGGCCAACATCAGTCTGGTCTACGCTCGTTCGCGGCTTGAAACTCTCCCGTCTCGCCCTCGAAGCTTTCTTCGCCAGCCCAGCAGCCCCGCTGCTGGCGAGTCTCGCCACATTGTATGACGATACCGCGCTCGCACTCCGTATACCAGTCGGGCCATAACCGCCGACACCACCATATAGTATCCCACTACTTGGGACGCGGCCATGTCCGAGGGCATGATGTTGTGTTCCAGGCTTCGGTACAGGCATTGCTATCGGTCGGGGTAGCGAAGTTGGTGCGCTCTGATATTTGGATCCAGGTATCTTCGAAGGTGATGCTGATCTTTCTGCACCGTTCCCCGCCCGAGACATGCCAAAAGGCGTTCGCTGCGGTCCTGTCGAGTCGCTGAGCTTTATTCGTTTACTGGGCACAGATTGCGCACTACTTCCTGCCGGTCGCACTGCTGGAGTCACAACCCCACTCTTCGCCGGAGCATAGGAATGATTAATAGGTGTTGTGGCTCGTGGAGGTACAGACCCGGCTCGGGCAGGCTTCCGTTTGTTCTCCTGTTCAGCGTTGCTGACAGTGACCATCAGAGCTTGAAGGATCGGTTCGCCGTAGACTAGGAACGGACGGCCAGCTTCTTCTTCCCAGGTAGGTATAGAGGCAATAAGGTCTCGTTCGAGCTAGAATAAAAGGATTATCAATGAAGACATATCGTTATAGACCTGGAGAAGAACGGACCCGCGGTTTCTCCTTGGATACTCTCTTTCTCATCTTCTCTTCTCGGAGGAGTCTACCTGGATCCCGTGCACCTCGTCCAAATAGACGCGACTGATCAGATGCGGCTGCCGCTAGTTCCTTCTCCTCATCGCAGATCTCAAAATACTTCTTGATGCCGGCCAAAAGAGGCGCCTTCATTCGTTTTTCCTCTTTTAGTCGTTTAATTTCTTCTTCGTGTATCGTCAGAAGCTCTTCGGTGCATTCATCTGTCACAGACATTGAACAAAAATGAATGGGAAGATTATAGAGATACCCGCCATCTGCAAATGGAGCAAAGTCGGCTCTCTCTTCTTCACCAACCAGCAGATCATCCCAGAGTTTCTCAATTTCTTCTCTTGCGCTTGCTACGAAGGAGCCCATCTGTTCTCTCTTGATCTCCAGCATCCTCTCCAGCTCTTCTTCGTATTCCCTAACAGTATCCTCTGTACTTCCACGGTGCGCTTCTACGAAGGCATCCATGTCCGCATCGGAGACACCTAGCCGGTTCCAGAGACCTTCAAGCTCATCAAACATGGCTTGAATGTGAGCCTCCCGTCGGCGCTTGGTTTCTTCTAAGGATGCCCGAAGGTTCTCTGCCCATCTGAGCAGACCAGGAGTTGGATCAATCTTTTCCAGTCCTATTGGCGTTCCTTGGCATTCCCTTAGCCCTTCGTCCTCAGCCTCTTCAACCTTGTCCACGAAATGAGCGAAGATACGACGATAAGCTGCGTCCGACATTTCTTCACGGTGATATATGAGAGATTGGTTTCGTGAAGCTGGCGTGGGTGTTGATATTGTAAATGGATCCATGCAACTATTTCCTAACGAAGCACCAGCGCGTGAAAGAGAGAAAGACGGCATAGGAGAAGATGTTGAGAATGTTGACGGTGAATCTTCCACCGCTGCTGGTGGCATCCCAAGTTCAGTGTACAACCAATCAATCTGGACGAATGTAGCGGATAGTTGGGACAGGCGCTTTGACTGAAGGAATGATAAGATATAAATAATGATAAAGGGGTCTAAAAGCTTACAACTTCTGATTTCCCGCGAACGAGTTCTTTTTCTAGCTTGGAGAACCTTTCTGGCGTAACGTTGCGGTTTGCAGTAGGATCTGCATCGTCCGACCCGGGAAACCCAGTGGCTTCTATGACGTCGTAGGCGAAGAAATCATGACCGAGCGTTCGAGCCAAAACATTAATACGGTTGGTGAGTGTTGTTAATTGCTCGAGTTTGGTATGATATAGCTGCCATCAAGATAAGCGTAGGGCCATCGTTGCACAGTAGAGCCACCCACCTGCCGCAGCTTCTCTTGATGTTCGGAAAGCATCTCATATCGTCTTGGAAGAGCCTTCTCTTTCCTCAGCTCTCCGGTGCTACTGCCCGTTGACTTAATATTTCCGCCCAATGCCTTCGTATAGGAAGAACAATTTTCCTCCACCGCTTCACACTTCTCAGTCCACATATCGACTTCTTTCCGACGCGATTCAATCTGGCTTTCAACGCCTTTCATCAGATTCTCTTGTATCGAGAGAAGTTCCTCTTCTAGCGCCGTCGGAGGGAGACCAAGCTGAGCATGAAGTGTCGGTAGGAGCTGGGTTTGGGCTTGCAGGTGGGAATGCAGGGAATTCAGCAAAGATGTAAGAAGAGGAAGTGCCATAATAGTTGTGGTGGATTAGTGACAGCAGAGCTGCTCGTGAATGTGGACGGAGGACTGCACTGCAATAATGAGGTAACCAGTCAACATGGGAATAATTTCCGAATCCACTCGCGTCGAACATCACGTGACCACGTGATTGATCATAACCTTTTTTTTTTTTGTGGGGGCTATTGCAGAGGCGGTCCAGTGACATAGTCGCTTCCAAGGTGCAGCTGGAAGTTTTGCCAGGGATTAAAACCAAGCATGTGTAGTCAGTATCATAAATATATAGATTTGTTTCACCATGGGGAAATGCTTTATGCACTGAATAGTGTGAGACTCAGGATTGGTAACTCTGCCAGGAAAATTTCCTCTATCCTTCACACTGTCCCCATACTTACCTTGTGCATCCCAGCTATCAACATTATCCTATACCCACTAAAACCCCATCAGCTTCTGTCCAATCACTAGGAAGCTGATGCTCATTAAGGATTGAACCTGCTCAGGTTCTTAACACCAGGTCTTTTCTGAGTGCCTTTTTGCCAAAACATTCTTGCATCATCAGGCAGTCAAGTTCCAGTCTTCAGTTTATCTTCTTTTTCCATCTATTTCTTATCTCTGAAGTGAAAGGGGTGTTTTCTCATTGGGATAACTCTCTCACATCAGGCATTTCATATAGTTTGCATGGAGGAAAAGACAACAATTCTAAAAAAGTGTACTTTCCCACTCTCTTTGTGGCCACTTTGCCACTCAGAGGATGGGGAGGTGCAAACTAAGATATTTGACATTTTTGAGCTTTGCCATAATATGTCATGTTTTTCTAGGATATCTTTAGTGAGTTTCTATATCTCATTCTGTCCCAGTGAAGAGCATTTTGTTAATATGTGACACATGCTTTCTAAATCATTGTGACAGTGTGTGCAGTATGCATGGTCATGGTATTGTGGGGCAAAGTTTAGCCACTTTGCTCCTATTCTGTAGATATCATGCATTGTCATCCACAGGAAGTATCTTATGCTTTGGTCAATATCTCAAAGCCTTAAATATTTCCAAATCTCTGTCTCTGTAGTTTTAATCCTGAAGTATTCCTTCACTCCTTCAATAGCTAGCTTGATATTTGTGGCAATTTTTGCTCAACATGAAAGGGTCTGGTTTTTTTCTTTTATGGAATACCTTGCATACTCAGCTTTGTATTAGCTTGCTTAGAGCTGCTTCTGTGATCTTGATTTTTGAGTTGATATTTAAGTTGATGGAATCATCTTGATCTTTTTCAGCCCCTTCTTTTGCTAGTAGTTTGGCTTTAGTGTTTTTGTTAAGCCCAAGCGTCACGTGGACTGATACACGTGATAAACAGATGTTCCTTCACACTTCGAGGAATCACCTGAGTTCACTTATATGTATATCCGAACGGTGTGACTCAAGGTCAAAAGTAGACTCGAGGTAGGATGGTGTGAATAAACTTTAGCTCGAAGCTGGAGTATACCAGCGAGAGCTACGGTCCTTAAATACTGTACAGTTGTCTGCTAATTATACTACTGCCTATTGTGTGTGTCTGTGTCCATTGTGCCCGTTGTCCTTGAGCGTCGCTACCGTACATAAAAGGTCGATTGTGTGTCGTCGAGCGCGACCGTCATAGTGTAACGATGGGAGGTTTTAGTTGTGCTGACTAAGCTTCCCACAGTCTTGTGCCTTCTGACTCAGCGTAAATAGGGGTAAAAAAGGGAAGAAAAGGGAATAAATCGTAACATTACCCCCTGCTTAAGACCATCGTCCCGATGGCTTAATTAAGGGATAATTCATAGTCGTGTATTGCTGTATCGGCATTCATGTACTTCTTGTTGATCCATTGGTTGGATTCCGGTCCGTAACCCTTCCAACTGATGAGGTAATCAACCGTTGTTGTTGTGCCGCCCCCACGGGCTTTTACTTTTCATAGTTTGTGGTTTAATACTTGATCGATTTCGTAGTGTTCTTCGTCGTCGATCAGCTCGGGGGGTGGTGGAGGTGGCCGTTCTTGGTTGGGGAAGGCTGGGGCAACGTATGGTGTTAATAGAGATTCGTTAAATACGTCGTGAATTTTCCATGTGGTTGGTAAATGCAGTTTGTAGGCTGATTCGCCGACTTTCGCAAGGATTGGAAAGGGGCCGGTACGCTTGTCGGCCAGTTTATGTTTAGGCCGTGGCAGATGAAGGTTGGTTGTATCCAGCCAGACTTTGTCATGCGCATGATATTCGTGCGCAGGGCGTCGGTGTTTATCGTATTGTTGTTTCATAGTTGACGCCGCTTTTTCGAGCGCCTTCTTTGTTTCTGCGTGGATTCTTTCCATTGTCGCGGCTGTTAGGAACGTGCCAATCGAGTGGGCTTGAGTGCACGCGCGGAGTCCGGCAGAGTGCGTGGGTGTTGACGAAGCTATTGGCAACGTCACCCTTGAGTCGGAGCCCAAGGATCTGGATGGACAGAACGGAGTTCTGTCAGAGAAGTGAACAGGAGTATCCTTCGGAGCGGAATCCGACGGATGAGATAGGGAGGAGTGAGTACGAAGTGTAGATGGCTTATCCAAGTTGATATTCGAACTGAGTAGTTACGGTGATATACATGGCTTTATATACTAATGGTAGCTAATTCCGAGTCGGGTTCCATTGGGTTCCGGTGTGAATATTCGCTACCGAGTTCGGGGTCTAGGTATTACAATGTGAAATACAGATGTGAAATGATAATGGTGAAATGAAATTAGTAGGTAATGGGAAGCGGCCGGAGTCCGGTGGGTAGCGTGATAGAATTCGTGGTTGGTTGAGGTGACACGGAGGCCGGCGGCATGCGCGTAACAGTATCCCCCCTTTAGCGTTCTTGCCCTCAAGAGCGCTGATCCCGATGGCCGGTGGGGCCACATGGAGGATTGTTGGTGGCCATGGGAGTTTTGTATCTTGATCTGAAACCACCATCATCGCCTATGTCGTCGCTCGCCATGTATCGTCGCTCACGCACTCCCGAGCCTCTGGTGAGGGGATCCACCCCCGATGGCCCTGAAGAGGCCAAAGAATTGTTTCGTCTAGAATGGGAGGCTGCGGAGGAAGAATACGCGGAGGCCATGGAGAGTCATGTGGAATGGCAAAGGGAGCAAGAGCGGGAGGAAAAGGTCCGGGCGGACCGTGTGGCCCGGGAGGCGCGGAAAAAGGAGCAGAAGGAGGAATTGGAGAGGAAGAGGGAGGAGGTTCGGCAAGCCGCGGAGAGGCAGGCTAAGGAGGCAGAGGAGGCATTGAGGGAGGCGGCTCAGAGGGCGGCTGAGGAGAGGGAGGCCGCGGAGAGGGAGGCCGTGGAGGCGGCGGCGAGGGCTGAGGCTGAGGAGGCAGAGCCAGAGGGGATGGTTATGGAGGATGGGTTGCTGATGACCTCTGCAGAGGCCACTGATTTTCGGCTGCATCAAGTTTTGGCGGAACGGTATGGTCCTGGCCCTGGTCTTCGCTTCAAGAAGGTGACTCGCCATATGCCTC